CATTTCCAATATTGGGATTCATTTTTTTTCCCCCTTTGGAATACTGTCCCTAGGACCTTACAAGTTCTGGAGAGGTTTATTTCACCACCTCTGCGATCTATTTGTCCCCTGCCATTCCTCAGAGCTCCCTGGGTCCTCTCCCACTGAGCCACACATGCGCATCCTGTCAGGAACGCCTCTGGCGACCATTTTGCAGTACAACTGTTTTTTCGCGTACGGATAAAAATCTGAACGCGCATTCAGCCACACTTATTTGGTCCCAGGTATGACAGTTTGGTGTTTACATAGCGCTGGTAGCCCGTTCAATTCACGAAACCATACGTTTCAGAGACCTTTTTTACATGGCCGCGGCCGCCATCTTTTTGGTGTCTGCACCTCGCAGCGACCTTTTTCTTGCGCACATTTTCCTCTGGTCAGAGTTGGTGTCCAGGATTAGTTAGTGGCGGACGGTTCCCTATTTTCTGCGCCCCCCTCCTTTTTATAAAGTGACTATGAGTCCTGGCAATAGTGTTCTTGTGGGTAACTCAACCCTGTTCTCATTTCTATTAAATCGTACCTTGCAATTTTGCTCTCTTATTATAATTCATAAACAAAAAAACAAAAGCAAAAAAATGCAATCACCTAATAATTTACCTGCCATGGACATTATGTCCTCATCTATTTCTAAGTCCTTTACGCAGGCTTTATTGCAAGCCCAGTTGGTGGTCCCTTTGGCCGCAATACCTCATGCCTCTCACCGGCCACACCCTGGTCACAAGGTCTTGGCCATGTTAAAGCACTCCTCCAAATTGGTGATGGACAGTTCAAAACCTGTCAAAGATGGCGCGATTATACATTCACCGTGCAAGAGAGCCTCTAGCCGGGCAAAAGCCCAAACTGATTCCACGGATTTAGATCTCAGTACAGAAGAGTGCCCTTACCTTAGATTCAGACCAATCTAAAGATTTATGCGACCTGGATTCGGATTACAGATTTGAGGAGGATCATAAACCCTCTACTGACGTGCATGCCACTGGCACTTCTGGTTCTGATTTGGCCAAAGAGGGTAAAATACTTGACCCACAGGGCGAAACTTTATTTGAGCCTGATGCTTACATCACTCCCGCTCAGCGGAATGGTCACCAGCCGAGCATGTGGCGTGCAACGTCGCATCCCTGGTCCGCAAGCCTCTGGATAAGGCAGCCCGAAATAAATTCGATATCTGCAAGACTCCCCAAGTCGACCCCAAATTATACAATTCTTGGGCAAAACTGGGTGGAAACCAAAGAAAGATTTGGATTTTTTCCCTTTACAATTGCCAAGATAAGGTCTTAGATATTTTGGGTCCAGCGAGATCTTCGAAGACTCCTTGGCTCAAGCTGATGTAATAGATCATTTTACAATTAGGGGCTGGATCCAAAGGGTGATATGCTTGATCTGCAATGTAAATACTGCTCTGGCCACAGAGCACCGTAAGTCAATTCTCTTAAAAATAGAGTCAAAGCTCATTAATATGGCGATTACAGAGCCAGGCTCTCAAACAAAAGGTTTCCTGTTTGGCGAGTCTTTTGTGAAAGACCTGGGCTCATATGTCCAAGCATTTACAGCCTTAGACAAGGCACAGTAAAATATGAAAAGGGTGTTTCACCCAAAGGTTTTTACTGGGGCCAGCAGAGCAAGGGGCCATCTGTCCGGCAGAGTTAAAGGGACACTATAGTCACCAAAACAACTTTAGCTTAATGAAACAGTTTTGGTGTATAGATCATGCCCCTGCAGTCTCAATGCTCAATTATCTGCCATTTAGGCATTAAATCACTTTGTTTATTAACCCTAATCACACCTCCCTGCATGTGACTTGCACAGCCTTCCTAAACACTCCCTGTAAAGAGTCATCTAATGTTTATCCTTCCTTTATTGCACGTTCTATTTCATTTCGATTTTCTTATCCCCTGCTATATTAATAGCTTGCTAGACCTTGCAAGAGTCTCCTATATGTGATTAAAGTTCAATTTACAGAGCAAGAGATACAATTGTTTAAGGTAAATTACAACTGATTTAAAGTGAAACCAGGGAAGTGCCCCGTGCAGCACAGAGCCAGTGCATCAAGGTTGGGAGACAGCCACAGAGGGCGGGCCTACCCATTCTAGGCTTTGTTAGTGATGTGAGGCACATCACTGGTGACACAGACCTCAGGGTCATGTCCAGCCCGTCCTAATTCTTCCCTACTGATTGTTGGGAGTTATGAAATAAATTTATAAGCTCTGGCAGTCAACACAGAAGGAGGAGTAACCAAAAAATGTTTATTAACCTCCTCCAATGTAACTTTATATTTAGGAAGTCGTGCTTCACATAGTTGAATATGTAGAGAGAAAAAACAGGAGCATGGAGGAGTATAATTGGGAATATGGATAAAGTGAATACAGAAAACTACATACATTTATTAGAGCTTCTGAACAGCTCTGGAATAATCCCTGCCTAGGGATGTATGGGTTTCCTGGTAAATGTAGCTCTTCACCAAAGTGTATATATATATATATATATATATATATATATATATATATATATATATATATATATATATATATATATATATATATATATATGCAAAACAGAACAGAAGCAGTACATCGTATAGTAAAACCAGGGATTTTTATGGTGTTGTATAATAATGCAATCACTCCAATAAAACAGCATACAATGGTATAATGCCCATTGCTGGATTTTTCTTTGTTGTTTTTCAGCGATATTATGCAAGGTGATATTTCATTTTTCTGTCAAAACCATATAGTGTAAGCATCAGGGGAAAAAAAAATAATCTTACTTACATATTCCTGAGGCTTATGGCAATGGTTCCCAAACCAGTCCTAATGGCCCACCAACAATCCAGAATTTATGCATTTCCATTTTTTATTTCAATGGAGATAAGTATAAAACCTGGACGGTTGGTGGGCCATAAGGACTGGTTAGGAACAACTGGTTTATGGCATTGGAAGATCCAATCCCCACCAAATATATTGGAGATGGAGAAATGGTCACAAATGAATGGAGGTCCATTACAGGATAATAGCTTTATTTCTAACTATATAAAACAATTATATTGTAAAGTATAGCATATAATTAAAAAGTTTGAAAACAAACACATATGATTCACCTTATTCAAAAAGGCTTTTTCAAGTTGTGTTTTCTCTCTCACTCACTCTACATATTTACCTATGTGAAGTGCAGCTTCTTACATATTTCAGACTTTTGTCATCATTACAGCCAAAAGGAGGAAATCTTTGCAGGTTGTTGCTTGGCAGAACTTATTTAGCTTAATTTTCTCTGTTTTTATCTATACTATAAGTATTGTATAATTTTTCTTCAATGATGTGATTTACAGAAAAGTATTGGTTTATTCTTCATAAAAACTGGTCTACATATGGAGAACCCACAAACTGCTGAATTTATTTTTGGAGGGGGGTGGTGGTGGGGGCAATATGGAGCTCTTGAAGTGTCGCTAAGGTCTTCAGACCTGTCAAATCACCCAAAGTATGTAATTTAACATTGGACAGAAAGCACTGGGAGGGAACCCTAGAGTTGGACAGGAATTGTGTAACCCACCATAAAAGCCAAATTGAAGTGCAGCAATACACAGCTGGCATGTAACACAAGTGAATTAATCTGATTTATCCAATTCCATTTTCCTAAAAAGCTATGGCAATGCACCTGCAGTATCACTAAATACCTGTATTGCAATGTGCTCCCTCCTTCCAGCTGTGCCTCTCTTCTCCAGTTATGTAGTTATGGTGCAGCCTCTTCCACCTCAGCAAACTGCTCATACCAAACAGCCTTAATACACTCCTTTAGGAAGGTGACAATTTAATATTGTCTCGCAATAGAATAATATACTTCCTCTAGCTCCATGTGACTAAATATTTCAGCCCCATTGATAAAGACCCTGAGAGGGTTGAAACATTGCTGGGCCACGTAAATAGTATGTAAATAACAAAACGGAATTAGTAGTCGGAGTGGCAAAATTGTTATTACTTTGCTGTATGGTTTGTAATGTACCTCTGTCACTTTGACATTATTTAGCTACATGGAATTTATCCTTCATTGTATTAATTTTGCCATGTTTAGATCACCTTGGCCTTGAAGATCTGCCAGCTATTTCTGTAACTGTCTGTACATTGCATTTAATCTCAATTCAATTTACAATTTAACCAGCTAACTCTGTAAATCATAAATCCACTTTTCATATAAATGACAAACTTAATCTCGTTAAATGCCACCATCATTGGATAAATCTGCATCTGTTGTCCAATTGTTTAAAGAACTTGCATATACAGCTTCCCTGATAAAGCTTCTTTGTGCTTTATTTGCATTTGTTTTACAAACACCCAGTTATGTACGGACAATGAGATCATTGTGAGAATACCTTAGGATGCTTTCTTCCTACTGATTTATAATTTGCAAAAAACATTTGACGAGAGGCCTTTCACTACTATACAAATGTAATAAAATTAAGTTTTTTGGTAGGTTAACACGTTTTTCATAATGGAATGCATATTTTTCAAACTGAAAAAGTTGGACAAATATGCACTCCATTATAATAAATATGCATTAACCCATTTAAAATACTGACCATTGTCATCCCCCTGCATTCTTTAGGGAGACAGCAATGGTTCTTCTTAAAGGAACACTCCAAATACAATAGCTTTTCATTCTGTGCATAGGAAGACTCCAGTTGGAGGCTTCTAATTGACTCTGGGCTGGATCAGCAAGTATGGGTACAGGTATTCCATTGATACAGCGCATTGAGAAGGAGGGGAAGGCAGGTGATTGCTAGCATAACATGCCTGCCACGTCTGTTACACTCTGTGGAGCCAATAGAAGCGGAAGAAAACTTCTCTAGTGGTCTTACTGAGAGCCAGTGATTGTTTCTGCCCCCAAATATAAAAGTGCCAAATTTTATTGAAATTGTCACACTTATGACAGACTAAAAGTGCTTCGTGTGTGGAGTGTCCCTTTAAAGGGACACTATAGTCACAAGAACTACTACAGCCTATTGTATTTGTTCTGGTGAGTATAATCAGGCTTTTTGCACTAAACATTGTCTTTTCAAAGCAAATGCAGTGTTTACATTACAGTTTAGTGATAACTCCACTGGCCACTCCTCAGATGGCTACTAGAGGTGCTTCCTGGGGTAGTGCTGCAGAGTATGCTGCATGACCATTCAGTGTCTCCACCCTCTGCATGCCGACACTGAACGTTCCTCATAGAGATGCAATGATTCAGGAGATGCTGATTGGCCATGGCTAGTGCTTGCTCTGCCTCCTTGACAGTGTCAGTCAATCCTTTGGGAAAGTATTGTTATTGGCTTTGAGCAACACTTCTGATGTCAGTAAAGCAGGCAGATCAGGGGCAGAGGCAGCAGCTGCGGATTTGAATACAAGGGGGGGATGAGGGAAATGGTGGTTTTAACACTATAGGGTCAAAAATACATGTTTATGTTCCTGAACCTTTAGTTTTCCTTTAATTTTTATGCAGAAAGAGCACATTTAAATTTGGATAAGTAAATATGTAAACATTTTTTCATTAATTGTTCTAAGATACCTGCATTTTACACAGACCTGGATTTGAATCCTAAGAAAACACATACCCACAAAGTGTTAGAAATGTGATGAAGCGTGGCCATGCGGTTCGGGTGTCATGAGTTATTTTAGTTATTGACATGCTGTCAACATTTTTAAAGAAGTTAAATGGAATAAAAAAAATAAAATCTTTCTGCACCATTTTTTTTTTTTTTTAATTATGTCATCGTAAGAATTTCAAAACGTATGCTGATTGTCCATCTTTGAATGCAATATATCTTATTTAGGCCTGGTTACCATAGCAGTGCTATACTATTTAGTTTTTTGTTTCTTTTTTTTAAGGTTGGTTGTATCTCTATATTCTATGTCCAGGATTTGAATTCTATCTGGATTCCTTGGCTTGGGACACCAAGACTGCAGCTTTGGATTCAGTGATTACTTTATTCCACGCTCTCTTTGCAGCAGCAAAAACTGAAAAGTAAGCAATACATAGTTTTTTACAAATGTGTTTGAACTCCTCTAAGTGTATTATTTAATATTAAATCCATTTAAAATAGAACTTTACTCACTCATACCACCAACTCATTTGTTCAGTTACAGGGTAGGTAACTCCCAACTCTTCTGTTCAAACATAGCAATACAAATTCATACACACACGACTGGTAGTATCAGCTGCCACTCTACCAACCCATTCATATAAACACAGGACAGGTCAAACCAGCACACATTCTACCAACCCATCCATTTACACAGAACAGGATACACCAGCATCCACTTTGCCAACTTCTCGATAAGCAACATGGACAACTATACTGGCAGATCCATATAAACAGAAGATAGTTAATAAAGCTTCCAAAGTGACAAGCTCCCTATATAAACACAACATGGGTAACATCACCCATACTACTAACTCATTCATAGAAACATAGGATAGGCAATATCAGCATCCACACTGCTAACTCATTCTTAAAAAAATAATATATATATTACACAGGATCCATTCCCAAACATAACATTTTTCAGAGACGCACTGGATGCACCTCTCTCACAAATCATACATACCAGCAAAACATTGATTTTGTGGTGCTTACCACACAAATCTGTTTCTTCACCTACTAATTTCTCAATTCAAACACAACAATGGCACTGTCACCAGTCGTCTGTCAAAGGAGAAAAACACCACAGACATGTATGTTAACTAGTTTGCCGTTTAATCAGAACATTTGTTTTCTCCCATAATTCTTTGGGGGGAAAAAAAAATCAGCATACTTTTTTTTTTTTACATTTTTTTTAAAAACATGTTTTAGTTTTTTTATTTTAATACAAGACAACTCGGCAAATAATAAATGTCATGGAAAGTAGAAGATGATGGCGGGGAGGAGAGAAAAGGGCTCATCTTCCACCTCCCCCAGATTATGACATTGAAGATATAAATTAATGTTCAAAATAAAACTTAAACAAGGGGAAGGACAGAAAGAAAATGTAAATTTTTGTGCTATTTCTCAACAGAAAGACACCAAAGAAAATTTGTTTCCATCAGAGTAGGCACTCCAACCCTTCTTTACTCTGATTAACATGTCTCCTTTGATGCCTTTGGTGACCTTGCAAAGATGGTGAAAAATATGAGATTGTCAGAGGGTAACCCAGCTCCTGAGTGCCTTATTGCCATGGCAGAACTAGTCCCTCACCCTTTTAGGTGTGGATAATACCTGTCGGTAACCCAGTATCTGTGCCATAATGAAGTTACAACTTTGTGTTACCTCAAGCCCTTGTTGTACAAAGGTTTTATGTATTCATAGCCCTAAAATGTAAACCTCTTAAAACAAGAGTGGTCCGTCAAGGGGTTTGTGTGGTTATGATCTGGGAGTAGGTAAATGGCCCATATTGCAACTCCTGCCACTTCCCCTTGTATAAAAGATCAGGTTTTAAAAGGGACCTATCCCCATTATATTAAATACTGGAGAAAAAGTGCCATGTGGATGCAGGCCTCTCTTGCAAAGACTACAGATTCAGGCACCTATCTGGCCCAGGTCAAACCATTTAAAGTGAATCATGTTTGCTTGAATGGACAATATAGTCACCTGAACAACTTTAGCTTAATGAAGCAGTTTTGGTGTATAGAACATGCCCCTGCAGCCTCACTGCTCAATTTTCTGCCATTTAGGAGTTAAATCCCTTTATTTATGAACCCTAGTCACACCTCCCTGCATGTGACTTGCACAGCCTTCCATAAACACTTCCTGTAAAGAGAGCCCTATTTAGGCGTTCTTTATTGCAAGTTCTGTTTAATTAAGATTTTCTTATCCCCTGCTATGTTAATAGCTTGCTAGACCCTGCAAGAACCTCCTGTATGTGATTAAAGTTCAATTTAGAGATTGAGATACAATTATTTAAGGTAAATTACATCTGTTTAAAAGTGAAACCAGTTTTTTTTTTCATGCAGGCTCTGTCAATCATAGCCAGGGGAGGTGTGGCTAGGGCTGCATAAACAGAAACAAAGTGATTTAACTCCTAAATGACAGTGAATTGAGCAGTGAAATTGCAGGGGAATGATCTATACACTAAAACTGCTTTATTTAGCTAAATTTAGGTGACCATAGTGTTCCTTTGATGTTACGTAGAGCATGACCTGTACATAGAATTCGATGTGCAGATCTAAGCTCCACAAACCAACCTCATGTACAGAGGATTATGTGCGTGCAGCTTAATGTGTGCAATGAGTATGGTTAAGAATTGCTATAATTACATATGGGGAAATCTGTATTACTAAAAGTTAAGTGAATTTCATTGTGTGCCACTGGGCTGTGACAATGTACTGTACAGCAATACAGTGCACATTCCTTGGACACTGACAAAGCTAGTTGTATGTGGATATATATGCAGCACAATGTTCTGCAGCACTCCGTATATGTTCAGGAACGCACATACTCACAAAGATATCTAAAACCTCTGTGCTATGAAGGCTACTTTGTACTAAGTAAAAATCAGGCCTGCAATGGATTCTTTAAGGAACTTCTTTGACCTGTTTAAACTGCATGTCATTTAACTGTTTTTTTTGTGCTGACATGTGCACCTGTAGAGGGAACAAGGGTACGAGGGCTGGGAGTTGGCCCCAGATTATGGTACAATACTGCAGCAGCTGCCGCTAGACAAACCCTACATTAAAAAACAGGGTCTTTATATTACACATGTATAAATATATATATATATAGAACGCAAATAACATTTACAAAGAGAATACAAACTGCAGGACAGGCCAGCCCTGTGTATTGTGTTACCGGTTGTGTGTGTGATGAGTGTTTGTCTCAATGTATGTGTGCTCACAATGTATATTTACCTGTGGTTTGCAGTGTTTGTGTATATACACACTGGTGCCTGAACCAATCTTTACTTGTGTGTCCCAGTCAGTGCCCTTGATTTCCACCAGATGATTGTTAATTATTCTCATGATGTGAATGGTACCAATCTCTATATTTCAATTTCCATAACCCATGTCTGAGTCCTCCACATTAAACCCTTTGTGCCTGTGTCTGTATATACATTATATGCATGTCTCATTCCTTTATAACCGGGCACTTCTATTTGCCTCAGTATACAGCTGCTCACTTTGTATGTTCCTATCTTGCATTTATGCACATCTACCTGCATTTGCATATGCATATCAAGTATACCTCTGTACTGTGTGTGTGTGTGTGTGTGTGCGTGCACGCGCATCTGCACTCTGTGTCGGTCAGTCTGGTTTTGAGAGTCCTGCCCTCAGACACGCAGTTTTCATGGAGGTGGTGGGAGAGAGTTGTGCCAAATGCTACAGCAGCCACTGACAGGCCTGTCACTGTGGGTTTTTGTTGGTGCTGTTTTTGTCGGTGGAGATGATGTTGGAGTCCTGGGGAGATGAGGGACGTCTTGGGGGCATGCGTTCATTGATGCGATCTAAACCTCTGGCTTCTTCAAAGCTACGAATCTTGTGCTGGGGAGAGAATCCTCGCACTGCAAGCCAGACAAAGAGAAGAAAAGAAATGTAAACCAGACATAAGGTAAATAAGGAAGATTGAAAAAGAGATTGGCAGAAAGATACCACGTGATACAATAGAGACGCAGGGTGTAATAAATTAACTAGACACGTATAAAGTAATATCAACAAAACAGGGATAAGTGTAAAAAAAACAGAAGGGGTAACAAAAGGGAAAAATAGATTAAGTGCAAAGCTGAATTAAACAGTGGGAGGGTGGATAGGGAGCAAGAAATCCTAATGCACAGATTTTTTTATTTTTTTTTCCTGGAGAAATGAAGAGTAGTTATTAGTACAAAGAAGAACAGAATTTCTATAAAATGGCAGATTTGCTGTAATATGCCAAAAAGTATGTCATGAAAATCAGTGGCCTAGCTTTTTGGAATGTTTTAGACATCATCTAGTGCCCTCTTGTGTTGGCTCAGTAAACTGCAAGAATATATTATGGAAGTTCCTATTTCATAAAAAAAATAAAAATATTTTATCTAAATTACCAATATTGAAGTTTAAGTGGAATTGTGCTATTTTGTATTAGTTTTACAAGAGAAGTTGATGTTAGTGGTTTATTGTTGCACTGTGTGTAAATCAAGAAAAGAAGCAGACTGTCTAGTAATATGCCATCTATTTGGCTGAGGTGTGTGATATAGTTTCTTGAATTGGTAAAAGGTATGAAGTCAGGGTTGAGGTATAAACTGTTTTACAAAACCCAGGAACCTGTTGGATCCAGAGATACAGATCAGATTCACTGGGCATTCATTAATGCTAAAAGAAAGCACTTCTCATATCACTTGGGAAAAATGTAATGATGTTGTCAAGATGTACAAATTGGATCTACGTAAACAAAAGGTTAAAATGTATAATTTCAGTAAATATGTTATAGTGAGTAAGCAAAGAGCTTTCCTGTTGACTTATGAAACTCATTGTACACGTGAAAGTAAGCAAGATAAGCTCACCCTCCTGAGCCTCGACCGCTTCTTCTGTGGCTGCATGAGAAAAGCAAGAATGTGGAATGTAAGAAAACATTACAGCACAGATCATCACCCAAAACATCATCCCAAAACCACAAGACTTTGATCATTGTGTCCAAATTAACAAATTCTAACCCATCATCTCAAAATGCACCTTTGTTCAATAATTCAACTACCACTCTAAAACCTCACCACCAAGAAATTTCTCCATACAGAGGAAATTATTGGGACTTCGGATTGTTCTTTTTTTGATTTGGGGCTTTCTTTAAAAATTGAGTTTTGCTTTGGAAGTTTTTTTTTTTTTTTAAATAACTATTTTTGCAGTGCAGGATTAGGTATACAGGCTTGCATGAACATTGTAAAAGTTTGACTGCAGTATAAAGTACAATTATATGACATACAATATCATGAAAAATTGCACTTTTTTTTATATAAATGACATGGTGGATCAGTATGTGTCAAACAGTTATTCAAACGGTATATTTAAAACTAAGCTAGTGTCTAATAACAGCAGAAATGTTAAGGTATGTTAGCGTACCCACCAGGAGACATTCTTAATATGGTAGTCAGGTTAGGTGACTGGCGGGACTTAAAAACAAAATAAAATAGGTAAACATGCTTACAATAGAATATGGCATGTAAGTGACTGTGCAGGTTCAAGGGTGTCAGTCCTGCCACTAGCGAATAAACATGTATGGCTGGCCAGATTAACTAGAAATTAGTGAAATGTAATAGTAATGAGAAAACAAAAAAAATAAAAACATGGGAAACATAATGCTACATTAGCCAGTACGTTGTAATACCACTGGGTGCTCGTCACCAAAAGTTCCAGGTATTGAAACATAGGAATCCCCGTTTTGCTGACTGGGGTAACTGTGATCGACCGGGGGCACGTTTCCTGGGAATTTATCCCACACCGTGTATAGGCCGCATGTTACAGTCTGGCCATTGCCTGGGTATGTTGCCGTCTCTTGCTGCTGTGCTGTACTTGGGAAGTAGCTGGGTGTCAGGCTTGCAAGCTGTTATTTGGCTCCTGTGGCCATGTGCTTCACCCTCCACAGCCCAGATCTGACCTTGGATCTTCCTCCTCCTCTCAGCAGGGTCTTGGGCTCGAGTGCTCGCCGAAGGTCGGGGAACCTGTCGGGTATGTGGGCGATGAGTGGGGGTTACCTTTATGTGTGCCCCCAGTCCAGGTAGAGATCGGGCTTGTGAAGCAGAGCAATAGTGTGCGGTTTGCTGGAGATGCGCTCTCAAAACTCCTGGCAGATCCTTTCAAAGCGCGATTCAAAGCACCCTCTCCAGGCCTAGTTATCAGGGGGCTCTTGGTGCTGTGAGCGTTACCACACGGCAGCCATCTTGTGCACACCATCCGGTCGTCCTTTGAGCAGGGGACCTTGCTGCTGTGGCTGGGTGAGTTTTCCCAGTGGGGAACGGATATCAACCACCAGTCCAAACGGGTGTGTGCATGGCTAAAGGGTAGTCTGCACAAGAAGCAAGTCCTACGCGAGGAGATCAGCCACTTCTCCCAGAGCCCAGGCCGCAAGACATACTATGCCACATAGCCAGAAGGCTTCAATTGTCGGCGTAATGGCACAGATCGCGGTTCAGTGTGTTCCCACATGGTACACAGTTTGTGTGAAGCTGCAATCCGTGTGGTTTAGAGTAAAAACGGCTGATTTTCTGCTCAGATGTGCCGGAGCTAGTTTAGAGCATGTCCAGCCATCTAGGCTTCCAAGCCCCGCCCCATTTTATTTTAAAGTGTGTAAGGCTGGGATGGAAATCCAAGCTCTATAACTATACATACCCCCACTTACAAGTGAAACTGGGATTCACCCAGGCTGTACAAGTACTTTTATAGAAAAAAACTAATAAACAACTGTACTATGAAAGCCCAGGGCCAATCAGAAATAATTAATTTAATCAAGCACAGATTTTAGGCTGTCTGTAATATCTAGCACTATGAATTATCAGATACATTTACATTTATCCCAAGCTTATCTTAGCTTTTACAATAAGAAGGGTATGTTTTGTATATTATGCATATATATTTTTATCAAATTTATCGCATATGGTCTCTTTATCTGCGGTTGTCCTATAGGTTTTGGTGGAGACATATAGCATCTCACATGTTCACTGAGGACAACTAATGAACTGTCTGATGTTTGTGCTGAGAGTCATTTGTTTACTTTAAAATACATTCTCCCTCCTCCAAACATAACATAACAGTGAGTTTGCCTCCTCCTATAACCCCATTGACCAGTTGGAATATTTATTCTTTCTCTAATCAGTCCACCCCACAACACTGATTCCCCTCTCCAAACACATTTCACAGATTAACAGCTCAATCGCTCCCAAATCATGTCTCATCCACAAGAGAGCCACTCTGGAATACTACAATGAATGATATAAACATGAACAAAAATATTGAAAAACTCATGAATATTCCAAAATTAAAGGTCTCGTTCCATCCAAGCAATGCTGGACATGGCTGTGCCATTGGCTGACACTCACCGCTTTGTAGAGTCTGTCTCCCTCCTGACAGCACGCCTTGGGGCAGTGTTCCCGTGGGTGTCAGTCCTTTCAGTGTTAGGACACTCTCACTCTCTTCCCTGAAATAGTACAAGAACCTCAGAAGTGTTTGAAAGACAGAACAAGACTGGTCAGCAGTAATACGTAGGAACCCTGGTTTCAGAGTAAGAGGAAAAGAGTAAATATTTAAATAAACCAAACCAGTAACAATAGCTACAAAACACAAAGTTGTCTTACATATGTAAGAGCGGTTGCCTACCACCTAAATGAGAAGACATTCTCAATTTAACACGAAACTAAACATGTGAATTTAATTACCCTTCCTTGCTCCTTTATTTTGGATTAAGTATGGGCAAAAAGCAGATTCCCAGATGTTGTAGAACTACAAATGCTATGATGTTTTGCTAGCCTTTAGAATTCTAAGCATCATGCAAGTTTTAGTTCTACAACATCTACCCTTTTCCCACACCTGCCTTGGTTGCAATTTAATTTGGTTGGAACTATGTAGCTTCCATGTAAGTTGTAAAGACTAAACAACTGATCTCACATATAAAGAGAAGTAAGTTGAGATATTCCAAATTTGAGTATTTTGATGCAGTGTTTGGCTAAACCTAATGTGGACATATTCGTATATCCCTATTTTTCAAATAGGTGTAACATCCAGTTATATTATATTTATATAATATAATATTATATATATATATATATATATATATACACACACACACACACACATACATACACACTTTGTGATGTGTGGGTGTGCCCAGACTTCTAAACCCACATTTTTCATATATTTGTACTTCTTTCTTTATTTAAGATATATATATATATATATATATATATATATATATATATATATATATATATATATTGCCAAAAGATAGCCGCTCACCGGACTTTTAAAATTCCAATTTTTTATTTATTCAAGTTAAAATCAGAGAACAGGTCTCTGATTTTAACTTGAATTAAATAAAGAATTGGTATTTTAAAAGTCCGGTGAGCGGCTATCTTTTGGCACATTGTATCTTTGGAGTCCAGGCCTTGGCATCCGGCAATTTTGAACCTACTAAGCGTGAGTGCGGGGGATATTGTTGTCTTTGTCTCTCTCTCTCTCTAGATATATATATATATATATATATATATATATATATATATATATACACAACATACAGGGTTTCCTTGCACTCACGCTTGTAGACAGTTGTAAGCCGGGTGCTTGTAATCCAGGGAAAAATTGCATATGGTGAAATAGTGATCAGCACTCTCGGACTTTTGTTGAGTTTAAAACTTACAGTTTATTGAAATTCCATTTAAAAGATCAACGTTTCAGTTCCTATCTGGAACTTTCATCAGGATCAAACATGTTTGATCCTGATGAAAGTTCCAGATAGGAACTGAAACGTTGATCTTTTAAATGGAATTTCAATAAACTGTAAGTTTTAAACTCAACAAAAGTCCGAGAGTGCTGATCACTATTTCACCATATATATATATATATATATATATATATATATATATAAAAATAATGTATAGTAAGTGGTTTAATACTTCATCCAAAGTTTTCTTATTCCTGGCAACAATACTAAGATAATAGTCCCTACTTCGCCTTAGATTATGCTATTAAATTGAACTTAAAATAAGTTTGACTCCCCAAAACTAGATTACTTTCATTCAATGGTGTTGGTGTAGAGGGCAATAAACCCTGACATGAGAATCACTTTAATGCTTATATACTCTAAATGACATCAAGAAGAGGCTGTTTTTCTTGGGAAAACCATTATAAAGTCCTTCATAGACATTGGAAGAGTGAACGAGACATTACCTGAGTACAGAGAAAACACGTGCCATCTTCCCAATTGCTCTGATCTTGTTTCTAATAATCTCCTTACGCACAGAAGCACCACCTGGAGGGGTGAATTATTAAATATGAATGGAACTAGAAACTTAATCCTGGACCCTTATAAAGCAAAATATCCCTCTCCCTGCCTTCATATCTGTGAATAGATCTACAAAGTAGACAAAAGAAGAACAAAGGACATGTGTTGACACATGAGAAGGTGAAGAAATAAATAAACAAACAAACCAAAAAGACATCAAAGATGGAAAGTGTACATCGTACAGAGAAAAAACAGGGCAGCAAAACCACAAAAGGCATGGAATATTAATTTATTTCTAATGAAAAATAGCACTGAATTACATGAGAGTGAATATGACTTACTTTCCAAGGGGTCTTCCCCATCAGAGATCAGCTCGTCATCTGAGCAGATGCTTAGAATGTTCACCAGCATCTCAGTAACTGAGTACAAAGATCAGAAATGGATCAATCAATACAACTTAAACACTGATAAAACCTGCACCAATATAGAATAAAACTAAATGGAAATCAAAAGTTCATACACAACGGATTCACAAATCCCATTTCAAATTTACGAAATTATATGTACTGTGTTTACAGCACCTTTAAACATGCAAAGTAATTCAAAATGCTAGAAAAAGAGAGAAATGGTATATAGCTGTAAAATGGAAGGAATAAAAAAAAAAAAAAAAAAAAAGCCATTATAGTAGATCACTGCAATACTCTACAATTTTTTTTCAGGAAGTGCTGAATCTATTGTGTCACTAGCGCATTCTGCAATATAAACGTAAAATTAACTTTTGTTGAAGCAGCCAGCGAATTATGGAATGCAGCTGCTGCTTTGTATGTCTATCTTCCCATAACACTGACTATTGCTTTAGACTGCATTTGAGAGGCCAGTTATTTGGCACTAAAATCGTTAGGCCAAAAATCTTCAGCTTCTATAAACTGGATATTTCATGCAGCATTAAGAGAGAAAGGGCAAGCTCCACATTTATGTTTTTACATATTAGTGTAAACATTCCTGTAATTTTAGCTAGCAATGAAAATAGGTGAATTTATTGTAAACACTGGGGAGATGATTAAAGGACCACTATAGGCAGCCAGACCACTTCAGCTTAATGAAGTGGTCTGGGTGCCTGGTCCAGCTAGGTTTAACCCTTTTTTCTATAAACCTAGCAGTTTCAGAGAAACTGCTATGTTTATATTAGGGTTAATCCAGCCTCTAGTGGCTGTCTCATTGACAGCCGCTAAAGGCGCTTCTCACTGTGAAAATCACAGTGAGAAGACGCCGGCGTCCATAGGAAAGCATTGTGAATGCTTTCCTATGAGACTGGCTGAATACGCGCGCAGCTCTTGCCGCGCATGCGCATTCAGCCGAGGAGGAGGAGAGTAAGAGGTAAGTTTAACACCGTCCACCCCCTAGAGCCCGGTGGGAGTGGGACCCTGAGGCACATCTGGGTGTAATATCAAAGCTGTCATTGTGTTAAAATCTAGAATCTACATTCTACATAAGAGTCTATCTGTTGTAGATTCTATCCACAATCTACATAAGCAACATTTATTAAAAGTATGTACTAAATCTCTGAAGCAGAAAGGGGGATATTGATTATGATGTTAAAGTAAGGATTTTCAGGATGCTCGAGTTGCAACACATGCCCTGTAAGGATTGGAGGCGGAGAGGAGGAGGAGAGCTCCTTAAGTTTAACCCCTTTCCTCTCCCCAGAGCCCGGCGGGACTGGGACCCTGAGGGCACTATAGTGCCAGGAAAACGAGTATGTTTTCATTGCACTATAGTGGTCCTTTAATTTTTAAATGTAGTTAATAGTTGTATACAAAACAATCCTGCTATTTGATTGATTTTTGATTACCAGCTCATCATTCTCAAGTAATATGGATGACATTATGCAATGCTGAAAGCAATTAACTAGCATTGTTTGTAGTTGCTTTGAAGTGAAGGCATATCATTGTTATTTGTAAACGTATTCTACTGAACACAAATTTACATCAGGATGGATCACAGTCTGACAAATAACTGGCATAATCTTGATTCAAAATGTTTTTGAAATGTAGACAGATGCCCAGCGCAGTAAGCAAATGATGAAGGCACGTTGTAATCTGATTATCAGTAGCATTTCTTGTGACCATGTAGGCATGGTGTAAAATCCATTTACTCCCATTTCTAGATGACAAATCAAACAAGCCAGTGTATTTCATGTGACAGTGTTTCATTATCTCCAGAATATCAGCCTCCAAAACACCAAAAAATAGTTTTGTTGCATCAAGAGCCATGTCTGCCTTCTAATAAAAATAATGGCCTAGAACAGGGGTTCCCAACCAAGTTCTCAAATACCCTCCAACAGTCAAGGATTTAGGAATCATCCTGTTGTGTTTAAATACATAACTGGGTAATTCTTAAATCCTGGACTGGTAGGGGGTACTTGAGGACTGGGTTAGGAACCACTGTATCAGGATTACTGTATGATCCAGCACGTAGAACTGTATAGCCTGAATGACAAATAAGTAATGTATTACCGGTCCTTAGAATGGAGTCAGGATACCAAAATACAGAGAAGTCAATAAGCAAAGCCAAAGTAAAAAAAACAGTAGAAAACTATAAACAGGAACGCGATCTCGGACAACCACATGGGAAACCACGACAGGGCACTGAATGGAGGTCAGACTGGGTTTTTATATCCATCCTCCCTTTCCCATTGGTCAGCCTGGTATTTTGGCTCCAAAATGTGCGTGTTCACGTGCGCTCGCACGGGGTTATTTCTGCCCGTGGATGTGCAACGGCCGGTGCCAGACTGTATGCTAAGACAGTCAGGACTGCAAGCTTCCGGCCGCTGAGCACCAGGTTGGGGAAAAGTGTCAGATGGATATGTGACATAACCCCCCGCCTGAAGACCGCCCACCGGGCGGGACCGGGCTTGAGAGAAAACTTGGCATGAAAAGCGCGGATCTTACGGCCTGCATGCAGGTCAAGAGCCGAAACCCAAGTACGATCAGCAGGACCGTAACCTTTCCAATCCACCAAGTACTGTATAGTGCCCCGAGAAAACCTAGAATCCACAATAGAAGATACCTCATACTCTTCCTGACCACCCACCACCACAGGAGTGGGAGGAACAGAAGGAACAGTATATTTATTGCAGACAAGAGGTTTGAGTAAGGACACATGAAAAGTGTTGGGAACCCCTAACGATGCAGGAAGATCCAGAGAGTAAGACACTGGATTGATCCTACGAAGCAATTTATAGGGACCAAGGAATCTGGGGGCAAACTTCATGCTAGGGACCTTAAGCTTGATGTTGCGAGACGACAACCAAACCCGGTCACCCACTTGGTACACCGGGTTGGCACTCCTAGGCTTATCAGCAAAATGTTTGAAGCGTTCAGCAGCAGCCCCTAGAGCAGTTTGAACCTTAACCCAGGTATCCCGAATGGAGGCCAGACGCTCATCCAGAGCAGGAATGGCAGTATCAGAAAATACCGCAGGGAGAACCGTAGGATGCCTACCATTATTGACAAAAAATGGACTGTGCCCAGAGGAGTCATGAACAGTATTGTTTCTAGCGAACTCGGCCCACGGGAGTAGTTCGGACCAATTGTCTTGTGTGCTATTAATAAAACAACGCAAATAAACTTCTAATGACTGGTTAGCCCTCTCAGCTGTACCATTGGTTTGTGGATGGTAGGAGGAGGAGAAGGAGAGATCAATCCCCAATTGTTTACTGAATGCCCTCCAGAACCTGGACACAAACTGAGAGCCCCTATCAGACACAATATTGTGAGGGATGCCATGCAAACGGACAATTTCACGTATGAAAATTAGGACCAAATCTTGCGAAGATGGCAACTTCTTGAGAGGAATGAAGTGAGCCATCTTAGAAAATCGGTCTACAACCATGAGAATAGTAGTGAACCCAGCAGAGCTAGGAAGCTCAACAATAAAGTCCATGGATAAGTGGGACCATGGAATCTCAGGAACAGGAAGAGGCTGCAACAGGCCACAAGGAAGTGCATGAGTCACCTTAGAAACTGCACACACAGAACATGCCTGCACATACTCCTTTACATCTTTCCTGAGTGAATCCCACCAAAATGATCTAGTGATCGCGGCAGTGGACTTATTGATGCCCGGGTGTCCAGCAGTTATATTGTCATGGAACACTTTCATGATATTAACCCTTTCACATAGGGGAACGAACAGTTTATCACACGGTTTACCACTGGGCGCCTGAGGCTGGGCCTCCAGTATGGTGCCAAGCAGTGGAGAAGACAGTGAGAGGACAGTAGTAGCAATAATACACTCTGGCGGAATAATAGGAGATGTCACCTGTTCCGGAGCTGATTCATTATCAAATTGCCTGGACAAGGCGTCAGCCTTGGTATTTTTAGAACCAGGTCTATAAGTAATGAGGAAGTTAAAACGTGAAAGGAACAGTGACCATCTAGCCTGTCTGGAAGACAAACGTTTGGCATCCCCTATATACGCCAGGTTTTTGTGGTCGGTTATGATCAACAGGGGGTCCTTGGAACCCTCCAAAAGATGTCGCCATTCCTTGAGGGCAAGAATAATGGCCAACAGTTCTCTATTGCCAATATCGTAGTTGCGCTCAGCAGGAGACAGCTTTCTGGAGAAGTAGCCACAAGGATGCAATGGTGTTCCCTGGCTTTCTCTCTGAGAGAGAACAGCCCCTACCCCTGTCTCGGATGCATCAACCTCCAATATAAAAGGTTTACTGGTGTTGGGATGTTTTAGTATGTCCGCAGAGGCAAATCTTTGTTTAAGAGTCTCAAAAGCATTCACAGCCTCTTTGGACCATACCGTGCTACTAACCCCTTTGCGAGTCATATTAGTGATGGGGGCTATTACAGAAGAAAATCCCTTGATGAATCTTCTGTAATAGTTGGCAAAACCAATAAACCTTTGAATGGCTTTTAAACCAGAGGGTAATGGCCAGTGTAGTACAGCCTCTAGTTTTTTAGGATCCATTTGAAATCCCGATGCAGATATGTTGTAACCCAAAAAGTGGACTTCAGGCTGGTCAAATATGCACTTTTCTAATTTACAATAAAGTTTATTTTTCAACAACGTCTGCAGAACCTGTTTCACATGGGAGTGGTGAGTTTGAAGACCAGGGGAATACACCAAAATATCGTCCAAGGGGGGCGGGGCCTGGCTGCAGAGCTGTGAGGAAGCTCACCACAGCAGCTCCTGCTAAACTCTGCACTTAATGCTAAATTTCACCGTTACACAGGCACTTAATTGTGAATTTAAAGCTACCACTCGAGAGCAGACACCGAGGGGAAGAAAACAATACCTCTCCAGCGACGAACCGAGCACAACTCACAATGAGGCCTACAAGCATGGCAGGCGCAGGGGAGACGGCCGCTCCCCAGCTGCAATGCCATGCCCGGAATCTGGCTGCAAGCCCACATTCCCTCTGGACCGGTGGGGGTTATCCCGGTCTACCCCCAACTGACTCCCTGGCAAAGCAATGGGCCAGAATCGGCTCCGTGGAGCCCAAAACTAACAGACCCAGCGGTGTTCAATATGGCGGAAACCTCCGACGCATGGCGGGAAACGGAGATGCGGCTGAACAGCATCTTCGCTATTTTCTGGGAGTCCCTGGAAGCCCGCATGAGAGCCCCACTCCAGACCTTGCCACAGCGCACCTCACAGGAGGCCAGAGGGGGACAAACAGCAGCGCAGCCCCAAAAACAGCTGTATCACAAGGGTGACGCTAACCCGAACAGGCAGGGGCAGAGGCTAGTCACAAGGCCCAAAAAAACGAAAGCTGGACGGTGGCAGAGGGGCAAGTACTCGCACCCCCCATGCAAGGCAGTGAAACGGAGGGGACAGGCGAAACTGAGCACAAGACCTCCCCAGATACAGCAAGTGAAGCAGAGGGGAGTAGGACCAGGGGAGGTGACCGCGTCAGGAAGGTACATACAGAGCTACCCCAGCCCAAGACAGGCAAACCTTCCCCGACGCACAGCTTGGCTGGAGCTACACTCAGTGCCCACAGCAACACTGCATAGCCTAGGGGACATCAGCTCCTTCACACCGAGGAGATCGCACCAGCTGCACCGATTACCGCAGAAGGTACATACACAGCCCCAACAAGGCATCGGCTGACCCCCAAAGGGACTAAGACTCAAATCTGGGCATAATACCATCTGTCACACAGCTCTCTGTGCCCCAATTGAACGCTCACGAATGTATACTGAAACATATAATTTACTTCTTTTGCTTTCTATTTTGTTTTCTGGTCTGCTCACCCAGGGGAGCACGGGGGGGACTAAAGTCAGAGTTCAGCAATTGTATAATATGAGTACACAAGCTAAGATTAGTCAGAATTTAAGCAACTAATGTACTTCTAGTACGCTTGGCTTTGCGCCATGTCTGTAAACTGCTGTTTAATTGGTGGGCCCAAGCGAAATATATGCTCCTGGACTCACAAATATTGCTGGAGCACCATAAGATCAGCTATGTTTCTGTCCTACACTATACCTCAGCTAACGATTGCTCCTGATTAATGCTTAATTACTCACACAGGATCAGCCCTGACTTAGGCCACTACTATACTTTAGCTGGCTTAGTGCTGCAAAATGTTATCAAGCTGCTGCTTAGCAGATAGGCCCCAAGCGACACATATACCACGACACCCACAAACACTGCTGGAATACAATACTGTATACCTCACATAAAGGCGTAAACCAACATGTGACCCAGCTACTTAAACGCTTTTGCCCATACATGTGTTGAACCGTACACTGCTTAAGGTTGTCTTTCCTGTTCACTAAATTACAAAAACGTGCTGAGTTAACTTATGCCACGAACATGTTTTACTATGTTATATTTGACTGCGTCTGTTACAGCTGTTGTGGCTACACAGACACTGTTGTAAATTCTTGCACGACAAAAATAAAGAATTAAAAAATTTTAAAAAAAATAAAAATTAAAAATATCGTCCAAATAAACCAAGACAAATGAGTAAATGAATTCCATGAGTACATCATTTATAAAGTCTTGGAATACGGCCGGGGCGTTGCATAACCCAAATGGCATTACCAGATACTCATAGTGTCCACTACGGGTATTAAATGCCGTCTTCCACTCATGATTCTCTTTAATTCTAACCAAATTGTAAGTGCTCCTAAGGTCGAGCTTAGTAAATACTTTAGCCCCCTGTAGTCTATCGAACAATTCGGAAATGAGTGGGATAGGGTATGCATTTTTTACAGTGATTTTATTAAGTGCCCTGTAGTCTATGCAAAGACGTAACTCACCACCCTTTTTCGAAACAAAAAGAATCCTGCACCAGCTGGTCCATTATTTTACTCTCCTGGGGAGATAAGGCATAAACTGCCCCCTTAGGTGGCATAGCGGCCTGGAAACAGGTTAATGGCACAGTCATATGCTCTGTGGGGAGGCAATACATCAGATTGAGCCTTGTTAAACACCTCCTGAAGTTCTCGGTATTGTATGGGAACTCCAGGGGTTTGGGAAGTGGTAGTGGGAAATGTCAATAGTACCCAATCTCTTTATTACTGGTTTCATACATCTCCCAATACACTTCTTACCCCATTCCAATATTTCCCCATTAGCCCAGTCAATATAGGGATTGTGCTTACTCAGCCACGGAAACCCTAATATGATGGGACATGATGGAGAAGAAATAATCTGAAACGTCATCTCCTCCCTATGGGAGGCCCCAATAGAGACCGTAATAGGGACAGTTTTGTGGGTTATAAGCGGTTGTGTGAGTGGTCTACCATCAATAACCTCTACAGCTAGCGGCGTAGGTCTCTCCCTGACTGGTATCTCATTACCCCTAACAAACTGGACATCAATTAAATTTCCAGCAGCACCTGAGTCCATTAGGGCACTGCAAGAAAACTTCTTGTTATCAAGGGAAAGATACTTCAAGGAGGAATCTACTTTTATTTTTGTTAGAGGACAACTCCATCACACCCAAGACCTGTCCCCTTAAGGTTCTTAGGTGCGGAAGTTTTCCGGACGCACTGGGCAATCATGTCCCTTTCTACCGCAATATAGGCATAACCCCTCCTTTCTCCTATACTGTCTTTCGGCTTCCGACAGTCTAGTGACCCCACAACTGCATAGGTTCGGGTTCGGACTGTACAGGGAGGTTAGACAAAACAGGTTTAGAGAATCGGGGTGCTAGGGACATAGCCGTACGTCTGGTCTTGCTTCTGGTGACTTCTCTGAGTCTTAACCTATTATCAATATGCATGACAAACGTAATAAATTTGTTAAGACTCTTTGGTAATTCTTTAGCGGCTATCTCATCTAGTATAGTCTCAGAGAGACCCTTTTTGAATGCTGAGATTAACCCATTGTTAGTCCAGTCTTCCTTGGAATCTAAGGTACGGAATTCAATAGCATAATCCGAGATAGACCGGTTACCTTGTCTGATGTGCATTAGGGCAGTGGAGGCGTCATCCTCTCTACCCAAAGGTTCAAACGTGAGCTTGAATTCAGCAAGGAATTCCTGGTAATTATGAGCAATGCTCAGATTACTCTCCCATAACGGATTAGCCCAGGCAAGGGCCTTGTCCTTTAATTGATTCATTAGATAACCAATTTTTGCTCTGTCCGTGGGGGAACAACCCTGGTGAGGCCTCAAAATGGTACTCCACCTGATTAAGAATTCCCCTGCAATCCTGGATATTGCCATCAAAATGTAGGGATGGTGATAAGGAGATGCTGGGAGTCCTATTAACAGTGGGTGGAGGTACACAGGTTTGAGGTGCTATGGGAGGAGACGCTGCAGATGCGCCGTTCTAGCGAGAAGCATACTGAAAGCCTGAGCAAATTGATCCATGCGGTTATCATTCTCCTCCTGACACAGTTCTACAGGATCTATGGCCATGTCGTAATATCAGGATTACTGTATGATCCAGCACGTAGAACTGTATAGCCTGAATGACAAATAAGTAACGTATTACCAGTCCTTAGAATGGCCGGATTTAACGTACACAGAATAGTCAAAATACTAGCCGAGGTCAGGGAACACAGAAAGGGACGCAACGATGAGGAAAGCCAGGAGTCAGGATATCAGAATACAGAGAAGTCAATAAGCAAAGCCAAAGTCAAAAACCAGTAGAAAACTATAAACAGGAACGCGCTCTCGGACAACCACATGGGAAATCACGACAGGGCACTGAGTGGAGGTTAGACTAGGTTTTTATATCCATCCTCCCTTTCCCATTGGTCAGCTCGGTATTTTGGCTCCAAAATGTGTGCGCGCGGGATTATTTATGCCTGTGGATGTGCAACGGCCGGTGCTAAACTGTATGCTGAGACAGTCAGGACTGCAAGCTTCCGGCCGCTGAGCACCAGGTAAGGGGAAAGTGTCAGATGGATATGTGACACACTGGCCTAGAAGATTAATACTTTGGAAATGTTATTCAAGTGATTAATCGCTCCTGCGATTTTCGAACAATACGGCTCCAAAAAAAAGCTTTTGACTCCTCACTGGACAACAGGACACAGGAGTTAAAAGCACTAAGAGGTGTTTGCCCAGAAATCTGTGTTTTGGCCCCTCTAGGGGTAAAGTACAAGCTCTGTGTCTGAGGCCTACTGCCTAGCTGCAACATAATGAACCCCTCACCCTGAGTGGTGCTGGCCCGGTTTACCCCCCTGTGGGTCATCCCAGCCTACCCTTGGGCCCTGCTGGCAGCTATCCTGGTGGCTGTGCCAGTTTTGTCTCCGGGCACTCCGTGGAGAGGTGGATCTCTCTCGGGGCTCTTGACGCCTCCTGTGTGCAATTATGGGCAATATACGCAGACTTCTATATGGCTCCTGAGGCGCTAACAATTGACACCGGGGCCCGGGTGGAGGTAGTCTGCCCAACAGTGTGGCTCCGAGGGCTCTCAGGCTGCTTGCTGATCAAGGCTGGACTACATGCATGATTATAGCAGACCGCCCGAAATGCCATCTACTTACTGCATATAGCTACCCCAGTACAGCTCCAGAAGCACTGCTACTCCACCCTACATCCTGCCTAGCTCGTATGGCCTTTGTGGCAGATAGACTGTCCATACCCTGCTAATGGCCTGCGACTGAAGGTTGGAACTGTGCATTGGCGGTGACTGCTTGGGGACTGAGGTCGCCTCTCCACGGGCTAATGGGCAGTTATTAAAGGGGCCATTTTTACCTCTCCGACGGGCTGGGTGTTTCTCTGGGGCCCAGGGGTCTTTACTCAAAATGGCAAGATTTAGTTTTATTTTATTCTTAAGCAAATAATTATCCATGCAATTCTGTTAAACGAGTCCTCACTGCTCAACTTGTTCTACGTTTTAGAAGCGACCTTTCTCATTTTGATCTACTTTAATCTAAAAAATAATAATAATTAAAAAAAAAATTTAAATTGTGCTGTTACTCTACATGCCATGCTAATGTTTTTTCCTGTTCTTACTGGGCTTGCCATTGCGGCTTTGCGAGCATATGTGTTAGCATTTGCACAACAAAAATATTACAATTTAAAAATATATATTAAGAACACTGGATTTTGACATATATATATATATATATATATATAAAAAAAAATCTAAAGTGGTGTATGGAACTTCCTAGGGTAGTTCTGAAAAATTAAACAATTGATTTTTATGGAACAAAGTGAAGAAAATCTATCAAGATTGTTTTTTCCCCCGATGGGGGGGATAATATACTTCTTAGTATAGGCATAAGCAGGTAATGAGAATGTTTCACGGGGAATTTGTGAGTCATTTTATACCAAACATTTATATCTTTATATATTGCTGGATCTTGCTGAAATCATTTGAAAAGCTTATCCAAAAATATTAAATCAATATCAGGGATGGGGCCTGACTGTCATACTGATCGGTCGCATCTTGAGTGACTCCTGAAAGAAAACTCCTTATAGTGTCCTTATTGCGGCTATTTGATCGAGAAAACAACCATTTCATAAGATCATGACAACTTGAACACTAGCAAGCTAACTCTTTGAGGCATTTCTGCTCACGCCGGGACTTAATTCAGAGGCCTACTTTAAAGCATGGAAGTGTGAGAAGCGTCCAATCTCCCCATCAGTACTACTTCTGGGATCAGAGGACGAAACACAGGACTCCGTTTCTATCCCTGGCAGTGAGGGTTATTGATTTTTTTCTATTTACCACTAGAAGAACCGAGACCCTATCAATGTCTAAGCAACACGCGACCTGGAGCACCACTCTAAGATGGCAGACAACACATACTCGTCCACTACCAGAGGCTTGGCAGATATCAGTTTAGCTTGGCTGGACAAGTTATTTTAGGATTTCTGGTTACAGTTAAGTCGCAGCCAGAAGCCGCCCATGTTGACTGTACGAGGCAGGGCCTACTCCAGAACTCACCTGATGTCCAGTGATCTATTCATGGTCGTGCTCAGATGAAAGCTTCTGTACTTAAATTTTCGAAGGAACCATGGTGGAAGTCCAAGCTGACTACGGACTACCAAACTCCCGGGCTGTCCGTTATCACATACCTGGTTTGAGGGCCTAGAAGGGACAACCCCCCTTTGTGCACTTCTCAAACTCTTGGAGGGTCTATAGCCGATGGCTTTTTGTGTTATTAACTAGATCTATTAATGCATACTAATGCTATTTTTTATATCTGTACATGCACAAGAAAATGTACTCCACTGTTTAGTATATCCCCAATGAAAACATGCATTTAATTATGCGTTACTTTCCAATGGGGGTATATCTAAAAGCAGCTTGCAAAATCTGCAGATCCTTTGCAAGCCATTCGATTCTTCCCTACCATAGGATTTCTGTGGCTGTCCAAACATAGACTTCCCAAGGCAGCTCAATGAGACGTGTTTGCAAGGCAGGGTCTCTGAACGATTGCTGCCTCTTCATTTCTCTTTTTGGTTGATAGCCATGGAGTTTAACAATGTCAATTGATTTAAATAAATGTAAAACAAAAAAAAAGTATATTTCTAATAAAATTTACACTTTTTTTCATTTTACAAAAAGATGACACTTTTTACACAAAAAGCACTTGAACAAGCTAAAGTGCTTTAGGGGTTTGGAGTGCCCCTTTAAAAAGTACCTTCAGATCACCACATTTAACATCAGTTTAACTTTGTTATGGCTATATTGATGCCATACATGTTTAACTTAACCCTTCCGTTTAAATTGTATTTAGAAAATAAATCACCTCTGTGTCTTTAACATCTGATCACATAGTAATTAAAATAAATTTGTATTAATAAAATAATTATGTTTGAACATTGTTTTTTTTTTTTTTTTTAACAGATTTATCTAAAGAAGCTGTCAAGTGACAGAGCTACTTTAATCTGAATACAAGAGCATCATGCTGAGAACTGATAAATATAGTTTTAAAAGCAAAATATCTAGGTAGGAAACAAGATACAGATATGGTAAACAGTTCCTCATTTCTACATTGTGATGTTCCTTTACTTGTGGTCATTGAATAATGAGAACCAGCAAATAGTCTTACAACTCTCACAGACTCTGGTTTAAAGTAAACTACCCATAAACAGCTACTAAAGGTTTTATTGATATTGAAGACCCAGTCTGGTAAAAGAAAAGAATGAACATATGTAACGCTAAGAAAGTAGACCTGTGTTTCAGAGTAAGAGGCGTTCAGAAACTATTTGCAGAGTTATTCACTAAACTGGTAACTGTAGATTTTAGTGTGGGCTGAAATGGAAAATGGAGCGGGGGTCTTATTGGTTGGTTAGCCCAAACCTTTGAAAATATCTGGTCAATGCCTTTTCTCAGTATGGTGAATAAACTTGTAAACTCCAGATGTTTTGGACTGCACCTTCCATGATACTGTCAGTATTATGACTGTAAGAGCATTATGGGAGATGTAGTCCTGAACATCTGGAGTGCCGATGGTTGCCTACCCCAGGTTTAGAGAATACAGTAAAAGGAACAGCGCACACATACAAACAACATTAAACAAGGCTACTTAAAATCCCCTATCTTAGCAAATATGGGGATTCGGTTTCACCATATAGCCATATTGGGTTAAGCCCATCACTATGTTACAGGACCCCAATATCGATGGGTCCAACATCTTAGAAATGCATGTTCTGGGTGTGCCCCCAATTCCCATTTTTTTTCATGGTTTTAGAATAAACATGTTCGAGGCCCACTATCCGTGACTATTCAAGTTTCAGTGAAATTCACACGAAATAGGAAATGTACAGGAAACTGCGAATGTCAGGTTAAAATTGTAGTTCTAGAAAATTAATGGCAACATTTTGGGTAAAATTTGCTTTTGCATGTTGAATTCATTGTCTCTCTATGTGAAAGGTGAAATAAGTTAATATCTGGGAAGGACAATGATTTTGTACTTGCATACACTTTCATTGATTGAGTGTTACACAGCATAGTAACCCAAAATATTGAGACTATAAATAAAATGTTTTAGGTCACATTATATTTTTACTACTTGAGTACTTCTCTAAAGAGACATTATCGTATCTCTTTAGTTCCTCAAAAATAAAATGTGTTGCAATTGAGAGGCTTGGTCACACACAGATATGAAAGAGTTATTAACAGATCTATGTAAAGAGACAACATGGTATTGTCACACTTGGTACGTAATCTGTACAAAACATATGGGCACACTTAAGATTTTTATGATAGTTCTAGGTTCACCATTAAGTTGTCTCTTTTCATATTTTTCCTGTAGCATATGGATAATTTGAATTGATTATGGATTTGAAATTCTTCAAGGTGATTGAAATCCTTTAGTGAAGTAATTCTAGTCATCACTGGCCCAGGATTTAGGTATTACCCAGTTCTATACCAACAGAATACTTTTGAAACCTGGACTAAAACTGGACTTGTGATGACATTGTTTTACAACATTGTGCCAAACTTGAATTCTTATGAAATCTTCTGTTATCTATTATTATATAGCTACTCTGCTAATGCTTTTCTTTTACCTTCCTTATGGCAATGTCCAAAAGCAAGGCTGAGCTAGTTAGCCCACTTATTAATTAGCCAACAACAAGTCTCTCCTTGTCCTGCCTATAACCTTTCTTTCTCCTATTTTACAAGTGCTCTGCTCCACGTTTACCTGCTTCTGCCTGTCCCTGCTATCGTGCATCAGCTCCTACTCCTCCCCTTCCTCTTCCCACTCTTCTGCAGTGTGCACATATCGTAACTGTATGAGGCAGTGTGCACATTTTGTATCTGTGTGTATGAGGCAGTGTGCACATTTTGTATCTGTGTGTATGAGGCAGTGTGCACATATCGTAACTATATGTATGAGGAAGTATGCACATATCTAATCTGTATGTATGAGGCAGTTTGCTGCAAAATATCATGGTCACTACTCTATCCTAATTCTCCTGGACCTTTCCGCTGCTTTTGATACTGTTGATCATCAACAGCTTCTTCTAATCCTCCATAATCTCGGTCTACGATATACTGCTCCTGATGCTCCTCCAACCTCAACAAGTACTCTTTTAGAGTTTCTTTCTCTGGCTCTGCCTCTTCATCACAACCTCTCTCTGTTGGTGTCCCCCAAGGTTCAGTCGTTGGTCCCCTACTGTTCTCGATCTATACTGCCACCTTGGTAAACTCATCAGGTCCTTTGGCTTCCATTATCACTTCTATGCAGATGAAACGCAAATCTATCTGTCCTACCCGGATCTCTCCCCACCACTCTTAACTTGTGTCTCTGACTGCCTCTCTGCTATTTCTAACTGGATGGCTGCCGATTTCCTTAAGCTCAACTTGTCCAAAACAGAACTTCTGGTCTTTCCTCCCTCAAGTGTTGCTACTCCCGTGTCTGTCTGTCTCCACGTTAATGGTGCTACCATCAGATCCACCACGCAGGCTCGTTGCCTAGATATTCTCTATGACTCCGACCTCTCCTTCACCGCTCATGTCCAGTCGATTGCCAAATCCTGCAGCTTCCATCTCAAAAACATTGCGCGCATCCGCCCCTACTTAACGCCAGATGCGGCTACGGTGCTGGTCCATGCCACTGTCCTTTCTCGCTTTGACTACTGCAATCCGCTTCTCACTGGTCTTACGTGCTCCCAACCTGCGCCGTTACAGTCTATAATGAATGCGGCGGCGAGGCTCATCTTCCTGTCTGCCCGCACCTCATCCCTCTGTCAGTCCCTGCATTGGCTTCCCATAAGATTATAGGGCTCAATATAAAATTCTGGTTCTTGCTTTCAAATCTATATATAATGCTAATCCTCCCCAATACACAAGTATGTCCCTGTCAAGGCTCCTACGCTCTGCAGAAGACCTGCGTCTATCCTCTGTTCGTACATCCCCCTCTGATGCTCGCCTTCAAGACTTCTCTAGGGCTGCACCGTTCCTGTGGAACTCTATTTCCTTTTCCGTTAGACGCTCACCCACTCTCTACTCCATTAAAAAAAAAATTATTTCTACTCATCCCATAATCAAGGTAACATGCCACCGAATAGATCCCGGGTATATGACACTAATGGTCACCATACTGTTCCCATCTGCATTGAATATAGTTTTTGGAGCAGGCGCAATAGCAGCTTTTACTCTCAGGTTACGCGGCCACATATCGCTCTCTTACAGCCCAACATATGACATCAATTCAAGTGTCTCTCACTAAACGTTAACGGCCTGAATAGCCCGTTCAAGAGACATGCAGCAATTAAAGAGATACATGACTCTAAAGCAGCAATAGTCTGCTTACAGGAAACGCACCTATGCACACATCACCCTCCGACTTTTCAACCAACCGGTTACCCTCAAACTTTCCATGCACTCTCACCACACAAATCCAAAGGCGTCTCTATATTGTTCCAACAAGACTGGGTTTTTCAACAGACAGGGATATATCAGGACAAATTGGGAAGGTTATTAATATTGGTGGGTACGCTGAATGGCATCGCAATCACAGTGGCCTCGTTGTATGCCCCAAACGAAGCCCAGGCCTCCTTTTTAAAATCCGCACTCAACAAAGTGGCAGCTCTTAGGCAAGGGCACACTATTATCTGTGGGGATTTCAATTGCACACTGGATCCAAACCTGGACATACAGAGGGCCCAAGGAAAAAGACCACTACACCAAGCCACGTCACTAAGCCGCAAACTTGCCACACTCCTCCACACACACAATCTTTATGATACATGGCGTAGCTTATATCCTAGCGGGAGGGACTATACTTATTTCTCACCAGTTCACCATACGTACTCACGCATTGATTTATGTCTGGTCGACGCTATAACACTACAAAATGTAGCGGATGTGAGGATTGGGAATAGGACATGGTCAGACCATGCCCCGGTCACCACCACGTTCAAAACCCTATACCCTGTTAGAGGTAGAAGCATGTGGAGACTAAATGACGCCCTACTAAACGATGCTGACCTACTTATAAAACTAGTTAATACGATTACACTGTTCTACCAAGACCATACAAATGATGAGACCTCTATCCCTACACAATGGCTAGCTCTCAAGGCAGTGCTTAGAGGCCTCTTTATACAAGCAGGAGCAAACCGTAAAAGGAAGAGCAATCAAAACAAAGAGCGCCTGCTAGAAGAACTTACACAGATTGAGGAAAAAAACAAACTCAACCCATCCAACAAATTGACGAAACAAATTAACAAAATAAACTCGGAGCTACATGCTCTGGCCCTAACCACTATGGAAAGGCAAATGCGTAAACTCAACTTAATTCATTATATGCAAGGTAATAAGGCGGGCAAGTCACTGGCACGTCGCCTGAAAACACGTCACCTGCAGTCTAAACTACCATACATGACCTCAGCTACCAAACATAAGCTATACAACCCCCAAGATATAGTGGAGGAACTAGCCTCTTATTATGACAAGCTATATAATCTACATAGATCGAACGATACACACCAGCCATCCAAGGACGAAATCCTAGACTTTCTAAGCAGCGTAGACCTACCCCTCCTCACAGACGCTCAAAAAACATACCTCCAAACACCATTCACGGAGGAAGAAGTGCATAAGACCATTAGCTTATTGCCCAAACGGATTCCAGAACTCCTTCTACACGACGTTTAACACACAACTAACACCACATCTCACCAAGCTCTTTAACCACATCAAAGACACTGGGAACATCCCGCCCGAAATGCTCCTTGCACACGTGATAACACTCCCGAAGCCCGGGAAACCCCCAACGGAATGCGCTAACCTTAGACCAATCTCTTTATTAAATGCTGACACCAAACTGTACACAAAGCTCTTAGCCACTCGCATTAAGCCGCTGCTCCTAGATATGATCTCACAAGAACAAGCTGGGTTTGTCCCTACAAGACAACCAGGAGATAACACACGCCATTTCCTAAACCTAATCCAATGGGCACAAAAAACCCAACAACAGGGCATATTACTAGCACTCGATGCCGAAAAGGCATTTGATCGCCTAAATTGGTCCTATATGACAGCAGTGTTGACCAGAATGGGGTTCCCCCCCTCATTCCAAAAGAGCGTAATGACCCTGTACTCTAACCCTTCGGCCAAGGTATATAACACCGGCTTTCTCTCCAAGCCCTTCCAAATAACCAATGGCACCAGGCAAGGCTGCCCTCTCTCTCCACTGATATTCATCCTCTGCCTGGAGCCACTGGTTAAACATATCAAATCACTAGACACGATTCAGGGACTACATACACCAATAGGAACTATGAAAATCGCTCTATTTGCGGACGACATCCTACTATTCATTACTGATCCCTCCAGATCCCTCCCCAATCTCTTGGCACTTTTGGACAGTTATGGCAAAGTGTCATATTATAAGAATAATGCGAAAAAATCACAAGCATTAGCAATCCGTATACCAAACCACACACTACAAACCCTCAAATCCAAATACCCATTCGATTGGCGTAAAACTTCGATTTCATACCTAGGTATTCAATTGCCTTCCCCACCCACATTAGTCACAAAAGTGAATCATATCCCACTTCTGCAGAAACTAGATCTTCAACTTAAACAATGGGACGATAAAGGAACCTCGTGGCTGGGGCGCATTAATACTGTTAAGATGATGATCCTGCCACACATCTTATACCTCTTTCGTACACTGCCGATAGCGATCCCTAACGCGCTAGTGAAAAGGTTCCAATCAATCATAAATGCACATATTTGGAAGAGAAAACCTCCCCGAGTCTCACATAAATTGATCTGGAGACCCCTTCCGGAAGGAGGCCTTAGTGTACCCAACGTTCAGCTATATTACAAAGCATCAATACTAGCACAGGGCCTCACGATACTGGAAGGCTTGGCAACCCCCATCTGGCTGGCATTGGAAAATGCCTGCATGACAAAAGGAACGATGGAGGATGCCCTTTGGGCATGCTCGGACAGACAGCTACAAGTCGCCAATAACCTACCCCCGACGAAACTGCTGCTCCGTATATGGAGACAGTCGACCCTACAGCTGGATATAGGTAGAGACCTCCTCCACGCCGCGCCCTTGCAATCACTGACACTTCACACCAACGATCTATGCCTTGACACCTGGGTACGACAGGGCATTCTCAATGTGAGCTCCCTGATCAATGATGCGGGAGTGATAGCCTTCCCAACACTACAACAGACATTCACTCTCCCGGATAGGGAACTATTCACATACCTACGCATTAAAAACATCCTACAGGTTCACAAACTACATAGAAACAGAAAATTCCCACCACCACGATTTCTCCTTAAGTGTCAAGGAAAACTTAAAGGCATTAAAGCGTTGTCTTTCTGTTACACCTCTCTCATGAACCTAGCGAACAAGGAGATTCCCCCATACATGAGCTCCTGGGAGAAGGATCTCCAAACACAAATTAGCCAAGACACGTGGCGGAAGGCTCTGGGTAGAATAAGGAAATCCACATACAGCATGGCCCACAGGGAGGCGTTTTGTAAAATTCTAATGAGATGGTACATGGTACCCTCACGCCTAGGGCATATTTACCCCAACACATCCTCCATGTGCTGGAGATGCCAAACCACTGTAGGCACACTACTTCATGTATTCTGGACATGCCCCAAAATAGACACATTCTGGGACGCAATTGAACAGTTCCTCTTGGAAGAGATGAAAATAACAGTACCGAAATCCCCAGAATGCTACCTACTTCACATCTTCCCTCATTCTCCCAGGGAAGACGAACTACACATACTCACTCACTGTCTACTTGCTGCCAAAACTGCGATAGCACACAGATGGAAACAACAGCAAAGCCCAAATTTAACAGAAGTCCTAACACGCCTCGACACTACATGCAATTTCGAACGAATGGCCAGCCGCCTTCGTAGCAAAGAACATATCTATATCAGGCAATGGCAGCGCTGGACCCGGTTTAGAGACCAACCAGGGATCTAGAGACCAACGCCAGTACCCCTTTAGGGCCTCGATGAAACTACACCACATCGCAGTACCCCATGTTCACCTACACAACCTCACTCAACTGTCTACCCATGGGTGCAGAAGTCAACTTAAAAAACAGGCCAGATAAAGAGGTAACTAGTAGCCTAGGTACATAGACGGTAAATAAAATACCCCATAGAAGTAGCCAGACTGGAAATCTATCAGGCTTTGTTAACAAACTGTACTAAATAGGGTTAGGATATTTGTTTGGATTTAGCTAGTTAGGCCAGCAAACACACCCCTACCTAACAATTGACAGTGGCAGTGTATGTCGATGTGGAACACAGTTTTCCAAAGTCTCAACCATCATGATCTAGACGCCACTCGAAGGTTCCCCTAATTAACCTACACTACCCATCACCTACGCTCCTATACATGCAATAATTGTATCTCATGTGTGCATTCGTACTTTGAAATTTGTACTTTGAAGGTGTACTTTGAATTTGCATTTGAACTGTAATACTTGACCTGCGTAGTCAAGTAACCTGTATGGATCTATGTATTACCCGCATCCCCTCCTTTTTGCTTTCTGTACCCCCCCCCCCATCCCCCCTTATGTTCTTCCGATCTGATGATTGTGATAAGAAAACGAAAAAACATTTCAATAAAAATTTAAGACATTGAAAAAAAAAAAAAAAAATTATTAGAACTCCCTTTTTTCACAAAAGCATATCAATGAAACTGTTAATGGCTCAAAAAAAAAAACCACACTAAGTCTTCATTGAATATTATTCTACCAATCTACTTCCCTAATACTTCCCTTACCGTTTGTGTCACTTTACCTTACTCCCTCTAGCATGTAAGCTCATTGAGCAGGGCCCTCAACCCCTCTGTTTCTGTGTGTCAAACTTGTCTGGTTACAATTACATGTTTGTTAGTCCAACCATTGTAAAGTGCTACAGAATTTGTTGGCGCTATATAAATATAATCATAATATCGTAACTGTGTATGAGGCAATGTGCACATATCGTAACTGTGTGTATGAGGCCATGTGCACATATATCTGTGTGTATGAGACAGTGTGCACATATCATATCTGTGGGTATGAGACCGTGTGCACATATTATAACTGTGCTTATGAGACTCTGTGCAAATATTGTAACTGTATTTATATCTGTGTGTATGAGGATGTGTGCAGATTTTGTAATTGTGTTTATGAGGCTGTATGTATGATGCGGTGTGCATGAGGCTTATTACCTTTCTCCCCTACAAAGGGCAAGGACCAGGTGAATACATCCATGAAGTTTGGCAACCAGTAAGGGTGCGGAGAGCAGTTAAACTGACGAATATTCATTACATTATTTTCGTATTTCAACACTGCAGCTGCAGGAAGAAAAAGGGGTAAATGTTTAAAAGAGAAAAATTTAAAAATAAATACATTTCAAAAAAAAATAAAATCACACGTGTCTCTATATATAGTGTAGTGTGCTCCTACATCTCAAAATATTTTATGCTATTTCTACCTCTATGCACCTTGCTAAGTTTCTCTCTTAGCACACTGCAGTGTGCTTCTCTCACCCCCCATATACATACTGCAACATCATCCTGCACACAGCAGCCATTTTTTTAACACTATATACACACACACGTTTTATATATACACTGCAAGCAGTGTTACACCACCTATAAATTGCAGAGTACAGCAGCAATATTTTACCTTTACACACAATACAGACAGTATGAATGCCAGATTCACTTTAGATACACAGTAGATGTCAACACTTTATATACACTGCAGACAGTAGCAATGTCACTTTCATTTTACAAGCAAAGCTGCCTTCGCTTTACATACCCTCGAGACAGACAGCAGCAATCGCAATTTCACTTTGTTTACCCTACAGACAGCAGCAAATCCACCATCAGTTTATTTACAGTAGGCATCAACAGGGCCACCTTTGCTTTACCTACACTGCAGACAGTAGCAAAACCACTATGACTTTACCTACACTGCAGACAGTAGTAATGCCACCTTCACTTTACACACACTGTACACGCACTAATCTCTAAATCCTGATCATTCACACCTCAGACACAACCAAGATAAATCACTATTCAAACACACATTCCTCAGAAACAATGCCACACATATACACTGTTGTGTGTAGTCTCACCTTTATTGTTGTACACATCAAGATAATTTGGTGCAGAGAAGATGGTGATGAGAGAGGGGAAGCCAGTGGTCTGACTCTTACGGTACATGCGGTACCTACAGATGAAGGGAAGTGGACAATACTGTTTTGAGCATCAGTAGCAAAACCACACCAGTAACAGCCTTACCAAGCAGGTAATCGATCAGCCTATGTTTGCCCAAGATAACCAAAACAACCACACAGATTTGTCCTTGGCATACATTAAGGTTGTCAAATTACTGGTGAATATGTAAATTTCAGCCTTGCCAAATTGTATGGGTTTGAATGGGAATGGCAACATATGGGTAAAGCACAATTATAGTTTGTTTATGTAAAGCAAGTTAGATATCAAATGATGCTGAGAGAGTCCCAATTTGTCAAGACCTCGTGGCCTACTCTTGATTCCTAGCAATTACTGGACACAATAGCAGTCCCTCTTTATCCAAATCCTCTTGTTTTGGTGGCATTTTGAACTAAAAAGTTGTAGATCTTGTCTTAGACAACTCAAACTAGCAGGCTAAAAGGAATGAGAGATTTTACCCAGCATCCTGCGCTTCATGAGCTCGAATAACCGACAGGAGATTGTTGCTCTGGAGAAATTCACAGACAGCAGGATAGCTGAAAAATACAGCAGAAAACCAATGGGAATTGCGTGTTAATTGGCAGCTGAAAGAACGGATATCTTAAAAACGTACTAGCCTGAGTCCCTGCTTATATGGAGAGGGACTCTCATCCACATCTAGTCGTATGCATACTCTACACATTGTGCCTTGTGAAATCATGAGAAAATTAACATTAACATTACTTTAAAGGGACACTTCACTGCCCAAATATAAAATATAAATCACAGTTTAGTATTCATACCCCAAATGACAACATGCATGCATTTAATTGTGCATATTTTTCATTGGAGGTATACCTAAAAAGAGCTTGAAAAAGTGCAGATCTTGTCTGCGCTTTTGCAAGCCCTCCTCTTCTAAACCCGCCCAGACTTTATGTGACTGTTCAATTACAGACTTCCCAATGCAGCTTAATGTGAAGTCTTTGCAAGGCAGATGCTCTTGGTAATTGCCGTTTCTTGAGTTCAGTGCAAATATGCTAACCAAACCAAGAAGTAACAGGATATGTTGTCTGCTGGAAAAGCCGGGGTTGAGTAAAAGTGTCAATTTCTATTGAAATCTGCACTTTTTGCAAATGAAAGAAAAGAGGAAACACTCTTCACACAAAGCTTTTCAGCAAGCTAAAGTGCTTTAGGGGTCTGGAGTGTCTATTTAAATTCTACTTATTTGAACACTGCATAGACATTCTCCATGAGGTTACCAGAAATTAATGCGAGGGGCAGTAAGTGTAGAAATTGTGTAGATGGATGCACAAACACAGACACAAAAACCAAGCATGGCACATAAGTCATTTGGTTGGGAGATGGCAACTGCAAGTTACTGCAGTCTGTAAAAAAAAAAAAATTGTGTAGAGAAAAGCTGGCACATTTTAGACTATAATTCTCTTTGTTCACAATGGTTTCATTAATCCAATGTTGTTTTTTTTAAATGAGTAAACCCTAATAGCAAATGGCTATATTTGATACTTTAATAGCTGTTAGAGCACAAGTAAGAGTAGCAAAAGGATGGAGAGCACATTACCTATAGAAATACGAGCAACCGCGCACTGTGTTGTGAGTAAAGTGCTCTAGCGTTTTCTCATTTCCGTAATCTTCAGCTGGATCGGACCACAGCAAGTCACACATGGGGCCAAAGGCGGGGGGTTCCTTAAATCTGTCTAACTGAGGAGACAGAGAGAATACGAAGGGAGAGAGGTAAGCGTTTCCACAGGAGAAAGAATCCCTTCACTTGAGCTATATGTAATCCTAGCCACCAAGCCATATACCCCATTTGTAACTGTAAAGATGTACATATAATCCTACTCCCAGAATTCCACTTGTGACTAACTGTAAAAATACACATAATTCTACTCCCTGCATTCCTCCACTTGTCAGTTTTTTTTTTAACATATAACCCTAGTGTCAGTATTTTTTCCATATGTAATTGTTAAGATGTGTATATAATCCTACTCATAACATTCGCCCGTTTGTAACAGTGCAGATCTTTTTATAATCCTACCCTCAGCATTTCCCCTCTACATAACTGTAAAGACAACATGCACTGAATCCTACTCCATATATTCCCACATTCATAACTGGAAAAATAACTTTGCATAACTTTACAGATCTACATATAACCCTACTCCCAGCATTTCACATGTGCAGAACTGACAGGTGTATACACACACAAAAACACACACAGACACTTTTGGGTTGTTAGTTTTTTTTGGGGGGGAGGGGAGATTTTGTAATACACTCACCTTCCTGATGTCATCCAGGCAAGTGATTTCAGGCGACAGTCCACCATGTACACATAGAAACTGCTGGTTGAGAAGAGCTGCCAGTGGAAGACAGTCAAAGGCATCCATGCACGAGTCATACACTCGCTCTGAATACTTAATCTTACCTAAGGGAAAGCACACGAGTTAGGACAAACCAGAAAGGGGAAAAGGGATGGTAATATGCAAAAGGCATGACATAGGCAGATGTGTAACTTATAGATAGCATACGAGTTTCATGTACAAGAAGTAGACATGTGTCCCTTCATATAATGGTCCTTTGGGTAAAATAGCACGCATACAATATTCTGCACACAAATTATGATTTGGGTAGAATAGCTGAGGATTAATACCGAACACTTGGTATATGTAACGCAATTCTAAGTAAACAGCGTCTGAACTCTGGACAGGCTATGCATTTGTTGCTGCATTTTGTAATTGCAGTACAGCTGAGAGTGTAAATGTCTAATTTATATTACTTCCTCTTTTGAACACAACCCATATTGCAGTGCTATTTGTTCCTAAACAGCAAAATATGGTCTGGTTCTCACTTAACGTTTACTTGACATGCACATTACAATTACATATTCCAACTTAAAATTGAAAAAATTCTCAAAACTTAAGCAATGGAAACAGACAATACAGAAGTACAGTCATGCAGACTCAGTAAGGCGCACAGGTTGTCAGGCTGCAGACTCAGTAAGGCGCACAGGTTGTCAGGCTGCAGACTCACAGGTTGTCAGGCTGCAGACTCACAGGTTGTCAGGCTGCAGACTCACAGGTTGTCAGGCTGCAGACTCCTTAAGGCGCACAGGTTGTCAGGCTGCAGACTCCTTAAGGCGCACAGGTTGTCAGGCTGCAGACTCCTTAAGCCGCACAGGTTGTCAGGCTGCAGACTCCTTAAGGCGCACAGGTTGTCAGGCTGCAGACTCCTTAAGGCGCACAGGTTGTCAGGCTGCAGACTCCTTAAGGCGCACAGGTTGTCAGGCTGCAGACTCCTTAAGGCGCACAGGTTGTCAGGATGCAGACTCAGTAAAGTTTATAGAGTGTCACTTTCTAAATATGGATTCAGATATTGACACAGACTAGCATGATTGTGAAGATTATTAGATAGTAAGCACCAAATTATAGTATATGCCAGAAATCATGATATATCAAACAGTAAAGCACATATGAAAAAGCGGAGTGCGCTGATGAATGTGTTCCCCAAGTCTTGTTGAAAAGCAGCAAGAAATACATTGAATATATGTGTGTGTGTGTGTCCTAAAAAGAAACAGATGGAAGGTGGGTATCAAGAATGCCAGAAAGAAAACAGGGCATAGGTTGGCTGGAATCATATTGAGAGCATGAATCGGATGGCAAAATAAGTAGACTACTAGGGGACAAAAAATAAAAATAAACAGAAAAATAACTAACAAAGCTATCAGGATTCAAATGAAAGAAGAGAACACAAAGAAGACAAATGCTCTGTAACAAAATGCCAATAGTGCAGGACACAGATTGGAAGGAACTAGAGGCAGCTGGTCAGACTGACAAGCCTTGAAAAGAAGCAGTCACTATGAGATCATCTCTGTGCACAATGGCACCTAGAATGGAAGAATAAGGAATACAATATAAACTGCGAGCATTCTCGATGTGCCACAGAATCTTCAGAAGATAGGTAGGGTGGGAAAGGTGATAACGGTACCAGCACATTAAACCTAGGATATAATGCAACATGATGGGTTTATAGGTTACTCACACAAGATGAAAACATCAAACTAAAGCTCTTCCTTAAACCACATGTAATAAATTATTCATAAATATCTTCTGTAAAAACAAAAAGAAATGCATAGTTTGCTAATGGACATGTGCAATATACAAAACTTTTGGGATTTTGACATTGGATGCGACTTTGCCTCTGTTACCTTATTCATTCTATTAATCCTTTTACTGTTCAACACTGACAACTTGATAGTAAAAAGAAATAGTGTAATAAAAAAATGGTGCTAAATATAAAGTGCAAACAGATACCATACAGTGTGGTGTAATGCAGCTTGTACCACCGTGAAACCAATCACTCCAGTTCCACAAATAGAGCGTAGACAAATACAGAGTAATGGCGAACAGCGCAATAAAGGTAAAGCACAAATTCATTTAGTCCTTGGCTTGGAGAGAATTTAAAACCTTTTTCTAAAACTCTTTGTTGGTTAAAATTTTAAACCTTTTTAGAAATATTAAAAATGTTTATAGGTTAAGAGGAAATATAACCTATACATTTTTTAAATATTTCTAAATAGGTTTTAAATTTTAACCAACAAAGAGTTTTACAAAAAGGTTTTAAATTCGCTCAAAGCCAAGGGCTAAATACATTTGTGCTTTACCTGTGGACCTTTGTAACAAATGGAATGGTTAAGCTCCTATCAACCCTACAAGACCGTGGGAAGTTTTCTTGTATATAACACTCAAAACTTACCTACCTGAGCCAGTAATATATACAGGCTCTGGAAATGTGAGTGTGATTACTGCAGTGTTTCTTTATGTACACTTATTGATTTTATTAGTTTTATTGCCCTATGAGATCTTATGTCTGATTCCTCCTAGGAAATATCCAAGAAATTCTAAAGGGTATATACTTTATTTTATTGTATTTACATCACTTGTGGTACACTGTTTATTCACTTTTTTATTGCGCTGTTCACCATTACTCTGTATTTGTCTGTACTAACAAATTGATGTTCTTCTGCGTTCACCAGTGATTACGGAGAAGACAGCGTACTCACCACTAGCTATCCCTCTACTGCAAATATGTAATACTTTTCAATAAAAGAGGTCTATATTTTTAAAGAGTTATCAGCTGCTTCATATATGAACCATAATCCCTGGATATTTCACATGGATGGGACTCTTATCAACACGTCAGAACATCTATTAAAAAAACAACTGGTTATGTCATGTGGCACTGATCTATCATAGTTCTGTAGGACAAGTTATAACCAATATGTACTTATGGGCACAGAAAGAACACACTGTTTTGTTAATTCTAACTACGGATATCTCCAACTTATGGTTACTACATAGATAAAAAACAACTATAACCTATTCCTTTAAATTGATTCCTTTTTTTTCTTAACACTTCATCCTATGTGAAGTGAGACATATTGCACACGAAAAGTATAACATGACTTGTGAATATGGACAAATTCCAAGGACATGTTCCCGTTGAACTTAAAGGGACACTATAGTCACCAGAACAACTACAGGTTAATGTAGTTGTTCTGATGAGTATAATCATTGCCTTCAGGCATTTTCATGCAAACACTGCCTTCTCAGAGAAAAGGCAGTGTTTACAGTGCCCCTAGAAACATCTCCAAGTGGCCACTCCTCAGATGGCCACTGGAGGTTCTTCCTGGCTCAGTGCTGCACAGTAGGCAGCACTGCCGTTCAGCGTCTCCACGCTCTGCATGGGAACGCTGAATTTTCCTCATAGAGATGCATTGAATCAATGCATCTCTATGAAGAAGTGCTGATTGGCCAAAACAGTGTTTGGCCCCTCTCCATCCCATTTTAACCAATTCATTGGATTGGCTAAAAATCTGCAATTCTGATGATGTCATCAAGCAGGCGGATCGGGGGGCGGGGCCAGCGCTGGTGGACCTGCGTGGCGTTGGAAATAAGGTGAGTTTTAATTCCTTTTAAGGGGGGCAAGCCACCTAAATGGTGGGTTTAACCCTGTAGGGTCAGGAATACATGTATGTGTTCCTGACCCTACAGTGTTCCTTTAAGACTACGTAGATGCTTTTTGAACAATAATTGAAATGTTCTTTTAGAGAATGAGAAATAGAGCAAGTAAACGATGGTAACCAAGTCAAGAATACATATAGAAATGTTATTTGTGTGTTGATATTCAGGTAAAAGGGATACTCCAAACCTCTTAATAACATCATTAGAATGAAGAGGTTTTGGTGTGAGTAGGTCCCAGACACCAGCGCACCTCAAGGAGTTAAACATTTTAACCCCTAAGTCTTAATTATGGTGCCCAATCGTCCTCCCTACAAACATCCGTTACAGTCCAAAGCTTGAATTAGGAAATTTCAGACAGGAGAGCATCAGCTGACACCTTTAGCCTATCAGGCTTGAGGAAACCGTATGCAATATATTTATGTTCAATTGAGTATCCTCCTCAGAAAGAAGATATTAGATTTCTATTTGGTTTAGAGACAGTTGTCTGCTAAAACTGGCTACCATCATGGAAACAGTATAATATTAGCCATCTTCGTGGGGCCCTCTAACAGTAGAAACACTTGAACTTTGACATTATCAGTTTGTCTTCAGCATGGCATGAACAACAGTCAATAACTTGGTTGCTGTGGTAGACATGTGAGGTTTCTAACCCACATTAAAATAGCCTCAAGTTGGATTAAAAGCTCCTTCACATTTTTTTTATCATAGCACCAACATGAAAAAGAGTTTTCAGATTATCCCAATGGCCTCACAAAAAATGGCAATAGATAGGACACGAGATGCTTTTTGTTTTATTTATTTCTCTTAAAAAGTAAAGCTGCAACTTCTTAATAGACTGCACTGTTTGTTCGGATGACCTTTCCCTTCTCTTATTCCCCAATGTTCTCATTAACAGATAAGAGTTTATGGTCTAAGGCATATTGAATTTCAAAGTCTCAAGGAACAAGCTAAGCTAAGGAGTGGTATGTTGGCAAGTGATTGGACCTGATGAAATGTCTTGGATCCCAGATGAAGGTTAGCATGCCACACACAGTCAACATATTAAGTGAAAATTTAACCAGCAAATCAGTTGTGTTGTCTCTCAATGTCTGTCCATCTGAAAGACTGGACATACAATTAAAAAAACACTTTTATTTGATGGTACCACAGTAATGTGCCTACATCATGAGATATTTATTTGCCAGCTACAATACAGAAAATAGTTTATTACAAAAATGCATGAAATAAGTGAAACAAAAAGCTGATCGGTAAGACAGAAAATAAATTAAACTTTCCTAAACAAATATATGGAAGGAGTATGACAATGGTAAAAACTCTGCTGGATAAGCAATGCAGAGTGCAAGGAAACAAATTGCACCAAGTATATCTGACAGGGCCACATTTGTTTCCATTACCAGCAGTGTCTCCCAGTCACTCAAATGTTGCTTGTGGAGTCACTCAAGGATCAGGTCTTAACCCTTCTATTCTACAGGTGTGCCCGTAAGTCCCTACCCATCTATATATCTTATGTATAAGTGAAGAAAGAGTGGGTGAGAGAATAAAAAATATACAGTGTATCTGTGTGCTGGATGGGTAGAGACTTATCGGCCACCCTGTACATATTTATGAAGGCACTTTTAACCCCTTCATTGCTCAGCCTCTGTATTGTGCAGAAAAGGAAAGCACAGGGAAGCACTGGGTGCTGGCGATTGGAAGAGAGTGTCAGCTCACTTTGAGCACTGCATACAGTTCATCTGTCAGTCTGGGGTCATATTTAACTGACAGAACTAAATCCCAGGTATTGATACTTGGGTCTCCCTGGTGTGAGCAGTAATTTACCCCTGTTTATAGCCTCTGTGATTAAATCCCCATTTAAAGCGCTGTATGCAGTGATCGCTAAAATGTTGCATACAGTTCATCTGCAAGCCACTAAATATGGCCCTAGTTGGCACAGAAGAGCCCCAGATATGAATTGATATCTAGGTCTTCCTGATGTGAGCAGGGTCAAATCCCAAAGCTTTAGGACATTTCATGACGTTCTAATGGCATTAAAGTCCACTCTGTGGAGAATGGAATGGAAAGTCCCAACGCCATATGTTAATGCCAGTAATAAACTATGGGAATAGAATATATTGATCAGCAGTGTAAACACATCTGTCTAAATTCAATACTCTATATAATTTGTTACTTCACATTGTTCCCAGTGTAACTACAGAAGCCATCTTTGTGAGAAGTTGGAACTTCTAAACGGTCTAATTATAGAAACCAGATTCCACTCCAGGCACTATAACAATTTAATTAAAATAAGGTTTTTATTGTGCAAGGAGGTCCCAGGCAAAGGCATATCTCAAGGGGTTAAACCATTAACAAACAGTTTAATGTCTTTAATCTGGCACCTGATCACTCTAGCCCTTCACTTCTGTTCCAGTCCGAGGCACTGTGTGCCGCAGTTAGGCTGAGAGCATCAGCTGATGCTAACAGTAGTACCCCAATGACAAAATGGAATGAAAAAGGTACCAATCTTTCTGTCAGTTTTGTGAGTGGGGAGCTACTTGGTCAATGGCTTCCTGATTAAAGCAGCTGACTGGAATAGAAGTGAAGGAGGAGAGCGATCAGGCTCCAGATTAAAGACTTTGAAATCAAACTATTATTTAGCCGTTTAACCACTTAAGATAAGCCAGCGCCTGGTAACTCCTCAAGCTATAACAACTTAATTCTATGGTGCAGCAAAGTGGTCCTTTAAGGCCTCTTTTTTTTTTATCCATCCCCCACTTCAAAAAGGAGGTCAGTCGAGTATCTTTCTCCTATAGCCTGCCAGATAATATCAAATCTGACACCAGTCTGAAGTCCCTGAAAACAACTCCAACTACCTAACTTCAATAAAAAAAGCAACTGCACTCATTATCAGACATTATATGTGTAACAATGCATGTCTAATTATGCTACATATGTGCAACATTGTTTGTTTTTTGTTTTTTTAGAACTCCCCAGGACAGCCCCTTCCAGGAGAGAAATTTCATTAGATCGTACCTTGTAAAATAGTTTACAAAGAAATACATGACTCAGTGTTGGGGCAGGGTAAAGCAAGAGATCTGAAAAAAAAGACAGTGGGTAGTAGGGCAGGGATTTACCACGGGAAACGAAAGTCTGCAGACTTTTATATTTAAGCACAGCGTTGAGTGCAGAAGGAACTACAAAGTAGGCTAAACATGTTAGGAATTAAAATATAAGTTAAATGCAGAGTGCAAGAGAAACCAAAAAAGATGCTGGACACATTAGGAATACAAATAGAAACCGGGTTCAGAAGGACTCAATAAGGATCCATATATTAGGGATACAGCTGAAAGTAGAGTGCAGGAAGAAACAGAAAGAAACATACACAAATGAAACCAACTTGTATTGTGCATGAGAAGCCAGAGAAAAGGAAACACAAATATCTGGTAGGATTTAGGCAAAAGCAGTGCAGCAGAAAATATATAGACCCAGAAACTGACTAAATGCATTGTGGGTCAACACTTGAAGAGAGGCAATAAAAAAAAACAAAAAACAAAAAAAACAGGACACTCATCAAAATCACTCACATTCTTGCTTGAAGGTGAAGTACTCTGTTAAGTGTCGGCACTCATGGTTCCCTCGCAGAAGAAACAGGGTTTTGGGGTGAATAATTTTCAGGCTCCAGAGGTATAGAACACACTAATGAGACAAGAAATAACAAAAGAAGAATGAATTATTAAAAGTATAAATGAATGAGGTGTACCAAGACCACCCTTTAACCCTGAATAATAAGGTCACAAATCTCTTTCAGTCTATTGGCCAGAGGATATATTAGTCTTTTCTACCTGGGCATGGATTTTTGATAGAAATGTAACAAGTATCTGTTCAGTCAGTCTATTCTAAGTCATACTGTTACCAGACACAAACCATTTTGTCTGTATGGGCATGAGACACTGACCTCTATACTGAAGTAGCCTCGATCCACATAGTCCCCCAAGAAGAGGTAACGTGTGGTATGTGGAGAACCCCCAACTTCAAAAAGCTTCATAAGGTCAAAGAATTGCCCATGAATATCACCACAAACTGCAAAAACAGGAAATAAAGGACAATGAGCAACAGAGTAATGTGTAGAAGAGTGATAAGAAATATGGGGAAAAAATGATAAAAGGGAGAGGAGTCAATAGTGGGAACCTTTATTAAAAACAGAGGGTAAAAGTTGCAAAAAACATAGTGAAGAGCAGTGAAGAAAGAGTGGGTGAGAGAATAAAAAACTACTGTTTGAGAAAGATTGTTCTAAGTATCAAGGAGGAGAAAAAGATAAAACATGGGATTCAGCTGGTGATTCACCTGTGATGGGGGCCTCCACCTCAAGCATGGTCTTCTCATGTCGCAGGATTGCAGCTCCCTCTCGAATAATGCGCAGGGCAACTTCCTCCTCCAACCGTCCCTCTTTGGCCAGGTGATTTTTCAGAGTCTCTAACTGAGGGCGTCCCTCTACAAACACTTCATTCATGGACAGGCGACGTGTAGGTGGGAAAGGTACAGCTGGCAGGAAGATAGGAAGAAAAAAGGAGACCATAACAAGAAGTTAATATTTAATTAAAATGATAATAGTCATAAACACTAAATTGTATTAAATTAAAAATAAATTGCAAAATTTTTGTCATAAATGGCTCATTTGCAAATGTTCTCCAATTCTATTATAGTCACAACTGGGCTGCTTTAGCATAAATTGCGAATTTTACTTTTCACTTTAGTGCAATTTTGTGTTTACTGAAAAAACTCTGCAGGGTGGCTGTTGTGGACAAAAATATTAACCCAAGTCATATTAATAAAATGCCTATTTACTCAGCATAACCACAATCAGCATTATTCAACCTTATACGTGATTTACCTAACCCGCTAGGGAGTTTCCCTTTGACATCGACTAACACCCTCATTAACAAGATGGCGCTGGAATCTGGGGGAGACCCCCAAGATACCAATGACATCACACCCGGTAGGAAGGTCCCTAAATGAACCACTTAACACCTAACCAATTATTGATGTATTATTCCATGTTATCTCTGACAATGCATATGATGTAATTTTGCTTTATAAGGGGCATGCCGTCCATTAACCCGAAACCTGTGTCTGGTGTGAATTGCTTCAGGAGCATGCACACGTCTTTTTAAATTTGGCCGGGGGCAGATACGCAAGATAATCAATTAATTGATTGATTGATTCCCCATCAATGGCTCTCTCATATTCAATAAAATGAGCGTTCTCATTTTATTTTGTACTATTACAACTTATGTATGTAAAATGTTAGATGAATAATAAGCCCTGTCATAATTCGCATGGCTACTCGACGGAAAAAGGAAACCGGACAACAGATAGCTGACCTAACACAGAAGATATCTGACCTGGAAATGGCCCACAAACACGACCGACAAGACCAGACTTACACAGACGGCTACTCTCAGAACTTATTGAACGCAAACACGCCAGAACTGTCCAAAGATCACATGCATTCTTCTACATGCATGCCAACAAGGTGGGTAAACTACTAGCACGGATGCTGCGAGGAGCGCAGGGCAGGGCGCAAGTCCACGCCCTGCGCACCGCCCAAGGCACAACAACTCAATTTCCAGAAGACATTTTGAGTGAATTCCAACGGTTCTACACACAGTTATACAATACACGTGGAGACGAAGACGGAATATCCCAAACCGCGAGGAAGACAGACACGACAGACTACCTAGAGGGCTTTCAACCGGACGCCCTCACACTGGAGGAAGCAGAAGAACTCGATGTGCCTATCACCGAAGAGGAAATTAGACAGGCACTGAAAGTAGCAAAAACCGGAAAAGCACCAGGACCGGATGGCTTCCAGATAGAATACCTCAAGAAATTCAGAACCATTCTTATACCCCACCTAACTAAGGCGATAAATAGCATACGTGAAGGAAACACCTTCAGCAGGGAAACCTTAGCTGCAACCATCACGGTCATCCCTAAACCGGGTAAAAACACGGAGCAAGTAGGAAATTACCGCCCAATATCACTCCTTAACACCGACATAAAACCTTTCTCCAAGGTGCTGGCGACAGAGTAGACTGGAACTTCATGACGGATACATTACGCACGACGGGCATGGGACGTGGTATGCTCGCATGGATCATCGCGCTTTACAGTCAACCGAACGCCAGAGTGAATAGGGCCCTTACGGATAGCTTCGACATCCGGAACAGCACAAGGCAGGGATGCCCGCTTTCCCCGCTCATATTTGCCCTCACCCTGGAGCCGCTCCTGGATCGCATTCGGAAAAACCAGAGGATAACAGGGCTAAGCTACAAAACGCACGAACATAAAGTCGCCGCCTACGTGGATGATCTGCTGTTTTTCCTCAAGAACCCAGCAGACTCCATACCACAGCTACTGACCGAATTCGAAAACTATGGGCGCCTCTCAGGACTAAAACTCAACCTAACGAAGTGTGACATTCTTAACGTCACCGTACCCGAGACTGAATGCACACAACTGACGACGATTCCAATTCCACTGGTGCCACGAACGTATGAGATACCTTGGGCTATGGATCACACATGAAGTAAAAGACATCTACGCACACAATTACACACTACTTCTGACCACCATCCTTGGAGACCTCAAGAGATGGAACTATGCACACATATCATGGCTGTGGAGGATAGCTGTAATTAAGATGAATGTCCTACACAGGATCCTATACCTCTCCCACACAGCGCTACAAACGGTACTGCAAACATTTTTCGCAACAATTAAGACAGCGCTCATTCAATACGTATAGAAAGGGGACAGGGCACAAATTAGCTACGAAAAACTCTGCCTCCCGAGACGATGGGGAGGACTAGCGCTACCGGACGTTAAACGATACCACCAAGCCACGGTACTACAGAGACTGAGGGAGCTACATATAGCCTCACCCCACAAACGCTGGGTGACACTATGGAGAGACACCACAGACAACAGACTGTACACGCTGATGTGGCACAAAGAAACGGAAGCACAGACAGCACTTGGAGAGGACTCCCCTGTTACACAGACACTAAAACACTGGACCATACTGAGGAACGAACGACGGATTTCACCCAAGCCGAGCCCGCTGATTCCCATAACCTATAACCCACACCTGGGAGATGGACTCACACCGTCCGCCTGGCCGTTAGACAGCCAAGACGGATACATACCCATACACACTGTGCTCAATAATACAGGCGTGAAACCGCTAAGAGAAATAGCAGACGGAAGACCTCCCACGCTCATGCACCAATTCCATTACGCCCAATTGAAACACTACTATTATAACCTGATCAAAAAACAACTTGTACAAACGCCAATGGGAGGAATGGACAGCCAAATCCTTCCCGGACGACCAGTGGGAAAAAAATCTTGATACTGCAACACAAGAGCTCATCAAGCTCCCACTTCCAGGAGGTAAACTACAAGTTGCTGGTGCACTGGTATCGCACACCATCCTTACTCAGCCGATACAACCCGACTATCCCGAAAACCTACTGGAGATGCAACGAGGGCACTGGATCACTGCGGCACATCTGGTGGGACTGCAAGAAAATTAAGCCATATTGGGGGAACATCGAACATGAACTAAAAAAAAAAAAAAACATACTGGATGACCCCCCACACCTGACAATGGAAGCAGCCCTCATACATCACACGGAGCAACCCCTGTCTACCTACAAAAAAAAAAAATCAATAAAAAATAAAATAAAATAAAAAAATCAATCATGAGACATCTCCTGAACGCAGCTAAATCCCTAATTCCACTACACTGGAAGAAAGAGGACCCACCCACAACGGAACAATGGAAACGCAAAGTGGAAGAAATACGAACAGCTGAAGCCAAAATAGCAGACCTGTTGGGAAGAGGAGAACGGCACACGGAGATCTGGAGACCCTGGCTACTATACACAGTGTAGGCGACGATGCACAGCTGGACACACAGCAGAATCTGCAGAGAGGAGGGGGGACCCATGCACCTCAGCTCCACAATCACACCCCACACTGCCCCCACCCCACTTTACCCAACCTGTCCTCCTCCCCGACCCGACTAGGGACAACACACAAATGCAATCATGACACAGGGCAAGACCCAAAAGAGAGCGAAACCCATGATACCGCTGTAGATTAGGAGGAGACACGTGAGGTGAATTGATACACGAAAGGGAAATGAGAAGACCTACCACGGACACAGTAGGACACAACACTACAACACATCACGACAAACATAGGGACACAACAAACCATAGGGTTCCACGTTAAACTTGAGCTTGAGATGCAGACACCCATTGATCGACACAGGAACTGAAACCTAAGGAGTCAACCGCACCAATACTGGATCAAACAAACAAACATAATAACATGTTCCGACTACCTTCACAAGCATGGAACCCAAATAAGCAAACACACAATATTTAGACAAGGCCACACACAAGAACATTACAGACTGTCCGAATGATGACTACCAATAAAAATGCAAACTGGACGAAAGCAATAACAAACATGCACTACTAGACGCCGGGGACAAGGGGAGAGAGATCCCAGGAAATAGGAGAGACATAACGAACCGCAGGGGCCAAAGTAACGCACACATATATCAAAAAGCAATGCTCATGAGCGGAAAGCACAAAACTGTCACCTAGGTCGCTACGACTAATCCCCCCGTGCCAGAAAGAAACCCACCATAAGACAGGGTCCCGAGACCCGGAAGGGAGGGCACAAGTCATGCAAGGGAACAGCACTAATAAACACACGAACCCTAGGGAATACTGGGACAGAGTTCCCTATCTTACAAACAGATAAACCTGTCTACCCTGATAAACGGTACATAACACCCAGATCACAGGAATACGTATAAGATAAGGGGAATTACAGCGGTAATGACAATGCTATGGGCCGAAGGGGGCCTGCGAGCCGAACAGCGACCCACTGATAATGTGGCCTGCGAGCCTGTAGGAATATGGTGTCACACCAGATGCATTGATATATGAAAATATGCCTGAGACCTGCGTGTCTCTCTGCCAACTCTTTAGGCTTGAGGTTATTTGCATTATCGACAATAAAAATCATATTTACAAAAAAAATAAAAAAAATAATAAGCCCTGTGATCACAGAAGTGTCAAATCATCCAAGGTTCTAGAAAAATAAAATCTGCTGGGCAACTGACATGGTCAGGTCTGCAGGTCCAGCATGAAATAAAAGGATGCTTTAGACATTAATATAATATTGTAATTACTACTTTTAAATATAATATTGTAATCTCAGCCTGAGCAAGATAGAGGGATCCACAGCCACTTACTTAAATATTCACCACTCTGCCATTCTCTCATATCCTTAAATTTAAATTCCCTTTCATGTGCGTTTTCCATGATTTTGTTTTTAACACCTAAATGATTCTCCTGCCACAATCTGTCTTATCTAACCCTAGATTCTCTCCTTTATATCCTGGGCCCCATACAATATTGAAACATTTCTGGATGACCCGTCTCACCTCATCAGATTTCTCTCCCCTTGTCTTGTGCCTTCCCTAACACACATGTTCAACTGCTCTCTCTCTCTTCTGGCGTTGTCCCTGCTGACCTTAAACATGCCACTGTAATAGCTATCCTGAAAAAAATTAAAAATAAAAAATCTCTCGACCCTTCCTCCCCTTCCAACTATCTTCCCATATCCCTGCTCCCTTTTCCCCTCAAAGCTTCTGGAAAGACGTGTCGCTTCCTTAATTCCAACTCTCTCCTTGACCCTCTTCAGTCTGGCTTCCGCCCTCTCCACTCTACAGAGACTGCTCTTATCAAAGTTACTAATGACCTTATTGCAGCTAAATCCAAGGGCCACTACTCCATATTAATTATTCTTGACCTCTCTGCTGCCTTTGACACTGTTGATTATTCTCTCCTCCTTCAGAGTCTTCAATCGCTCGGTCTCTGTGACTCTGTCCTCTCATGGTTCTCCTCTTATCTCTCCCACTGCTCATTCAGTGTCTCCTTTTCCAAGGATACCTCCTCCCCTTGTCCTGTCTTGGTTGGAGTTCCCCAAGGCTCTGTCCTTGGTCCACTTCTATATTCTCTTTATACTGCCCCTCTTGGAAAACGTATTACCTCTTTTGGATTCCACTACCACCTGTATGGTTTTGACACCTAAATATATCTCTCCTCCCCGGACCTCTCCCCTGCCGTCCTGCAACTTGTCACTGCTTGCCTTTCTTCCATCTTTGGATGTCCTCCCGCTTTCTGAAACTCAATCTCTCTAAAACTGAACTCCTTGTCTTTCCTCCTCCTAATACTGATCCTTCACTGTCACTCTCCCTTCAAGTCAGTGGTATCCACATAAGTCCATCCTTGCAAGCACGTTATCTTGGCGTCATACTTGACTCTGGCCTCACCTTTGAGCCTCACATCCAGTTTGTTGCCAAATCCTGTAGATTCCAACTTAAAAACAGAGCCCACATCCGCCCCTTACTTACAAAAGATGCTACCAAGGAGCTTGTCCATGCTCTAGTAATTACCCACATGGATTATTGTAACCCTCTCCTGACTGGTCTTCCCAAAAGGCGTATCGCCCCGCTACAGTCTGTAATGAATGCTACCGCCAGACTGATTTTCCTCTCTAGTCGGTCCTCTCACACCTCACCCCTCTGTCAGTTCTTACATTGGCTTCCTGTATCCTATAGGAATCAATTCAAAGTGCTAACCCATACATATAAAGCACTGTACAATTCTAGCCCCCTCATATCTCTTTATAGATCCTTAGGTATGCCCCTCCGCTCTGCCCGTGACACCTCCTGACCGCTGCTCGCACCCTTACGGCCAACTCGCGGGGCGGCTCATTTCCTATGAATAGCCTGCCTACCCCCATCAGACTCTACTCTAGTCTTCAATCTTTGAAGAAGTGCCTTAAAAACCATCTCTTTATGAAAGCGTATGGCCTCCCAGAGTAACCTCTACCTTACACACCTGTCTTTTGCTCTCTCCTATAGGGCAGCACTTTACTCTCCTCCAGCTTGCTACACTCCCACCTTATTTGATTTATACTTCCTGTCCTAATGTGTTTTATACCCTACTTCCTATAGACTGGAAGCTCGTTTAAGGAAGGTCCTCTTCAACCTATTGTTCCTATAAGTTTTCTTGTAATTGTCCTATTTATAGTTACATCACCCCTCTCACAATATTGTAAAGCTCTACAGAATCTGTTGGCGCTATACAAATGGCAATAATAATACTACGGACAAAAGCTGCCCATCTGGGATGTGTGCCTTATCAAGCAGTGACCATCTTTCCAAAAGACTGGTCACTGTGTGAAAGCCACTAGTCCCTCTGTCCCTAATGCTCAATTCCTATAGAATCTCAGGGAAGAAAAAAAGAACACACTGTTAGGATTCCCTCAACAGCAACGCACAAACTTGAGCTTTCAGGTTAAATATCTGGCTTTAATAATAAACCAACCATTTATAAGAATGAGGGTAAGGAGATTAGCATATTAGTTAATGGGTACTGTGAACTGGGGTCAACAAAAGAGACACCTACTGCCAGTTGAACTGTAGGGTTAGAGTGTAAGAATAAAGTTAAGTTGATTCCATCAGGAAGGGTCTTGCTTGTTTCAACTGCAATTCACAGCAACCTCTCATTGTTTTGTCTGTTTGAAAAGTTTAGAGCAGCTCTCACCTTTTCTGTCTGATAGACATATTTTCCCCTCATTTAAACTTCAAGACATCCCCTATCCTTCCTGTGGCTACATCTCTCTCCCCCCCCCCCCCCCCCTTTGAGATACACTGATTCCTCCCCAAGTAGCTTTTGCCATTTATGTATTGCCACAGAACACTTGGGTTCACCAAGGGTGATTTGACTATTTTCAAAGATATGTTAATAGTGCACTCTATTTGGATTACTTTACATTTTTTGCAGGTTAATATTTTTAATATTAAAGTACTGAAGGGAAAAAAACAAAAAACTCCAATTGCAAAAAATAGAATTTACTTAAAGGGGACCCTATAGTCACCAAAACAACTTTAGCTTAAAGGGACAATGTAGGCACCCAGACCACTTCAGCTCATTGAAGTGGTCTGGGTGCAGTTTCCCTTTTGCACCATAGTGTTGCAATGGTTGTAGGAGGAGTATTTTAAAGGAACACTATAGTTAAAGCAGTGATATCTGCTCCTGACGCGGACGTGAAGTAGACAGAAGAAGATGGCGCCTGCAAGGGACATGGTCTCCCTCCTCCCAGTAGCATCTAAGTAAGTCAGCATCTAGTGGCTCTAAGTCAGCATCTAGGGGCTCTTGATGCTGAAGCACCAGGAGCAGAGGAGAACCAGCAGCCCTAGCCACACCACCCCTTCAACCTTATGTTAACTTACTTCTGATTGTATTATCTTATACTTCGGGGACAATCAGAAGTAAGTTAACATCAGATTGAAGGGGTGGTGTCGCTAGGGCTGCGTGGACATAAACAAAAATAATTTAAAGCGGAACTGTCATCGTCTGGGAACATTGCAGAATTTGCCAAGATCCCTAATGGTGACATTGCTGCTGGTGGCCAAAACTTTAACTTACCTGAACCTCTCCCTCTCAGGCTCCGCCGTCATCGTGTAGCTGGTTCTCCTCTGCTCTTGGTGCTAGATGCTGACTTACTTAGATGCTACTGGGCTTGGGAGAGTGGAAGACTATGTCCTTGCAGGCTTATCATCTTCTGTCTGCTTCACGCCAGCTAGGAGCAGAAATCACAGCTTTACTATAGTGTTCCTTTAATATACTCCTACAATGCCCCATAAGCACTGAGTGATCGGTACAGTATGTTTGCACCTTACTTGATTGATTGCTGACCAAACTCATTTCACCCCTCACAAACCACAGTCCCAAACATTGCCATTGGGCACATCCTTAGTTCAAATCTCAAGCCACAGGACCAGCCTAGGGTATTCTACTGAAATAGAGAACAAAGACAAACATTATATATATATATATATATATATATATATTCATATTGTATAAATGTTATGTATACTGTATGCACCCTACAGCGAGCATCTGGTTTTACACCAGAAAGTATAAAGTCCATCAGTTCATCAGAGGAAACCTTGATAAATAATGCATCCAAATGGAGCTTCTAGCAGGAATTCCTCCTATGCCTGGTTAATAGCTACTTTCCATTCATATGTTAATTAGGGGACAGCTCAGTTTTGCATCATGGGATATATGTCTCAGAATTAAAGAATACACAGCTGCCACATTTAGCCTGAAAGGTTTTTTTTGTATGTTGTACATCGATTAGTTTTGTTAACCAGAAAAGGCTGTAGTAGCCAAAAAAAAAAAAAATACGGGCAGAGGTATTGGAACATACTTTTTAATTATTGAATTCAAGTGTTTAAATCAGACATATTGACATAAAATCAATCAGTGTATAAAAATCAAGAACCTAGTCATGCAGTCTGCATTTCTAAACATTTGAGAAACAAAAGGACCATTTTGAAGAGCTCAGTGAATTAACACCTTAAAGCAGCACGGTCATGGCCGAATCACTTTTTTTTTTTTTAACCCCCCTCCCGACTCCACTACATCTAACTGACCCCCTAGTCACCCCCAAGTGCCACTAAACTCCCCATATTACCTATTTTTAATCTTTATTTTGTGCCGGACCTATGTTCAGGGCGCCGCCATCTTTCTGTGGGTAGATTAAGTCCCTGTGGGTCATCTGCCCACACTAGATAGCGCTGTGAAATTCCCGCACGTGCCCACTTAAACACCTAGGCATGCAAACGAGAATTTCATCCATCCATTCATTCGTCAGAAAATGAGGGGGGACCCAATGCCCCCACCCCTGAGCGTCAGGTTGCTCACTATTTAGTAGACATGCCCCTACTCGTGGTATAGCGAGTAGGGGCAGATTATTTACTAAGTCAACGTTACTTAAATGTGGCTGAAAGACCAATTTAGGTCTTTCAGCCTTTTGGTAGATAGCTCCCTAATACCCTGGGAATTAGGGAGTTATCTACTAAGCAAATGAAGAATGAAATTCCGATACGAACAAAGTCCCGAATTGCGTCCTAACATGAATTAACTAACTGTTCTCATTCTGTTAGGATGCAATTCTGCAGTTTTGCCGGCGTCGTGTCTAAATGACAGGACGTTCGGGAATACTGACAGGAAGCATCAAGGGAACCGGGAAGAAAGCTAAGAACTGTGGGAAAATTTCTCTGACCACCGGAAATGAAGCACACTTTGCTCCTCCGCTGGTCAGAGATGGTCAGGCGTAGGAAACCTCTATAAGACAAATAGTCGCTACTTTGTCTTATATTTTAAAGAAAACTAGAGCAGACAGGAAGAAATGAAGAACAGATCCTGAGAGACGAGAAATCGATTAAAGAAAGGTAAGTTCGGCATGACAGTACCGCTTTAAAGGACCACTAGTGTGCCAGGAAAACATACTTGTTTTCCTGGCACGATAGTGCCCTGAGGGTGCCCCCACCCTCAGGGTCCCCCTCCCGCCCGGCTCTGGAAAGGGGAAATGGGGTTAAACTTACCTTTTTTCAGCGCTGGGCGGAGAGCTCACTGCCTCCTCTCCTCCTCCGATCCGCCCCGTCGGCTGAATGCGCACGCGCGGCAAGAGCTGTGCGCGCATTCAGCCGGTCACATAGGAAAGCATTCATAATGCTTTCCTATGGACGCTGGCGTGCTCTCACTGTGAAAATCACAGTGAGAAGCACGCAAGCGCCTCTAGTGGCTGTCAATGAGACAGCCACTAGAGTAAATAGGGGAAGGCTTAACCCATTGATAAACATAGCAGTTTCTCTGACACTGCTATGTTTATGAAAAAATGGGTTAACCCTAGAAGGACCTGGCACCCAGACCACTTCATTAAGCTGAAGTGGTCTGGTTGCCTAGAGTGGTCCTTTAAGGACTGAGCCAAATGTACACGTTGTGATTAAAACAAAATCCTGAATTTGCGCTATATGTCTGTTCAGGCGTAATTCATCTCTTTCATATTATGTGCACCCACACTTATTACATAGCATTTTTATTCAGGGGAAACAGGGCTTTCATTTAACATCAAATATTTAGGTATGAAACAATTTAATATGAATAAAATATTTTAAAAAATGGGAGAAAAGAAGAATTTAAAAAAAAAATTTTGTTCTACATCACATTTTAACTGTGAATGTCATAATACTGTTTCCTTTTACTACAATAAAATACACATATTTATATTCAGCGATGTCTCACGTGTAAAACAGTACCCCCTATGTACAGGTTTTATGGTGTTTTGGGAAGTTACAGGGTCAAATATAGCATGTTACATTTTTCAGTTTTTTCGCATTGAATTTCGCCAGATTGGTTACGTTACATTTGAGACCGTATGGTAGCCCAGGAATGAGAATTACCGCCATGATGGCATACCATTTGCAATGGTAGACAACCCAAGGTATTGCAAATGGGGTATGTCCATTCTTTTTTAGTAGCCACTTGGTCACAAACACTGGCCAAAGTTAGTGTTAATATTTGTTTGTGTTAAAAATGCAAAAAACTAATTTGAACGCTAATTTTGGCCAGTGTTTGTGACCAAGTGGCTACTAAAAAAGACTGGACATACCCCATTTGCAATACCTTGGGTTGTCTACTTTTGCAAATGGTATGCCATCATGGGGGTAATTCTTATTCCTGGGCTACCATACGGTCTCAAATGCAACATAACCAATCTGGCGAATTTCAATGTGAAAAAACTGAAACGCAAGCCTTATATTTGACTAACTTTTGAAAACACCATAAAACCTGTACATGTTATACTCAGGAGACTTCGCTGAACACAAGTGTTTCAAAACAGTAAAACGTATCACAACAATTATATCGCCCGTGTAAGTGCCATTTGTGTGTGAAAAATGTAAAACATGTCACTGACGATATCATCGTTGTAATACATTTTACTGTATGGAATATTTGTGTTCAACCAAGTCTTCCGAGTAAAACAGTACCCCCCATGTATAGGTTTTATGGTGTCTTGGAAAGTTACAGGGTTAAATATAGTGCTTGCAAATTAAATTCCCTGGACTTTTGGCCTGTGTTGTCAGGCAGGTTCCACAAACTGTAATTTATAAAATGACCTAATTATGTAATTCATAAATATATACTTAGAAATATTATTTTAACGTATTTACATATATATTTATTTCATATTATATATATATATATATATATTCAATATCATTCTACGTGTATTTTAATATATATTATATATATGTATACATACATACACACACACACACACACACACACACATATATATATAATTAAAATACACTTAGACCGTGTATGTATGTATGTACATACATATACTTAAATCAGATATAAAATATATAATCTAAGTATATATAATTTAATTTTAAACTGTTGTTTTTTTTGTTGTTGGTTTTTTTACAGGCTGCAAGGGGAGTACCTGTCATTAAAGGCACTCCCCCTGCTGGTGATCACATAGCCCAGGAGGGCCAGAACGGGAGCAGGGGGACTCCCTGGGATGCCAGGTGAGTCCCCCCACAGCGATCCCCGGCGACCGGGTAAGTAAATAGGACAGCAGGGACGTGCTATGCCGCCCCCACGCCGTTTAGAGCCGTCCTTAAGGGGTTAAGAGTTGTACTGTGATAGGATGCCACAAGTGCAATAAGTCAGTTTGTAAAATTTCATCCCTGCTAGGATATTCCATGGTCAGCTGTAAGTGGTATTATTGGAAAATGGAAAGTGTTTAGGAGCAGCAGCAGCAACTCAGCCATGAAGTGGAAACCATGTAAGGTCACAGAGCGGGGTCACCAAGTGCTGACGCGTATGGTGCGTTAAAGTTGCCAGGGCTCTGCTGATTCCATAACTAAAGAGTTCCAAACTTCCACTGGCATTAATATCAGCACAAAAACTATCTGGTGGGAGCTTCATGGAATGGGTATCCATTGGCCGAGCAGCTGCATGCAAGCCTCATATCACCAAGTACAATGCCAAGCTTTGGATCCAGTGGTGCAAAGCACACTGTCACTAGACTCTGGAGCAGTGGTAACAGGTCCTGTGGAGTGACGAACCACACTTCTGTTTCGCAGTCTAGTAGGCTAGTCTGGGTTTGGTCGATGCCAGGAAAACGTTACCAGTCTGACTATATTGTGCAAACAATAAAGTTTGGTGGAGGGATGATGGTATGGGGCCGGGTCTAAGCCTCTTACCTCCAGTGAAGAGAAATCTTACTGCTTCTGCACACCAAGACATGTCAGACAATGCTATGCTTTCAACTTTGTGGTAACAGTTTTGGGAAGGCCCTTTTCTATTGCAGCATGACTGTACCCCAGTGCACAAAGCAAGGTCCATAGAGATGTGGTTGGAGGAGTTTGGTGTGGAAGAATTTGACTGGCTCACACAAACCTCAACCCCATTGAACACCTTTGGGTTTTTACAGAAAGCAACAATTTCTAGTTAAAGACAACACAGTCTTTCTGTGAGAAACATACTATATTTTTATATTTTCGATGGCTGAGCTTGGCACCTCCAAACAAAAAATGATGAACCTTTAGTATGTTCACTTTCCAAGTGCTCTATTGAACAAATACATAATTGCTGCACATGTCCAGACATTTACACAGCCATTTTCACAGAGACAAATACATGCTCATTTAATCATAGTGCCAAGCAGCAGCTCAAACTCCTCTTTTAAAAAGATTCAAACTAAAGCTGACCAGACCAGTATGAAGGGGGTTAAGTCCTTAGCTCCTGCACTATTGTGCTGGGTTGGCAGCTTTGCATTATCCTGGCAGGGAGAGGAGAGAAGGAGCAAGATTTATGAAAGCTGCAAAATATGCTGGGATGTGTATATTTTACCTGCAGCGTGTGATTGTGTGTGGGTGTCTGTAACAGTATGTCTGAGAGTGGTTTTTAAGACTGTGTCTGGGAGTGTTGTAAGAGTGTCTAGGTAAGGATATTTGTGAGTTCATCTGTACATGTAAATGTCTCTGTGTAGACCAAATGTAGGTGGCACTCTAAGCAGGGCAAGCACCTTAACTGCCCTGTGCAGATATTAAAAGAGCTCGTCCAAACATTGTTATATTGTTTTGTTAAAAGGAAATTTGTTTTTATTTAATTCTTAAAATTCAGAGGTTTACAGTTTAATTTAGCAGTGTCTTTTTCAATAAATATTCATACAATTCAATTTTAACACTAAATGATAATGCTAATAATTTGAAAGAATTATAAAACAGTAGACAACCAGTTAAGCTCTAGTAGTAAGTGAGCCTTCAAAATATTTCTATTATTAAAGTGTGCTTTAAGAAAAGGAGAACCGCTACTCTAGAATATTAGGGATTACGCTGAACCCTGATCACAAGTTATCTCCTCCGCCTAGAAGATTTTAGGTCAAGGTGAAGATCAACTATGAAAAATAATGTGTAAAACATAGGTTATAAGGACCATTGTAAATTTAGTGATTTGGTATTCCTTTAATATATCAAAGAACAAGACCTTAATGTTACATTTCCATGAATATATGCATGTATACATGTATTAAACACACATATCGATACACAAAGACAAAATAACTGCTTTAATATAAATATATATACACACACACACACACACACACAAAAACTGCATACATCAAAAATTAAACACAAAGCTGCACACATTGGCTGCTGATGCTGAGGCACACAGTATTCCCAAATATAGGGTATGTCTGTGCAGTTTCTGTGGCAATGCCAAGGGGCTGTCAGTGTGTGAGGAGCAGGGTGCTAATTACATGGCAGGGAGGGATTCAGCCCACACAAGACATGGCTGCCTGCACTGAACAAGTGTAGCTGTGTGGGATCGAGGAGTGTACAGCCAGACAGGAACGTGCAATGAAACCTATTCACTGAAACACACTGTAGATAAATATTATATGTACCACTGCACAGCTTCCCTGTAATATCACACAGGACATACAGTAACATGTCAAGAAAAGGTGATCTTATAGAAAACCCATCTAATACGAGTCTGTGACAAAATGACACAAATATTGGGGTGACAATGCCATAGTAGCACAAAGAGGAGGGTGAGATATTTACACGCAAAGTAACAGCATACAATACAATTGCAAGAGAACTTAGAGTAGGGTATAATACTGAGTCACTTAATGCCAGACAAGATAGTGTAACAAAACACACCCACTTAACAGCTTCAACTGTATGATTGCAACACTAGAAATAAGGTTATTTACTAAAGTCGTGTAAGTTACTTTTCCCAAGGTATCAGAACGGACAGACAACCAGGTAACAAGAAACAGGACAGGTACATAAAGAAATGACATGCAGTAGTCATAAGGTAATGGCGTACAGGATAGGTACCCAGAGTATTCGCAAGCAGTAACGGTATCAAAAGGTTATGGAATGCAGCAGAGGTAATCAAGGTAACAGCATAGCGTTCAAGATCAATTGATTAGTGTCTTCCTGTGTTTGAGATCAGATGTCCTCTTACAGGAATACTATAGCGTTAGGAATACAAAGCTTTATTGGGGACCTAATGTGCAAGCGTTGCAAGTACGATGCGCATTCAATCACACGCTTTCCTATGGGGCTTGTGCATCGTGTGCCCAAACTTTACTCAGTCAGTGCAGCAGAAACATCAGTATGACAGCCACTAGAGATGGACTTTACCCCCATAGTAGGGTTAAAAGGATAAGGACACTGCACCAAGAGCTACTTAATTAAGGCAAAGTGGTCTGGGTGACTATAGTGTCCCTTAAGGTTCTTCAGCTACCCTTTATTAAAAGCCCTTCTGGATCTTGCTTAAGCCTGAATAGGTAGAAACGTTGCCAGTTCACCTCAGTGTTGGCTACAATAAATACATGCAAATACATGCAGACACTGCCAAACACAAAATAATCACTATTCAGTAGATATACCCCGAATGGACCTATATATGCAATTAATTATGCATTTTTTTCATAGGGTTGTATTTAAAAATAGCATGCAAAAGCTGCAGATCTTGTCTGCTGCCTTTACCAGCCCTCCTCTTCTAACTCAGCCCATGCTTTCTGTGGCTGTCCAATCACAGACTACACAATACAGCTTGATGAGGAGTCATTGCAAGGCAGGTTCTCTGGGCAATTGCCTCCCCTCTTGAATTTAGCTCCACTGAGCTAACCAAACCATAAATTAACAGGAAAAGTTGTCTGCTTGAAAATCAAGAGGGTGTAACCAGGTTCATTTAGAAAAGTGTAAATTTCTATTGAAATATTAGTCTTCACACACAACGATTTTCAGCAAGGTAAAGACCTTTAGGGGTCTGGAGTGTTCCTATGAAAAGGACATCAGATTTCTCTTGTTTTTCTACTGAGGAATCTGAGGCAGAGATCACAAACTCAGGACTGCTGGATCTTCAAATTCAGCACTAGCCATAGCTGGGTCAGTGTTGCACTCTCACGCATGTGCAAGAACATACAAAAAGAACTTAAGAAAAAGTTTACAACAACATTTATAAATCTTCTAATGCAGAAGATGCAAAAGATTGAAGCAAGGTCCACTTCAGATAGCTGGTGGCAAATAGCAAGTTTTCGAAAGATTTGGCTTTATACTATGCGATATTGTGAATGCTTTGGAAATTCAAAGAGGAGAAGAACGAGCAAATAATTAACATATCTACTTAAATAAGAAGGAAAGACAAAAATGGCACAGCTAATGCAGAAACAACACTGCCCCATTAACAAGGACTGTTGGTGCTTGTGTCAAACCACTTGCTAACAGTCCAATACAGAACCAAGTGATAACACGAGTAGCATCCCTGCATCATAACTACTGCAACAGACTGTAGTGGCTGTGGCCCTTACAGTTGGCGTCAAATGGTGTGAGTGGTTTCATAAAAAAAAAATAAAAAAAAAGACTGCGAGCATTGACCCCAATACACTGCAAGTTCTCTCTGTCCACCATTGCACAGAAATAGGATCAGACTGTCACAAACCAAGAAGACCGCAAACAACGTCTCTTTGCAAAATAACCACTACAATGAACTCAATGTTTTTAACATAGAGGAACTTTGGGCAGCCCCCCAATCCAGATAATCATTGCACATAAATTAAAAGAAAAACTAAAAGTGTGTATTTGCCATTTAGTAAAATTTACTTTATTTATAAACATACAGTTTTGTATGTACAAATGTGGGCAAGTCTGTATGCAAACTACATGACCTGAGTGTGAGAGAGAGAGAGTGAGAGAGAGTGTGTGCCAGAGAGAGAGAGTGTGTGTGAGATCAAAGCAATTTCCCCACAATTCTCACCTTTCATCCGTGACCTCGCAATGCTTCCTGTCAGTATTCACTTAGACAGAACGCCGGCGAAACTACTGAATTTCGTCCTAACAGAATGAGAACACTTTGTCAATTCGTGTTAGGACGCAATTCGGGACTTTGTTTAGATCGGAATTTTATTCAAATGAATGAAACTCCAATCCTATTCGTGTAATTTGACTCATAACTCTCTGATTGGTTGTTTGATAGCAACCAACCAGAGTGTTGTTATGAATCAAATTACACAACATGGGAAAATTCCAAAGAACTTTCCCACGCTGTGTAAAATGAGACAGAGCCCTCTGATTGGTTGGATTTCAAGCCAACCAGAGTGCTATGACAGGTAAATTTAGAGACTTGCCGGTCAGTCTCTTCATTTACCTGTCTGAACAGGTAAGAGCACTATGAGCCTTTCCCCGCCCTGCGGAGCTCATTCTGTGCCACGCCCTCCATGGGTGAAGATGGATTATTTTTTAGCATCTGGTTTATTATTTTTTCGTCAGGTTTTGGGCAACAGGTATTATGGACTTTTATTTGGCCTTTTTTGGGTCTGAAAAAAGATTTTAGAAAAAAGAAGACATCAAATGGTTAGTTTTTTTTTTTTTTTTATTCTTTATTTTTCTTGTGCATAAGAAAACATAACAGATAGACCTGTAGCGCCATGACAGCTTGTACAGGCATTTCAATAGTAAACATTGTCATAGCAGAGTAATACAGCAAATTTTTCATATTTATGAGAGAAAACAGGCAAGGAATACTTGAGTAGGACTTTAATAGTGTAGTTAGTCTACGTATGCATGCTTATATATTAGTAATGGATTAGTGGGTGTGACTACCATTTTATGATGTTATAGAAACAAGATGGCCTCAAGCTATATCGTCATGTCTGACTACGAGAGTAATGCAAGGAGGGCCAAGTACAGTATATCATATTTGTTATGCTCGTTAATTGTTGGGAGTTAAGACTTCTAGCTAGACACGTTAATTTAAACAAGTGTAACTGTAAGTAAACATGCTATCAAGTTAGTGCACCCCTGGGTGCATTATTAGTAGTACGCCGCGCTGCAGTGTCATTAGACAGCGTGAGGAGAGATAGCAGAAATGATAAGCTAATTATAAAAAGAACATAATACTCAAGACTTTGTGCATGGCATTTAAAGACAAAAATAGTGTCTTAGGTCGTTAAGGAGAAAGTCCAGCCCGGTGTCAGTCCCATAAGCTAGCTTAGCCGATTCCATCAGGTGGTAGGGTAGCTGGATCACTGGAGTTGGTGGCACTGTGAGGCGTGTTTGCAGGAAGGCCGGCATCTGTGAACCACAGACTTGGATTCGTCGAGGGACCAAGTCTTTCCCCATCTCAGGGGTGGCGGAGGTAGTGAGGATTTGTCTCAGCCGGTGCACGGTTCTCCGCCCGCGTGGACGATGCTTGGAGGACTTGCCTCGTGTGGCTCTACGCCTGGGCGAGCGGTAGTGAGGTCTCGGGAGCATTGTTTTATATTTGGTGTCCTGAGGAGGCTTTACCATGCTGGAGTGCTTCGTTCTCCTGTTTCCCTTTCGCGGCACTGAGCTGTGAGCAGTGGCTTGCAGACGGGCTTGTACCGTAAGCCAAAAGGCCTGGAAGATTTGGTCCAGCCGCCTCGATGTGTAGGTATAGGCGTCGCTGAGTGTCCCTCTGTTGCAGCTGTGCCACGTGTTGTCGTGCGGGCTGCGTCCGCCATTGTGGGAATATGGATGTCTGTGCGATCTGCTGCAGGGGTAATGTTGTTGCAGCTAACTGCTCTCCAGGGGGGAACCGGGATATCCCCCGCTGGTTCAGAGGGGCGGGGGGTGTGGAGTCGTGCTTGACTTAGCTTTATTCAGCGGAAGGAGAGCGGCCGTCTCTCCCCTCGGTCTGAGTCTCGTAGGCCTCAACCTGCCGTTGCGGTTCCTGTTGCCTCAGGGCGTCGATTAAGGTATCCACCTGAAGGGTTAGGTGCCCCCAGCTTGGGAATCCCCGTGAGTAGAGGTCACCAGCCCAGGATATCACCGGGTATTCGGCATTAACAGCAGGAGCTTGTGTGATGCACGTCTTGCCAGGCTTGCAGTCCAGGCTCCGCCCCCCCAAATGGTTAGTTTTATTTCGTTTTTACAGGTATTTGGTGCTCTTGTTCTCCCCTCGCTATTTTTAAGATGAGGGTGGTAGGCAGGGGTTTATTTTTTTTGGGTGGGGAGTGACTATGGGCTTGGGGACCCCTAGTCACCAGGGGGGGCGTTAACATTTTCATTAAGGGCCCCCACCCGCCACTTATTGTTGGGGGACAGGTAGGACAATAGGTTGCCCATCATTTTTATTTTGGGCCCCCACCCGCAGCTCATGGGTGGGAGAAGACAATATGTCTCCCCCCCCATTTTCATTTAGGGCCCCAGGTCCCCCCTTACTGTAATTTGGGTCCCCCCCGTAGCTTAGAGGTATTTAGGGCCCCCACCCGCCGCTCAGGGGTGTAGGCCGGGGGAATAGGCCCCCCCTTCAGTTTAATGACCCCCCCCTTGTAGGGCATGGGTGGGGGCTCGGGAGGGGGGACACTAGGTTTTTTTTTGTTTTTTTTTAAGTGAGCCACAGACTGCTCACTGTTTAGTATACATGCACCTACTCAACATAGCGAGTAGGGGCAGAATTTATTAATACTAAGTCATCTTTACTTAGTATTAGTAAATTTGGCTGAAAGACCAATTTAGGTCTTTCAGCCTTTTGGTAGATAGCTCCCTAAAAACCGTGGGAATTAGGGAGCTATCTACTAAGCGGCTGGAGAATGCAGCCACGGCACGAATAGAATCTGAGTTTTTCATTCATTCAAAGGAAATTCCGATCCGAACAAATTCCTGAATTGCAAATGGAGAAAACTGTTCTCATTCTGTTAGGACAAAATTCGGTAGTTTCCCCCAGCGTTCTGTTTAAGTGCCAGGACGTTCGGCAATACTGACAGAAGCATCGCAAGATCACGGATCAAAGGTAAGAATTGTGGAAAAATTGCTTTGATCAGCAGAAACGAAGCACACTTTGCTCCTCTGCTGGTCAAGCGTAGGAAACCTCCATGAGACAAAGTAGTCCCTGTTTTAAAGAAAACTAGAACAGACAGGAAGAAATGAAGAGCAGATCCTGACAGAGGGAGAGAAGAGGAATCGATTAAAGAAAGGTAAGTTCGGCAAGACGGCGCTGCTTTAATACATGCTTAACACAGTAACAGCTGATAAAAAAACCAAGACTATTTAAAATAGCTTTTTTCCCCTGAGTACCATAGGCTTACACAGGAAAGAGAGTTAAAAAAAAATAAAAAAATTCAAAATTACACTACATATTGTCACATGCCTCCCGAAAGCCCTGCAATGCTTTTACAACCCAGGCCCCCACTCACATTTATTTTTTAAATGTATATAATGGAGTAGCATATTCTGTGTGAAATGTCACCAACGTTTAAAAAACAAACAAAAAAAAAAACACCTGTACGGAAAAGTTTCCTAGCTTTTTCTTCTAGCTTTTAGAGTCTATGGAAATATTTCAAGCCCTGCCGCCTTAAAGTAAACGTGTAATGTCACCATATTTCACAAAACACAACACACATTCCAAGTAACAATCTAAAAATACAACAAATTTCAATGCTACCAAGAAGCTATACCATAAAGATACATTTAAGCTGCTCTGTCAATCCCCTCAATCCAAAATGTGTATTTCATAATGATAAAAACCTTGTGTTGGAATTTCACTGAAATTATACTGAAGATATAGTAAGACAAATTTAGATTTACTATGCATGACAAAACTTGACAAAAGGAGAAGCCAATGTCAAGTTTTGGCCCTTACCCCATCCATCATAAGTGACAGAGGAGGGGAAAATGCATTGTCTATGGATCTAAGTGTAGAACTCATGCATGCACACTGGTGTTGTGATATGAGGTCGCAAGTTGCAACCCTACTGTAATATGAACATATGGTGTGACGTAATAGGCTGGATAAGTCGACTGTAAAATACGCCACAGAGCACCATTTGCACTGTATGATTTAGGTAATGGAGCAAGATGACCCAACAATGCTCTGCATACCCGGAGCAGTCCTCAAAAGGGAGAAATGAAAAAAAAAAGAAAAAAAAAAAACAGGCTGCCAGGAATCTGAAACTTCATGCTTTGGGCAATATAAATTCTAGGTGCATATATTGCTCAAATATACATTAAAAGGACACTATTGTCACCTAGACAACTTTAATGAAGCAGTTTTTTGTAAAGAATCATGCCTCTGAAGTTCCACGGCTCAATAAACTACCATTTAGGAGTTAAATCACTTTTGCTTCTGTCCATGCAGCCCTAGATACACTTCCCCTGGCTGTGATTCACACAGCCTGCATGAAAACAAAATTTAATTTTCAAAAATGTAATTTACTTTCAAAGTTTTTGTCTCCTGCTCTGTAAATCGAACTTTAATTCCATACGGGAGGCTCCTGCATGGTCCAGCAAGCTACAGGGAGTGCAGAATTATTAGGCAAGTTGTATTTTTGAGGATTAATTTTATTATTGAACAACAACCATGTTCTCAATGAGCCCAAAAAACTCATTAATATCAAAGCTGAATATTTTTGGAAGTAGTTTTTAGTTTGTTTTTAGTTATAGCTATGTTAGGGGGATATCTGTGTGTGCAGGTGACTATTACTGTGCATAATTATTAGGCAACTTAACAAAAAACAAATATATACCCATTTCAATTATTTATTATTACCAGTGAAACCAATATAACATCTCAACATTCACAAATATACATTTCTGACATTCAAAAACAAAACAAAAACAAATCAGTGACCAATATAGCCACCTTTCTTTGCAAGGACACTCAAAAGCCTGCCATCCATGGATTCTGTCAGTGTTTTGATCTGTTCACCATCAACATTGCGTGCAGCAGCAACCACAGCCTCCCAGACACTGTTCAGAGAGGTGTACTGTTTTCCCTCCTTGTAAATCTCACATTTGATGATGGACCACAGGTTCTCAATGGGGTTCAGATCAGGTGAACAAGGAGGCCATGTCATTAGATTTTCTTCTTTTATACCCTTTCTTGCCAGCCACGCTGTGGAGTACTTGGACGCGTGTGATGGAGCATTGTCCTGCATGAAAATCATGTTTTTCTTGAAGGATGCAGACTTCTTCCTGTACCACTGCTTGAAGAAGGTGTCTTCCAGGAACTGGCAGTAGGACTGGGAGTTGAGCTTGACTCCATCCTCAACCCGAAAAGGCCCCACAAGCTCATCTTTGATGATACCAGCCCAAACCAGTACTCCACCTCCACCTTGCTGGCGTCTGAGTCGGACTGGAGCTCTCTGCCCTTTACCAATCCAGCCACGGGCCCATCCATCTGGCCCATCAAGACTCACTCTCATTTCATCAGTCCATAAAACCTTAGAAAAATCAGTCTTGAGATATTTCTTGGCCCAGTCTTGACGTTTCAGCTTGTGTGTCTTGTTCAGTGGTGGTCGTCTTTCAGCCTTTCTTACCTTGGCCATGTCTCTGAGTATTGCACACCTTGTGCTTTTGGGCACTCCAGTGATGTTGCAGCTCTGAAATATGGCCAAACTGGTGGCAAGTGGCATCGTGGCAGCTGCACGCTTGACTTTTCTCAGTTCATGGGCAGTTATTTTGCGCCTTGGTTTTTCCACACGCTTCTTGCGACCCTGTTGACTATTTTGAATGAAACGCTTGATTGTTCGATGATCACGCTTCAGAAGCTTTGCAATTTTAAGAGTGCTGCATCCCTCTGCAAGATATCTCACTATTTTTGACTTTTCTGAGCCTGTCAAGTCCTTCTTTTGACCCATTTTGCCAAAGGAAAGGAAGTTGCCTAATAATTATGCACACCTGATATAGGGTGTTGATGTCATTAGACCACACCCCTTCTCATTACAGAGATGCACATCACCTAATATGCTTAATTGGTAGTAGGCTTTCAAGCCTATACAGCTTGGAGTAAGACAACATGCATAAAGAGGATGATGTGGTCAAAATACTCATTTGCCTAATAATTCTGCACTCCCTGTATTAACAGGGCAGGAGATAAATTCTAAATTAAACAATGTGCAATAAAGGAAGTGTAAACATTAGATGACTCTTTACAGTGTTAAGGCTGTGTAAGTCACATGCTGGGAGGTGTGACTAGGGTTCATAAACAAAGTAATTTAAATCCTAAATGACAGAGGATTGAACAGTGAGACTGTAGGGGCATGACCTACACAGCAAAACTGCTTCATTAAGTTAAATTTGTTTTGGTGACTGTAGTGTCCCTTTAACATTAATGTATTTGGCAACCCACTTAGACCTGCATGCATACTTTATTAACGTGCACCAAGTCTGTTTTGTTTTGGCTCTCAGGCCAGAGACACCACCTCAAAAAATACTAACACTTGCTAATGTTATTGTGCAAAAAAAGAGAATTAAAATAAAATGATGAAGTGAATTTGAAGTTTCTTTTTTCAATATGAAAAGGATGGGTTAAGAACACAATAAAAAAAAAAAAAATACTATATAACCAAATGATATATATTAGTTTTCTGCCTACACTATGCTGTGGAATAAATTCACTGCTGCATATGTTTATATGATAAGAATGAATACCATTTCATATACACATTTAATAATGAATGTAAGTTTGCTTAGCAAAAAGTACAATTACAATTGAATTATTAACAAAGGCGCATGGCAGGTGCACTTTAAGCTTTGAACAATGCTTACATTAGGTTGAAACTGTGTTAAAATAGACTACCAACTGATTGAGGACAGAAGTACGTTCTGTGCATATTTGTAAAATATGACATTTAGCAAAGCATTTCTTACTCTTACATGGGCTGAAAGGACATTCTTTGCATTTTGTGTAATTTCACAGTTTAGCTAATGAAGTATTCAGGAAGGTATCTAACCTTTCCACTAAGACAACTTTGCCTGGTATTGAAATTCAAACAGTATTTACCTTCACAGCAAAAATAAATAACATTTCCATGCAGGACATGCCATTCTCTATCCTCTAACCATAAAGATTCCCTTGAGCTCCCTTTTCTTGGTGATAAGACGTACACAGAACGGTCTTTGTATTACCTAAAATATATATGACTTAAAAGAGACTAGTATGGCATGTGCATGACATAACAGCACTTTGATGGTCAGGGGGAAGCTAGAGTTGTCAAGCAGGATTAAAGCTTCAGTGGGTTTGTTTTTTTGTGGGGTTTTTGTGTGCAAATTACTGAAACAGTAAGAAAAAAATTAAGAGTTAATCCGAATATCAAAAAACCTATACAAGGAGAAAAGGAAGTTATGAAGGTATACCCGTTTAATAATTACTAAACGGGATCTAATAATGACTAAACGGGATTCCTTTTCTAAAATAATCTTTAAACACTGTGTAGCACAATACAAAAAGGATCATCATTATAAGTAAATATAGATTTTGTGCCTTCTGTTTTACAACCCTGTGCTGTTGAGAAATCTTGCTTTGCACTGTGCATGTGCAGCCCTATTTAGATGGCTGGCAGGATCGCATGTCAATCTAATGTGCATGTACATCATGTTTGCACTTCCCTTTTCAGAAGCACCTGCAACCACACGTCACTGTCACTAGCCCCAACCAAAGTCTCATTTTAATACACAAGGTATGTATGCCTATATATTGCATGTACAGAGCAAATAAACTTTACTCATACACTGAAAACATATGTCAGACGAATTTCAAGGCGCCATGCAGACTTTGCAAGAAATAGGGGCTGATGCGCTGGGAATAACCAGTACATCACACATGATACTTCAAATTCAAACCATTATACTAAAACATTAATAAATGTGCAGTGAAAATTGCAAGCAAAATGTCTATGTTGGCATATCAAATATGGTTTTAAAATATTGACATTCCTCTCTCTTTAAAATAAGTGATGCATGAATAAACCTCTGCCGTTCACTTCAAAACACCTTTTGCAAATAATGACACTGTGGCCACGCCAAGGCAGTATCCAGTTTAACACACTTAACAGCGGCCACCTGTACTATGAATTAGTATTTGCTAAAGACACATCACATGCTGATAGTGAAGTCACTCGTTAAAATTTAGAGAAGCTTACGTTAATCAATAAAACTAAATGTCAATTTAACCTTTAAACACTGTCAATTGCTTTGGCACACATGATAAAAACTTAGGGGGCCAGAAATGCTAAATGTTACTTTAAAAGAGGCATACACTGGTCCGTTGTGCCAAAGTGTGCATGTTAATTTCTTTTATTATAGCTTAACCACCAGATACCTCCAATGATGAAGGCTAAACAGTAGTGTGTGTGTATGCCTTTATGCATTTTTGTAGCTATTGCGCTGGTTTGGCAAACTATTGTTTTTGTATGCGTACGTCTGTATAACTCTGTATTTTCATGCATGTGTGTCTATTCAAGTTTGTCAGTTCCTGTGTGTTTCTACATGTATCTTTGCATGAGTGTGTGTATGTCAGACCCAGCTAGACTGTAAGGTGGCACAGGCTGCCACATTAGGGCTTCCCAGCAGAGGGGGTGCAAAATCCAGAATCCCCTAGCCAGGACTCTGACGCCAGAGTTGGACTGCCCACCAAGAGATTACCAAACCTTGTGGTGTTGTGGAGACAGGCTTGGAGACTATGCTGAGGCCTAATAGAAAGCAGTTGTTGTTGGGGCATTCTATCAAAAGAGGTGTAGAGATGGACAATGGTGGTCTTGAGAGATGTCTTCCCGGAGCTACTGCTCACAGAGACAGGAGACATATTTGTAATATTGTTAAGCGAGCAAAGCAGGAAGGGGAATTGGATGTATTTGTCCATCTAAAGACAAATGACTTGGCTTGCAATGAGGTTTCAAAGCTAAAGGAAATTTTTAGTGTTTTTGCCAATGATACACGGCAGGTTGCTTCCACACTGTCATTCTCTGAAGTTCTGTCTGTGCATAACACTCAGAACGACAGGCGGATGTGTATTAGGGACTTTAACTTGTGGCTTGGTGAATGGTGTCGGGAGCAAGGATTTGGCTTCAATTTTCATGGTAGCTCTGTTTGTTTTAAATAGGTTTTTATTGTCGTTACATTGTATAAGCGGACATCAAGCATATTATTACGAAACCATCCGGTCGCATACGCAGAGGCGTATACATATTGGTACCAGTAAACGGAATGTTTGCATTTAGTTTAGTGAAGTAGGCGTGTACTCTGTGTACTTTACAACATATTTCCTGGGTTTGCTGGTAGCTCTGTTTGGAATGGAAATAAACTGTTCAAAAAAAGATGGTTTGCATCTTTTTAAAAGGGAACAAATGTTCTCAGTGAGCAGTTCAGAGGTTTTGCTAGGATGTATTTAAACTAGGAGGAGGGGGCAAAAATATCAATCCAATTGTCCCCCAAAACAAGGACAACAGAAGGTGCCTGTAGCAAATGTGTTAAAAAAGGATAAGCTTAGAGTCATGACTACAAATGCTCGCAGTTTAGGGAATAAGATCCATGAACTGTGGCAATAATGGCAACTGATAATGTAGATTTAGTCGCTGTTACTGAGACATGGTAATAAGGAGAAAAATGACTGAGACAGAGCAATACCAGGGTACTCTTTATATAGAAAAGACAGGGAAGGCAAGAAAGGGGGAGGGGTGGCCATGTATGTGAAGGATAGCATAAAATCTAGCCTAATAAAAGTTAGTGAGGCAAACATAGAGTCCATTTGGGTTACGTCAGAATTTGGTAATCACACAGTAACTCGTGTAGGTGTGATTTATAGGCCCCCAGGACAAATAGAAGAGTTATATCATCTAATAGTTGAGGAAATAGCTAAAATGACAATAAAGGGGGAAGTTATTATCATGGGTGACTTTAATCTTCCTGATGTGAATTGGAAAACCAAACTAGCTGCTTGTGCCAGAAGCACACATATTCTAAACCCCCTACTGGTATTGTCTCTAAAACAAGTCGTTGAGGATCCAACTCGTAAAGAGGCCATACTAGATTTAGTGTTAAATGGAGATTTGGTATCAGATATTACTTTAGGTGAAAGTTTAGGGTCCAGTGATCTTCAGTCAGTGTGGTTTAATATAAGAACAGTGACTGAGTCCCACCACACAAAAACACAAGTATTAGACTTTAGAAAACCAGACTTTTTTCAAAATTGGAATATGTGTAAAGAAGTCATTATCAGACTGGAGCAATTTAAATGGAGTCCAAGAGAAATTGCATTATTTAAAAGTTGCACTGTTGAAGACAACTTAAAATTGCATTAGGCTTGTCAGTAAAAGCAAAAAGTTCAAGAAACCACTGTGGTACTCGGCAGATGTGGCCAAAATAGTAAAAAAACAAAAACAAAAAGTTAGCATTTAGTTATTATAAAAAAACAAATAAAAAAACACAGAGTGACCGGATCTATAAGATTAGGCTGAAAGAGGCTAAGCAAGTTAGAAGAGCTTCCAAATCACAGAGAGAAGAGAAAATAGCAGTCAGTTAAAAAAGGGGGGGGGGGGACAAAACATTTTTTAGATACATAAATGAGAAAAGGAAAGTAAAACACAGATTAGTTAGATTAAAAATAAAAGAAGGAATGTATGTAGAAGAGGATAAAGATCTAGCTGACTGCCTAAATTAATATTTTTGGTCCGTATTTACAGATGAAAATGAAGGAAAGGGGCCTCAGTTAGGGGGGGAAAAAAAGGCCAAATTAGTAATTTGCTACATGTGAGTTTAAAGAGGAAGAGATTCTATTTCAACTGTCAAAAGTAAAGACAAATAAGTCAATTGGACCTGATGGAATACACCCAATGTTTTTAAAAGAGCTTAGTGGTTGTCATGGTACCTCTTGTGTGGGCACTGGATGTGCCACACACTGAAGTCTTCTTACAGGAAGCTGGGGACCTGTTCAGACAGACATTCTCCTACTGTTTCCAGTAATCCTCATGCCAGCCGCAATAACTCGGCCCCTTTTTATGACGCGGCATGTACATGTCGACGTCATGACGCTGATGACACCACTACCCCCAAAACGTTCAAATTCAACCACTTTGGGGGCGTGGCTACAAATGAAAGAACACTATATAGGGGAACTTCTGAACTAGACTCATTGACCTGTTGTGGTTCTATTTAGTCCCAATAGCACGTTGTACTTTAGTAGTGTATTCTTGGTTTTGACTTTGGCTTGTTTGACTACCCTTCTTTCTATTACCCTTTGATTCGGCTCATGTACCCTCATTGTTCTTTATTTTTGGCTTCCCTGACCTCGGCTCGTACCCGTTTATTCTCTGTCCTTGTGACGCCAACCCGGCCATTCTGAAGGTCCGGTAACATTACATTTTTATTACACTCTGTGTGTAGGATCCCATCCATTCCTGACAGTGGTGTACTAGCAAAACCATTAACAGATTTATTTAACCAATCATTGTTAACAGGAGTAGTCCCAGAAGATTGGAAGTTAGCGAATGTTGTGCCCTTTCACAAGAAAGGTAGTAGGGATGAGTCGGGCAACTGTAGGCCATTAAGCTTTACTTCAGTAGTGGGGAAAGTAATGGAAACCATGTTAAAGGATAGGATTGTTGAACATCTAAAATCACATGGATTTCAAGATCAGAGACAACATGGGTTTACTTCAGGGAGATCATGCCAAACTGATGTTATTGATTTTTTTTTGATTGGGTAACAAATTATAGATCAGGGTGGTGCAGTAGACATTGCTTACCTAGATTTCAGTAAGGCTTTTGACACTGTTGCACATAGAAGGCTTATCAATAAACTGCAATCTTTAAGTTTAGATTCTAATATTGTTGAATGGGTAAGGCAGTGGCTGAGTGACAGGCAACAGAGGGTTGTAGTCAATGGAGTATATTCGAGGCATGGGCTTGTCACTAGTGGGTTACCTCAGGGATCTGTACTTGGACCCATTCCCTTTAATATTTTTATTAGTGATTTTGCAGAAAGTCTTGATGGTAAAGTATGTCTTTTTGCTGATGATACTAAAATATGTTACAGGAGGGATATGCCAAATGTCAAATCATTTAGGTGAACTAGAAAAAAGTTCAGAGTTGTGGCAACTGACATTTAATGTGGATAAGTGCAAGATCATGCATCTTGGACGTAAAAACCAAAGGGCAGAGTACAGAAAATTTGATAGAGTCCTAACAACATCTGAGGAAAGGGATTTAGGGGTGATTATTTCTGATGACTTAAAGGTAGACAGACAATGTAATAGAGCAGCAGGAAATGCAAGCAGAATGCTTGGTTGTATAGGGAGAGGTATTAGCAGTAGAAAGGGGGAAGTGCTCATGCCATTGTACAGAACACTGGTGAGACCTCACTTCGAGTATTGTACGCTGTACTGGAGACCGTATCTCCAGAAGGATATTGATAGTTTGGAGAGAGTTCGGAGAAGGGCTACAAAACTGGTTCTTGGATTGCAGGGTAAACCTTACAAGGAAAGGTTGAAGAATTTTAACCTGTATAGCTTGGAGGAAAGACGAGACAGGGGGGATATGATAGAAACATTTAAATACATAAAGGGAATCAACTAAGTAAAGGAGGAGACTATATTTAAAAAGAAGAAAAACTAACACAACAAAAGGACATAGTCTTAAATTAGAGGGACAAAGGTTTAAAAATATCAGGAAGTATTACTTTACTGAGAGGGTAGTGGATGCATGGAATAGTCTTCCAGCTGAAGTGGTAGAGGTTAACACAGTAAAGAAGTTTAAGCATGCGTGGGATAGGCATTAGGCTATCCTTACTATAAGATAAGGCCAGGGACTAATGAAAGTATTTAGAAAATTGGGCAGACTAGATGGGCCGAATGGTTGTTATCTTCCGTCACATTCTATGTTTCTATGTTGCCAGGGGCCATGTTAGACTTCTTTACAGGCAGCATATGGTCAATTGTGGAGTTCAGAGAGCTTCATAGTCGACACAAGGAGAATGGGGCCCTGTTATCCCGTTATATTCAACAGGGAATTGAAAGTCTTTAGAGGGCCATAGGGCCAAAAGTAGGGTGCATGATGCTCGGCTTTGGATGCCTGCCCTAAGTACTTTTGGAAACTAGCAATGTTGTAAAATATGTTTAAACGCTCATTACACGAGAATGCAAAATGCCTTTATGGTTACAATACTTCAATCTTGCAGAGTGAAATGACAGTTGTATGGCCCATTCTGCAGTGACACAGTTAGTAGGACATAATGTTATTCTTTCATACATATACAAAGTGGCAAAATCAAATGTACAACACATTGCAATCAATGCATGGCTGTACAAAGTTTGATTTAACTTGAAAAATCAATAAAAAGATGCAGTGAAAGAAAAATGGCAAAATATACAAATGTAAATAGCCACCAGACTTTTGTAATAATACTGCTTGCAAAATTGCATGTTTCATACTTCCATATCTCTGCAAAATCACTTCTAGTAATCAGATCTCTTTCGGTTGTTATTGATTTATCAAACGAAAATCTAATGCTTAACACGAATCTTAAGCTTTTTTGTCACAAAATAAGACTTTGCCTTTATCACGAGTTACATGCTAAAATTCACACTTTTTTTTCTCCTACTTTTAGTTGTGACCCTGCTTCTCTAACAGCAATATAGTTTATTTAGATATGCAGCAATAGCGAGCGTTTTGCACATCCGTTGCTACCACACATAAATAACAGCGATTCCATCACAGAAATGTAGTAAGCAATAACTACCCAAATCTAACAATATCATTAACATACAAGATACATGATAGCAGAAGGGAGAATAATACCACCTCAGGGTATGGAAACATTCATAAACTATTACGATGTCTCTAGAATTCATAAGTTGCATTAATTGTCCCACAAAACATGGTGAGTCTTTATGTATGTATGTATATATACACACACACACACAAACATATACATACATATATATCAAATCTTGCACTCCACTCAAAAAACTAATATAACGCCCGGTTCATGTCCTGAGGAAAGCTTGAGGGGATCAAGCAGAAACGTTGACCGTTTTTATTTAGAAGGTAAATAAAAGTTATATTTTATATAAAGTCCTTGGAGTGCTATCCTTAAATATTTTTTGTTTTTTTAGAATATATATATATATATATATATATATACATACATACATACATACATACATACATACACACACACACACACAATATTTCTAATACTGTGGGTTATTTTTTTTTTTAATATAATGTCTCTCTGTTCAATAAGAGTTTCCCATGATCACCACCACGCTTAGGTGGTGGGATATGGTCAATTGCGACAAACTTCAGGGTTAAAGGTGGATGTTGAAGGTTAAGAAAATGCTGGGCCACCGGTTGTTCTGAATGACCTTCACGATATGCCACTTTTGGATAATTATTTCACGCCTATATACATGTATTTTAACACTCAAGCTTAGTAACTATCTTTTCTTTCACTGATATTGTTATATTCCAGCTCCATGTTCTGGGTCTGGTATAAATTTGGCAGTTTATGCCTTGGTTACTGCTTCTACCTCTATCTTTCAAAGCACAATAGGTGTTTGTTTGTGTCTCCTTGGTGATTAGGATTTTCTCCCACTGCCATGGAAACATACGGCACCACAGTACGTTACGTGAGGGTCGGGGTCTTGTAAGCGCATGCGCACACTGCACTTGGGAACGCTAGCTGTATTAGCCACAGTATCTGGTGTAAGTAAATTCCTCTGATTCTTTCATTATATAAATGTTAATGTTTTCTTTGATGCCTGTGTCTGATCCTCATGAAGGTCCCAGATAGGGACTGAAACGTTGATCCTATTTTAAATGCATCTTCCATAAAAACTGAATTTTTAACTTCAAAAGTCAGTGAGTGCTGCTCACCTTTCTGCTATGGATATATTTCCTCCCCTCGATTTCAAGCACCCAGAACTACTTAAAGCGTGAGTGCAAGGAATCTCTGGAATATATATATATTTTTATTTTATTTTATTATTACATATACATACACACACCTAATAGTGCAAATACAAAACTTATTGAACAGCAAGTTAAATATCTCTAAATACATTCAAAGCAGAGGTTACAGCCCGGGTGGAAAGCCTTGTCTGTAGAAAAAGGTTTAATGGTTTATTTAACTTGTCATATACTATTGAACTAATGGGAATGTCAAATTCTACATATACTTTATGTACATTATATCTACACTGATTGTGATTATTATATGCATGCAGAGATGCCATAGCAACTTAGAGAGATAAACACTGATGTATGCACATGGTTTCAGAGTTGCACACATCCTCCCAGAGACCCTGTGATCCCAGTAATTAGGCCATGTCTGTTCTCACAAGTGAGCGGATTTCAGGCCTGGTCAGAGGTGCTGTAATGCTGCCTCGTTCTCAGCCAAGTCACATGCAACCCTTCACACACAGGGTCCTGCAGCACTGCCAGAAAGCAGCAGATATACCTGTACTATAGGACACTTTCAGAGCCTCAACTTATTAAGCAGAATTGGACAACTGTTTTAAAAAGAAAAATATCAAGATTGGCATAGGAAGACTTTATATATGGAGCCTATTCTTAAAAGAAGGCTGTTTTAAGCAAATATAAGTTGATTGTTTAAAAACCCACACCTTTAGGCCAATCTTTTTACGGTTTATTAGTAATCTATGACCACATAAACACACTGATTAGTTTTTTAATTTGAACGGTCAATGTCAGAACATGGTGCTTTACCATACAGGAGTTGAGTATGAAAATTATCACACTATTAGCCAAACAGTTTCAATATTTTGGAAACTTTAAGCTGGAAAGATATGCACTGAACCTTATCTGGATTAATGTCATATTATAAATAATAAGGCCAATCTAAGGGTGCAGATAGATTGATATCCATGTAGAATATTGAGGAATAAGGACCAAACACTGTGTAAGACTGTCCATTTACCCTGGAATGGGAGTAACAACCCAGAGATTTAGAGTCAAATTATTATCTCCAGGAATATGCATTAAGCCGACTACTCTTCTTGCATGTCAAAGATTCATAGAAAACCATGATGAGAAATCTATACCGTAATACACACTGCTAGTAATTTAATCAATATAATCCTGCACATTCGTTTAAGAAACGTTCATGTGTGCTCAGGGCTAGAATGCATAAGGTATGATAAAGTTCCAAAAGAACATGCTGATTTTAACGGTAGTGACAAAAAGGGATTAAAAGGTTTCTGATGCCGTTTCTATCTATCAGGATCCCTACGTCCGCCATTTAAAACAATACACCTATTAACAGCGTATGATTTTGGGTGGCACCAGAGTACAAGTAAATTATGTGCTGTTTTATTCATTCTAGGACTTAAAAGAAATAAAGAGATACAATGATTTCCAAGTGCATCCACTTATGAATTCCACATACTGCTTAATGGAGAAGAGTGTTGACCACGTAAGCCAAAATACCCTTATCTTCCAAGAAATTTCATGGGTTTCAAAAGACATACTATTTTATAACATGTGGCTTCAATAAAAACAAAGCATTTCAAATGTTTATTGGACTTTCCCAGTCGATTTTATAACACGATAGCTTCTATAAACACAAATTGGTTTAAACAGTTACTGGCCCTATCCAGTCAACTTTGCAATCAGTCACTGGATCCTTCCTAACAGTAAGCACTTATGGGCACTGAAAAGGCTCTCTCTCCCACCTACCTGTTCTTATTTTTAGGTCTACAGTAGTTATCAAAGAGTGGTTATGGTGTAATGAATCTGTGGGAGCTATCCTACTTTTTTGTCAAACTGCTTAGGAGTGGGTTCATATTTTAAAAATAAATAATAAGTCGCTCTCTACAGCACCCAGACACTGTTTCTTCCATAACTGCACTAATAATGCAGAATTTACACTTCAGCATTATCAATGTCAATTACATAAAACTTGAAAAGCAGTTATGGCTAGAGATCCAGGATAACCCACTCTAGCACTCTGCCTACTATTGCTATCCAAGAAAAACATTTCTGATGTAGATGGAGCAGAGAGACCAAATAACAGCAGGCATTGTTGGACGTGTAGGTTTGGAGAAGGATTGTCAGACCAGCAATATAAAGCTTGGTACTAATAAAGTGGATATATTTCTGGCCTGGTCTAGGACATACATCATGCAAACATTTATGGCAGGTAACACATTGTTGATAATAGTTCCTCATGTATGAATTCTATGTCCTTCCAGTAGAACGTAGCCAGCCTATAAAGTGTGAACCCACCTTTGACCTCAGCAGCCTCTAAACTACTTTCAATTACTTCCTCCCTCGGGCTATCACAGTGCTATCTCCCACCCATGTAGCTGGCAATACCCTCAACCTTATTTTCTCTTATGCATGTACAGTATCCAATATCTGCAACACTCCATTTCCTCTCTCTGATCACCACCTCTTATCATTTGCTCTCAAGTACCCCCTCACCCAACAACCTCTGCCTAACCCCCCCTCAACTGAGGAGGCACCTTATTTTTATTGACCTCCAACAGCTGTCAGCTGATATTGATTCACAACTGCTATCCATCCCTTCCCTCTCTTGTCCCTCACTGGTGATCTCCACATATAACACTAACCTCACATCTGCCTTGAACGCTGCAGCCCCGCTCAAAACACACACCCTACCGTGGCATACTAAATCAACACGCTACCTGCAAAGATGCCTCTGTTGTGCTGAACGCTCCTGGAGGAAGTCTCGCACCCAGGAAGACTATCTCCATTATCGATTCATATTGTGTTCATACAGGGCAGCCCTTGCCCTCGGCAAACAGTCATACTTTTCATCTCTCATTAGTTCATGCTCCTGCAATCCGAGGCGTCTCTCTGACACCTTTAACTCTCTTCTTCGTCTTGCTGTGGCCACCCCCCAAAATAACCTTACAGCAGATAGCTTTGCATGCTACTTTACTGACGAGATGGAACAGCTAAGGAAAGAATTCTCCCCTCCTTGCCGTTCTCTCTCTCAACCATACGTAGATCAAAGCTTTTGGAAAGGCTTATCTTTACCCGTGTGTCTCGCTTCCTCAATTCCAACTCTCTCCTTGACCCTCTTCAGTCTGGCTTCTGCCCTCTCCACTCAACTGAGACTGCTCTTATCAAAGTTACTAATGACCTAATTGTAGCTAAATCCAAAAACCACTACTCCATACTAATTCTTCTTGACCTCTCTGCTGCCTTTGACAACGTTCATCATGTTCTCCTTCTTCAATCATTCTGTCTCTGTGACGGTCCTCTCGTGGTTTTCCTCTTATCTCTCCCAACGCTCATTCAGTGTCTCCTTTTCTAATGACACCTCTTCCCCTCGTGCGGTCTCGGTTGGAGTCCCCCAAGGCTTGAACCCCTTCTATTTTCTCTTTATACTGACTCTCTTAGCAAATGTATTACCTCATTTGGATTCCACTACCACCTGTAGGCTGATGACACCCAAATATCTCTCCCCTCCCCGGACCTCTCCCCTGCCGTCCTGCAACTTGTCATTGCTTGCCTTTCTGCCATCTGACTGGATGTCCTCCCGCTTTCTGAAACTCAATCTCTCTAAAACTGAGCTCTTTGTCTTTCCTCCTTCGAATAAAGATCCTTCACTTTCACTCTCCCTTTAAGTTCGTGGTATCCACATCCTTGCAAACGCGCTGTCTTGGCATCATACTTTATTCTGGCCTCACCTTTGAGCCTTACATCAAGTATGTTGCCAAATCCTGTAGATTCCATCTTAAAAACATAGCCGGCATCCGCCCCTTTCTTATGCAAGATGCTACCAAGGAGCTTGTCCATGCTCTAGTAATTGGATTATTGTAACCCTCTCCTAATTGGTCTTCTCAAAAGCCACATTGCCCCGCTACAGTCTGTAATGAATGCTGCCGCCAGACTGATTTTCCTCTCTAGTAGGTCCTCTCACACCTCACCCCTCTGTCAGTCCTTACATTGGCTTCCTGTATCCTATAGGAGTCAATTCAAAGTGCTAACCCATAACTATAAAGCACTAAACAATTCTAGCCCCTCTTATATCTCTTCACAGATCAATAGGTATGCCCCTTCTCAGTCTCTCCACTCTGCCCGTGACCTTCTCCTGTCTGCTGCCCTCTCATGCTTGCAGGACTTCTTGCGGGCGGCTTCCTTCCTATGTACTGGACATGCGCTTCAAGGTGAGGCCAGAATAAAGTATGGAATAGCCTGCCTACTGCCATCAGACTCTCCCCTAGTCTTCATGGCCTCCCAGAGTAACCTCTACCTTACATACCTGTCTCTTGCGCTCTCCTGAAGCGCAGCACTCTACTCTCTCCTCCAGCTCTGCTTCACTCCCACCTTATTTGATTGCGATTTCCTGTCCTAATGTGTTTTACAGCCCACCTCCTATAGACTGTAAGCTCATTTGAGCAGGGTCCTTTTCAACCTATCATTCCAGTAAGTTTTCTTGTAACTGTCCTATTTATAGTTAAATACGGAATCTGTGGGCGCTATATAAATGGCAATAATAATAATAAAAATAAACGTATATCTGCCCCTCTGTGATTGGGTAAATTAATGTTCTCACTAGCCATGATTAAAGGATCTGCTCCAAATGAATACACTGATTATGCAACAATGGTGGGTTTTAATAGTTAAAGGATCAGTCCCAGGAGCAAATGTGTTTTAAACATTTATAACATTTTCTTTGGTCACTCTTCAAGCACCCCTTCAAAAATGGAAGATTGGCAGGCAATGTTCACAGAAGTACAATTGCGTATGTTAGACCTACTGAAAAAACAGATAAACATCTAAAATTGTGCTTTTGAGGGAAACAGGAGGACAGACTTTTTGGGCCCAATCTCTCCTCTCAACTCCCCTCCTCCCCACCCGCACCTTTTTAAAACATGGGACACAGCACTGGTACAACTGTCCTTTTTATTCAGTGTACCAGTCTTACCAGGTCTTTTACAGCACTGCCATCTTAGTGTCTAAGATGATGACGCCCAAAAATGCAGTCCTTTGCCCTTGAAGCACATGTCCAGTACTTACACAGACCACAATTGACTCTCCTGATTATGCAAGTCAACAATGTGCTGCTATCAGACATAACGTGACACTGGAGAATGTTGACTTGACATCCAATGACAAAGTTGGCAAAGGATGTGAAGCTAGACCAAAGGGACACCCTTTGTCAACTTTTGTTAACCTGCTACATAAGATAACAGTCAATATTTTCCCATAAGTATAACTTTACAAATAGACATCCGTAAAAATACAAATAAAATGGACAGTCAAGGAGGGAGGAAGTTGGATAGCAGGGGAAAAAAAATAAACAAACAGTGGCAGCTGCTTTAGTCATTTTTTTATCCATCTATTTCTCCTAGATTATTTATTTTAACAAATATTACCTTACTTTTATGGCAGAGATCAAATAAAGTTCCACTTTGGTTGCTAATTTACCCTCAATCCATCAAAAGTATCTGACAGAAGGGCAATCTGCAGGTTTCATGGACAGAGGAAAACAAAATGGAGGGGCTCAGATACTGAGATCCACTGTAAGGAAGAAAAGATAATGCATATCGATGCAGGTGCTAAGGAAAATGGCATAATCAACTGATGTGGGCCAACAGTGAATAAGTCAGGGGCTTCTTATGACACAATATAGTGGTGAATGAAGTATGAGTTAAATAATAAAATGAGTATATTGCATGGTGATATAAAGTGTGATGGATACTGTATCTACTATTGGTAGCATGTGGGTTATTGATATATGTTGTGTGCGATATAAATGCTGGATATTTAACATGGATTAGATATACAGCTACTAACAGTACCTGTTTGACTCCTAAACCATAAATAAAAACAAACAAACACATGCTATTAAAAGAACACTAAGCACCACAATCAATACAGCATGCTGCAGTAGATATGGTGCCTGGATTTCCCTGGTGCCCTCCCAACGTTAGTAATGAAACAGCTTAGTATCAATTTTCCTTCTTACTTGGGGTTTTAAGCCCAGCTGTGCAAGGCGAGCTTACAGGCTGAGTGTCAGCTGATTGCTGTCTGCCAGTGAATACCTCCAGGCTTAGCTCAGTGAAGAGAGCTTCATGCTGTATGGTGTGGCATCTGACAGACCCAAGGTAAGAAGTGAAGCCCTTCTAAAACAGTATGACTACTTACATTGGAGGGCGAGAGGACACTCTTGGCACCATAATCACTATATCACTCTGTAGCAGTTATGGCGCATGGAGTGTGCCTTTAATCAGAAAAGCAATTATGTGTATATAAAGAGAAATTACAGAAGCTACAAAATAGAAAGACGCAGTTATGTGATAAATACAATGAAATTCTCCTACTGCAAAAAAAAATAAAAATATATGACTGTCACATGACACGTTTGGCTGGATATAGTAGAAAGTCAACAGGTAATGTTTATGCCCACTTGAAATGCCACTTTTGTTGGGTAAATGTTTTAGCCCAATGTGTGAATAAAAGTACTAAGGGAAATTAAAAATGTTTGCAGAGTCAGGATAAGGTTATGTAGAATCTATTACCTAATGCATCACCATACATTGCAGCACATACACTTCTCAAGAGCAACAACCACATCTCATGCAGCCCCCTTCAGGTTACCTAATGTTCATACAATACTTTGCTAATATCTCATATATTGGCATTTGTATACTAGTATATGCTCCAATGAGAATATACAAAATGAACACTTTAAAAAAATGTATTAAATGTCTCAACTCACCTACCCCCCAAAATATTGTGACAATAGATACGTAGTCCTGTAAGTAAATAAAATGAATATAGAGAGCATGATAACATTGTCTGAACCCGAGTACACTGTATATTTAGTTGCAACTTACAGGAAACAGGTCCAGCTCTGCAGTGTATCACCTAATCGGAGTGGGTAATGTTACATGACATCACATGCACTAATGTCAGTTTCACAGTGTGTACCTTTATTCAAAATTTAGGGAGATAGTTACCAAAGAGCTCCAAAAAAGTGGGAGTTAAATTACATTATTTTGATCGTATTAAAGTTACTAAGTTACGTGAAGGTTTTCTTAAAGGGATACTGTAAACCTTCTTCATGATTCCGCATTACTAATAGGTTCCCCCACGGCGAAATGCTCAAAAAAAAAAAAAAAAAAAGGTTTTAAAACTTTTATGCCACACAGAGCTGGGCGAAGCTCCTGGCGCTGACCAGAGAGTAGGGGTGGACAGGGGAGAAGGATATATTAAAACAACAAACCGCGCAAAAGAAATGCGGGGAGGGCCTAATGAATGAAGGGAAGGAGTTGTAATGTAACTTTCCCTTGCAGACTGCCTGCAAGTGTACAAACTAAAGCACACGTCACAGACATTTCCATTTACAAAACCTCCAAATTTGTAGTCATGTTGGGCACGCATATTCAAACATGGCGATTAGGGAGCAAAACGTGCAACGGAGTATAATATCTGACAGACTTCGGGCTGAAATTGCATTGATAAATTTCTCAATTATTGTTCTGTATAAATAGTTGCATGGTGAAGCTGCAAGACCTTAGACAGGCCAGTATTGGCCAATAATAGATGCAATGACAATTCCTTTTTGTGACCTAATATATCTAACATACTTCTTGGTTTAAAGCAAAAAGTTTAGCTAAGGAGCTCACATGAGCCACAAAAGGTTTACTTGATGACCAGGGTTATTATCTAAAGTGAGAATTCAAAGCAAACGTAAAGCCAAAATATGAAATTTGGAAAAATTGGCAAAGTCAGCTATCCTTTCAGATTGGCTTATCTGGCCTTTAATTTTAAATTCACTTACAGCTTTCAAAGTAAAATGTCAGGATCTCAAGTGCTGGACCTGAATACCACTTGAAAAAATAACAAACAAAGATCATTACATCTTCAAACGGCAGTCTCAGAGTGCCACAAACTGAGTCCTATGACTCTTCACAATATTAAAGTGAATTCTAATTCGATCCAAAGAATTTATCCGATTCAAAATTTACAAAATCATAATTTTCCTTTTCAGGATTTAAATGAGAAGTGATACCTGAATCACAGCTGGCATTTCCAAGACTAGTGCATGACTAACTCTACAACTCTGCTCTAAGAACTCTACATTAACAATGTTTCATGCATAGCTTATTTTGTACGTCTGTCACATTAATTCATCCGTTTCAAGTTATTTTAAAACTTACTGGTTTAGTGCAAGATTAAATTTGGCTAGAAAACACATTTAAACCGAGAATCAATAAAAAAAAAAAAAAAAATGCAATAATTACTATCCCTAATGTATGCTACTGGATTAAAATGTTAAGATGCTCAAAAATGTGTGTAACAAGGAAGCAGCAGCCTTGTTCTTACACTTGCACCACACCAGTGTGACATTAATGATTTCACTGTATGCAGAGTGGAAGAACTCCGTAATTAGCAGGCCTGCCTCTTGCCGGTGTATGCCACTGGTACCAGTGCATTCAAGCGATTCATTAATGCTATGATCAAAGTGCTCTGATAACTATCAGTGATATACAGAAGTGTCTGTGCTGGGAACAGAATGTTCTAAAGTGGAATTCTCAGGATCAATGTGCGGTCACAATTATGGCACGATTAACAACATCAATGACATACTCTTATTTAATGCTTATGATGATTAAAAGATAAAGGGGATAGTGAAGTCATATACCCACTACCCAGCCCCTAAATTTAGACCATACCAATGGCTTCCCTTGCAGCATCTGGGGGCACAGGAGGCATTGTGACTTGGAAGCTTTCTTTTTCATCAGCCTGTCCCCCTGAGGGGGTGTCCCTGTCATGGGTTGGCTTGCGGTTACCTGTCCCCATGCTGCATCAGTCCCACCAGGAGGAGGATTAGATGGGGACAGAGACTCTAATACCACGCGTGCACACACCTCAGTGCAAAGCCAACGTGTGGGGGAGGAGGCCAGGAAATCCTATTAGTGTGTCAGGAGGAGGGGGAGGGAGATTCCCCTGATCAGGAGCAGAGAGATGATCGCTTACCCTGCACATAACATTCTTGCACTAATACATACAGGCACTGACCCTGAATACATTTACACCTCACCCTTTCGGTAAAGAGGGGATCAGTTACACATAAATAACATACCCACAATGAATGTTATCAATACGTGCATAATATGAAACGATAAGGATCATAGCGCCTCAAAACAAATGTGTGCAGTAATCTAATTTGAAAGCATCATGATAGAATAAAATGCCTGTACACAAGCACAATATATCAGTCATATAGTTAATTGTGAGGCTTTCAGCTCACAAAGCAAGTACCTTTCAGGACATTCCTGTATATTTAAATAGAGAGAAATCAATCTCGAGTGCTGGACCTGAATACCCCATAAAGGTCTGTTGATGACAGCAGTTAAAAAGGGCAAAGGGGAGAGACTGTGTTACTGTGACATGTGATGGGAGTGACTAACTCCATAACATATACATTTCACTCTGTGTCACAACAGGACAGACCTGTCATCCCTTGATCTGTTTGAATGTCACAGACAGACTTTGCCATGTCACCTTGAGGCAGGAAGGCTATACTACATGTCCCAAAGCTAACTTCCATCGACCATGTGGCAGGAAGATGCCATCCTGAATCCCAAAGGGTAATCTTTTAAAGCCACTCATTGGGATAATAAAAAGGACTATATTTTCTCTCTATTTTCTAAAATCCAATAGAAAGGGTCAATTTCCTTATAGCCTTTTGAGAAAGGCATCCATCAGCTCTCCTACAACTCTAATTCAACCTGTGGGGAATGGCCACAAAGCATTGTCCCACTGTGCCATCCTGAGTCTGTGATTCTATGTACAGTACTTGTCACCCTAAAAGGCATGAAGAGATTTGCAACAGAGAGAAAAAAAAATCACTTGCATCAAGAAGCTATTTGCAAGAACAAATAATATGCTGCAGATGTGCACAAGAAAGAAAATATGCCTCTAAATAAATTAGCATTCCTTTACGGTTTACAATGGCATGGGTGACAATGTTAAAAGCCAACCATGCATCTACCACAGTATAGCAATGCTTATTTGGTGGTGGACTAAACCATAATCTGTTTGAGATTTTATAATGGGTTTAGTGGATTTTCCCATCACATTTTAGCTATTTTCACAATCTGTGCAGCTACTTGTATTATTGTATTAATAAAATTAGTATTCCCACATGGCAATTCATTAAACTGTATATGTTAATGTGGCTAGAAGGGTGTACACCTCTCTATTAAGGCTTCAAGCAAATGTGATATTTTATAAGTAGCTGATGGAGGTAAAAATAAAAACCAAGTAGCTGTACCTGGGAACGTTTGATTGCCATGATGTGTACCTTGATCACGAAAAGGTTGGGAACCACTGCTATACATAGAATGAATAATACAAATACGTTTCTTAACTCTAAATTGCTAGATCTAGGTTGTAATAATGGTAAGAACCAGTCGTAAGTAACAATGTGTAAGGGTAGCTGTGATGGTAGTGTTCAAGGGATCTACAAAAGGGTTCTGGAAAAATGTTTCTAGCAGGAAATGCCTGGATAAGCAATGGCAGACAATTGTTGGCCTCTCTTGGATTATGGGTGCTGTAGTCCAACAATATTTGGATATGGTTGCATTTGGATATCCGGGTGGTAATAGTTACATTACTAGTTTTTGTAATAAAAGGTTGTATTGGCAACTGCTCTAGTGGTGCCAGTGTAATTCTGAAATATTTAGGGTGGTGTAGTACAAGTGTGGTGTGCCAGGAGATGCCAACGTGGTGATGTTGTGCTAGTGGCTATTGTAAATGATGCATATGGTACCTCTGACGGCGCGCTCTGTGCTGGACAGCTTGTTCTGGACCCGGGGAGCTGACATGGTGCTTTCTGCCTGATGAAGTCTGGTTAGGTGGCTGGGTAGGTGGAAAACGTGCAGTCACTCTTCTGTCACTTGCTCTTCATTTCCTTCTTCTTTGGTTACCCCAAAACCCTGGATTACAAGGTAACAGATATAAAGCTGTCTCACAGCCCAGGCCTTTGCCAAGCTGTCTTAGAAAAGCTCTCAGTGTGAGCTCCTACCTTTCTTCTTCACTGCTCCCTCTTGGTTCACACAGACTGTCTCTCTCACTCAGTGGCTGACTGTCTCTTACCAAGCATGCCAGTGCCCTAAGGTAATCAATAGTTGTCCAGTGACAGTCTCTCTGTGGCTCGCTGGCTCTCTCTTTATGTCATAGTCTGTCTCTATGACAGCTACTTTTCCCCACCTGTGTCTTTACCTCCTGTCCAGTGATTAATGTCACTTGTCACACTGGTTCTTCCTAGACTGACCTCTCTCCCAGCCTGTCTCTTCCTTGCTTTGGCTGTCTCTCTCATTACCTGATAGCCTCTCCCTCTATTACCGTTGTCCCTTTTACGAGCTGCCTTCTTCGCTCCTTTTTTTTTTTTTCCTTCTCCCCTGGCTGCCACTCCCTAGCTGTCTCTGCCGCTCTGACTGTAGAGCTCTCCCGAGCTGTCTCTAGTGCTGTCTCTGTGTCGGCCGCGCGCTCCCGCCCACCTGCCGGTCTCGGGCCTGCGCTCCGTGACTCCGCCCCCACGTCGTCACGAATACAACGTGTACTACAAATCCCGCGATCCCTTGCGGCTAACCGCGTGTTGTATGAAGGGAAGTAGTCCTCTAGCGGCACGAAGTGTGGAGCTATGAGCAGGGAGGCCGCACGCAGGGCGCGGGGGGTTAAAGGGCAGGATGCTCATCTTTATTTAGGACGTGGAAGAAGGTTGTGTGGACTTGCAGCCCTGAGTACATAACTATAGCGCTCGCTTTATGTGTCATTACTTTTATACTTTTTTTTTTATGTCAGGGATACAACTTCAGTGATTTTAGGTGGTCCTAGTGGTAGCAGTCTGTGTGTGCAATGTTTCAGCTTGAAACACTTCACACACTGAGTTATTGGTGACATTAGCCGCGTTCTGGGATACCGAATGCCAATTCTGTGCATATTTAACGTTTGTCCTCTGGCTACCCAGGCCTGAAATGTGAAATATACTTGGAATTCTTACTTTAGTAAACACCATGTAAATGCAGAAGTACACACCATTGTATTCATTGTAGCACCTCCATCTTGGCGTTCTGTCAAGGGCACTTTGCAATGCCTCTGTTTTTGTGCTACCATGCTATCTGAATTCATTTTAGTTTTTAGTAGCTATATTGGTCTCCCATGAGGTCATCCTCAACCCTGTTTTTTCTTAAATGCCTTATAAATCACAAACAAACCAAACCATAGGACAACTTTTAAAGCATGCTGTAGTAGCAATGTTGCTAATAGTGCCCTTGCTCCCCCCCAATGTAAGAAGACATTTTACCTGGGTCCACTGGGCACCACACTCTACTCCTTCACTTCAGGCCCAGAGAGCCAAAAGCTCCAGTTAGGAGCTTCTGTTAGCACTCCTGAGCTAAGCCGTGCAGAGCCAGCTCATTAGCTGAGGAGATAAACCAAAATAGTTTAAACTGTTAGAAAATGGTTTGATTAACAACGTTGTGGTGGCTTTAAGGCACTCTGGCACCATAACCGTATTCTGTAGTGGTTATGGTGCTTGGAGTCTTCATTTAAATTGGTGGATTATGAATATTTCTGTACAGTCAGGGATCTGAATGTGTGATAAACCAATCCCTACTAGTCTTCTCTGGTAATCTCACAATCTGCCTCCCTCAGATTTTCACAACAATCACCTACTTCATTTTGTGCAAGCTCTCATCTTTGCTAAGGACCATTTTGCAGTTCTGTTACTTTATCTTGTTGATTAGTTGCTATCCCCTTCAAAGCCCTTGTTGTGTTTTTATACCCCACCTCATCTAGATTGTAAGACTGTTTGAGCTGGGTCCTCATCAACCTATTGTTTCTGTAATATTTTTTAATTGTCTTGTTAAATTCCCCACTTTAGAATATTTAAAAGTACTGCAGAATAAGTTGATGCTATATAAGTGCTAATAACAGATTGGATAGCAGACTTTTGTTATTCAATCTTGAGTTCAAAGCTTATTGCTAGTAGGGAGGACAACAGCCTTGCAACCCCTGCTCAATAAAGGACTAGCCGAGAGCATGTCCACCACATATAGTACATCGTGCCAACCTATAGTCCACATCTCCAGCATATATTAAAGCTGGTAAATCCATCCTAATAGATTTGAAACCAGGTACCAGCGATATAAAAATTGTTTCCACTTTGTAGGAAGAAACATTTTCTCCAGGTCTTTGTGTCAGGGCTCAGTGTGATCGATTCCTCTGCAGTTAACAATTGGATAACACATTGAAAACACTCCTTTACTCATATTCTGCTGTAAACAAGATTTTCCAAGTTACGTCTGCAGGTGGGCATCTTAGTTCTTGTAAAGGTGAGTACCTCAAGTGGGGTGATCAGTAGTGATGTCCCGAACGGTTCGCCGCAGACGGCGAACATATGCGGTAAACTTTGACCCTGTACCTCACAGTCAGCAGACACATTCCAGCCAATCAGCAGCAGACCCTCCCTCCCAGAGCCTCCCACCTCTTGGACAGCTCACTGAGAATGCAGCTTCACAATGCATGTAAAATGGATGCTGTCCAGCAGGTGGGAGGGTCTGCTGCTGATTGGCTGGAATGTGTCTGCTGACTGTGAGGTACAGCGGCGAACCGTTCGGGACATCACTAGTGATCAGCCCTTTCACATGACGTGAATATATATTCATAAAGAGTTCTGATAAAATTGAAACCTTAGGGAAAATATTCAGTCCTTAGTTGGGTTTCTCCCAGTTCCCTCTCAGATTCATCGCTCTTGCAATGGTCTCTGGGTGAATATTGCTTTCTTAAAAGGTATTACTAGATAGCGATGTCTATCACCACTAGGTTATGTGTAATCTCCTGTGTTTGTGATTTTGTTTCCTGGCATTGACATCTCCACTTGACTGACAAAACACAAATAGAGTATAGAAAACTGTGGTTCAGGGAGAATTGAGTAGGGGGAGCCACTAAACAGCCAAACTGATATGGGCTTTGGCAAATTCAGCAAATTTTGCCTTAGGACATGTGGGCTGTATGTCTTTTCTGATGTTCTGACTTCTGCAGCTTGCTTGTAAGTTTGTTATACATTGCATCAAGTAAAGTTTGAAGGACTCCCTAGGGAATCTGCAGCGGCTGAAGAGACACTTGCAGAATACCCTTCACCGCCACTTTGGGCCTGTGCTTGGGTCATCGACCCCTTGTCTGCTGCGCTGCAGGCTGTAAAATGTTTGTTGTTCTTCTGCTGTGCCATTTTGGAATGTAGATGGTATGTTTAAAGAGCCCGTGGATTGGTTAAGTAATGCTTTTAAGGGCTGTATCACAGTGAAGCTTCACAATCTTGCCGCCATTCGCCTCACCCCCAGATATCCCATTTTTAATGGCACTCCCCCCAGTTGAGCATCTTTATACAGATATCTACCTACATTTAAGAAAAATATTCCCTTACAGGAAAAGCATTTTGCGTGACAAGAAGACTGGGTGACCAGAGATATCATCTTTTTCACTTCAGTCTTGTGGTAGTCATTAGGAATGAACAAGATTCTGAATAAATGCATTTTTTAGTACACAGAATGGCTGCAATTTATTAGATTCCAACCAATTCTCCCTCCAGCAGCAAACACCCACGCAAAAAATAAATAAATCAGACTAGATCTCATTCAAACTATTATTTTATTGTCAGAACCTGAGATGGGAGTTCCAGGAAAAGAACTATAAAAACAAACTTGAAAAAAAAAAACCACAACCACCAAGCTGTTATAATTTTAGCAATGAAATCTCCCACATACAAGTCATATAACCACTGCTATTCAGCAGCTACCTCAAACTAAACATGGAAAAAAAAAAAAGACGGAGTCTAGCACAGACTGAGACTATAGATTATATTCGTTAAATCGTAAATTGGCAGGAATTCAAAGTTAATTTCACATTCTAGGCCAAAATAGCCAAATTGGAAAACATTGAACATTTTTCATTATGAATATTTTTGCCTACATTTTGAAAATTCACTTGAATTTGTGACTACTCACACTTTAGTAAGTAACCCTGTAAATTCCAAAGTGTAAATGGTCAGACATTCAAAGTGAATTTCACATTTTAGGCCAAAAACAGCCAAATTGGAAAAATAAAATAGGTGACTTGGAGAAGGCTTTTCAATTTGACTATTGTGGCCTACTATTTTAAATTCACAGTTTTGTGAACAATTTAGCAAACAGGGAACTGTGGCGAATTAACAGGAGAATTGCAAGCTTATCCAATTTAGCCTAAAATAAGCAATTCCTTTTTTATTACTACACAATTCCTTGTTTGCTCATTCACATTGAATACTGTTCCGTTATTCAAGCCTTTGTCAATCCACTTATGCTAATAAAACATTGGAAAGATTCACTGACACACAAGAAAATGTAAAGCTTGCTTAAAAAAAATAATTTATAAATCCTCACACAGGGCCCTGTAGGAAAAGCACCAATAGGATGTATAATTCATGCACTGTCAATATCTTAAATTTAAATTTTTTTTTACTTTTTAAACTTTGGTTTCCTTTGACACCAGTCTGGATGTCAATGTGTATTTGTAAATAGCCAGTCTGGTAACCCTATCAAGGTCTAGTTAATGGGGGGAAATAAACACACACATATATTTATTTTTTAGGCAAATTTTAGTATATTTTGGTGAAAGCTATGGGCGTTGTAAAGTCACTGGCCTTGCTCATTATTGAGTTGATAATAAAGTTATGTCAATTACCTCAGAAGTAACACCTACAAATTTGCTTGTTGAATGGCGATGTATTTCCTACACAGAACATGCATCTATGGGAGTTAAAGGTCACAAGTCTTTTCACTCCTGTAATTTGAGAGAAATCCCTTTTCTTCATAAATCAAATTGCATAGGCATGCACTAAAGAGGAAGGTTACGAAGACCAAACTTGGCCATCTTCTTACTTTTGATCAGTTAGTCAGTAGAAAGGCTGCATTCATCTACTGGCAGAAAATCTAGACTGAAATACAAACATACATGTTGGACTAAAGGCAAGCAATTGTGGGTTTAACGGTGAAATGTTTTATTACCCCTTTCGTAAATCATCCACAAGGGCTGCCATTACAATTTTGCATATGCTTTTCTGTTATTTAGTGTATTTAGAAACCACACGTCTGTAAACTAACATACAATTTCTTTGCAGAGCTCAGCTCCTCTCTCGCTCTCTCTCTCTCTCTCTAACTATATTACAAAACAAACAAGACAAAACTTGATTTGGATATGAAGGAAGCAGCAGCACAACACTTGTGTTTGCATGGTACAGTCAGTGCAGAACAAGAAGTCCCTGTGTTTATTAAAATAAAAATAACGGAAGTATATTTCAGGAAAAACACAGAATGGGTCAGGACTGCACAAAAATAGATTGATGCAATTTGCTACATGGGGCAGTTAAACAAAGTAACCTTCTGTTAGGCAGGCTGTAGATACAGCAGAACTTCATCCACTCAGGGCAGGGTGTTTGGTCCATTGAAAGGAGAATTTAAACCATAGCTACTTATCAATATGATAAGATAAAGCTTCTAAGTGCAGTCAGCAGTCCAGTCACTGTGCTTTCTCCTCTAATTGGATGGGATGGATTTTTATTCTTCCACTTACAGATAATGTAAGATGGCGACGGTGGTCGTGGGAGAGCCTTCAAGAAAAGTTTAATAAGCAAGGTGTACAGAGTATGACTAGGACTCTATTCTTTGTTTCACTACTTAAGTTCATAGAGACAAATCTAAGAATGGACGTTTGGGCAGTCTGCAGAATAGGTGTTGGAATTAGTTTGTTCGTCGGATAGGTAGCAGCACCCTGCTTCATCTCCAACCCTTGGTCTATATATTTGGTAGGGAAGGGGATAAAAACATTGCACTATATTCCCCTTTTGGTCCATTAGAAAGGGAAGAACAAATCCTAGGCTCAAAAATAAAGAACAAATACGTTGGTTGGATGGTTCAGTAGATCTCATTCCTCTTATCCCAGTTTTATCTGGCCAGAGAAGGTGGTCAGCAGCAACATGATGGAAAAGCCAGTGAGTAGGCCAGCATTCTGAATTAGAAATGCTGTAAGGGGACGTCCTCCTTCCTCATCTTCCTTACTAACTTCATTCATCTCTGGAAACTAGTGAGAAAGAGGCAAGTTAGCAAAGACAAGGCAAACCAAAACCGTGTAATAAAAGAGAAAAAAAATACAAAAAACAAATGCATCTTCCAACAGGAATTATTAAAAGAGAACAAATCACCTCAGCACTATCTTAATATCCATCCCTATCTTTAGTATGACAGGATCATTAATCCATATACATACACCTTGAGTCAGATAGTGTTTGATTCCGAAAGTTAGTCTCTATGGTCTTCCCCGCTTCACTAAGGTAGGGATGAGTTTTTCAAATGTTTACATATATTTAATTTAGGAAATCTATTTCAAAATTTAATGATTTATATTAAATAATAGCGTTGAGGTGACAGTTGTCCTTTAACCCCTTAAGGACCGCGGACGTACCTCATACGTCCACGGTAAATTTGAGCGCTGGAAGCAATTGTGATAGCTTCCAGCCGCTCTATGGGTATTACACGATGCCTTGATAGTGAGGCATCGTGGAATACCCCCCACTGCTGGGGACGTGTGTGTGTGTGTGTGTGTGTGTGTATATATATATATACACACACACACACACACACACACACACACACAGCAGCCCCCCTGCAGCAGCTCTGGCCACCCCGGCCCTTCAGGGCCATGTGATCACTATGATCACATCGCCGCAATAGGACTCTACAAGCTGCCAGCAGGGGGACTGTCTGAGCAGAGAGGCTGCAAAAAAAAAAAAAAAAATACATAAAATAAATATATTCTACATATACAGGTGGTCCTCATTTAGCAACCTACCTGTTTTACGACAGCTCGCACTGACGACCAGGCGTAAGCGCGAGCAGTCATGGGGATTTCCTGCTCTGGTGCACATGTCTATGTTTGGGGAAACTTCCCCGAACATAAGGGATTCCCTGCTCTGGTGCAATCCTCTAACTCCTCACTTACCGACTGATTTGTTCTATGACCGGGTCGTAGGAACGGAACCCGGTCGGTAAGTGAGGAGTGTCTGTTATGAAATAAAACAGGAGTGTTATAAAATAAAATAAAGCATTTTATAATATATTATACACATATACGATTTCATTAGAAGTGTACTTTGAGATATATACACACACATATCTCAAAATACACTTATAATGAATTCATATTTCCTGACCATTATTCATGGGTTAGCTCCTCCCCTTACAGCAGAAAGGACAGGAAATAGAACTCAAACTGGTATAAATAGATCCTCCCCCTTCCCAGTCAGTCAGTCTTTTTTCCTGTCCTTCACAGCTGTTTGGAAGGAGTCTGCTTATGCAGGCCTAGATTTTTTCTTTTATGCTCACTGGGCAATATTTTTTAGACCCTGCCGGGGTTCAGCCTCTAAGCCCTGAAGACCCAGCAAATAAGATGAAGTGGCTAGCCTGGGTACCCACTTTAGTGATCGGGGTTTGGACTCAACCTCTCCCTGAAAAGGATGAAATGGTCCACTGCATGCCAGGGTTCAGCCTCTTATCCCTGAAGACCCAACAACAGGCCAGCTTGGGTACCCCTTCAAGGGATGTATGTGATATACTGCCTACATGAAGCCAGGCCAGGGTTCAGCCTCTTACCCCTGAAGACCCAGCAAACAGCATACCGGTAAGAGTTGCCAGCCTGGGCTCCTACTTCAGCAACCAGGGGTCTGTCCTATCTCTCTCGGAAGTGATGACAGTAGTCCACTGCATACATGAGGCCCAGTTGAGTCTAAGCCCTTATCCATGAAGACCCAGCAAACAGCACATGTGTAAGAGTTGCCAGCCTGGGTACCTCCTTCAGCAATCAGGAGTCTAACCTATCTCTCTCCCTGAGGGGATGACAGCGGTACACTGCATACATGAGGCCCAACAGAGTTGTGACTACCAGGGTATACCTATTCTATGTATTCCACCTTGTATGGTCATGATGAACGGCATATGGGGTACAGATGGAAGCCTATAGTTTAAATAGTTTAGGCTGTCAGTTGTTCAAATCCCCATTTTGCTGCTGAAACACAGTCCTGCAATGGTTCAGGTAAGTGCATTAGTAATTTAGATTAAAACTAGTATAGGCACCTGGGTCTCTGTTCTTTCAGTCCCTCCCAGCTGCTTACATTAGGCTTCCTTCTAACAAATAGGTCACATTTAGGAGATTTGTGTGGTGAGCATTTAGGTAAGTTTATACAAGGATGTTTGGTGCAAAAGAGTGCTGATAATACAAGTATGCATTGGGCAAAGTAGTGCTGATAATGCAAAAAGAGTGCTGATAACTCAAGGAGGCATTGTGCAAAGGAGTGCTGATAATGGATATCCTGGCTGTATGAAGTCTGCTGGAATTCCATATCCTGAAGACAGAGAAATATCCAAGGTAAGAAAACTTTCTTGGGTGCCAAGGTATGTGGCATTGATTGCTGTTATCTGTGCATTATCACAAATAAGCAGGCTTTTGCAGCCGTGGAAGAATATACTGCACAGGAGACCACTGGGCCTCAGTATCTGTACATGATCTGGTGGTGGCACAGCATCGGTATGTTTCCACTATATGCTCTAATGTATGAATTGGTATGAAGTCTCAGTGTGTGTCCAGTATATGCTCTATGTAGGAGTCACTATGAGGACAAAGCCTCAGTATATGTACCCACTATATGCTCTTAGTATAAGTTACTATGAGGAAAGTTTGGCAATCACTTTAGTATATGTCAGGGGTGGCATGCTTTTGGTTCTTAAGGAGTTAATGATCAGAAACTTCTGACCGATTCCCCTATTGTGAAGGGGAACATTATAATTTCCTTTCTGCAATAAAGGTATTCTTTTAGGCTCATATGCTCCAGGTAACTTGGATTCTGTGTATTGCAAGTATTTTAAGGTATTTCCAGTCCCCAGACCATTCTACCAGGTTTACTATTTCAGGTAAAATTCACCTGCTGCCTGAACAATAGAGGAAATCCCTAAACAGGTAGTTCCATTATGGACCTCTCTTCTGATATTCATGGTGTCCTTATATCTGGAATTTGCAACCATGTGTAACTTCAAATGGTTTATTCATCCTGCAGGATGATCTGTATAAGTTATGGTCACTCCTAACATTGCATTGATTTAATACTTGTGGATTATATGCTTGGATTGGTGTTAATATCTTGCAGATATAACAAGCTGCTTATTATCACCATAGGCTCTGCCATAAGTACTTCTTCACTATCTGAAGATAAGGTGAGAGTAAGTATGCGGTTGTTGTTCTCATAAGGGTAACTGAATATCTTCTACTACCCTGCTTATTATGTGTCCGTTGTCACAATGTATAATGTGCCTCTGGATACCACCTTCCCATCAGTATCTTGGTATATATCTATCTCTTACTTATGTGCACAACAGTCTCTAATAAATTTGATTATACTGTTTGGCATAATCTGTACTATTTACAAATGTAGGTACTGACGTGGTTGGCCTCCTTATAATTTAGTAGTTGCCACAAATTCTATGGTTCATACCGATATTTATTTTTTCCCTCAACTAATCTGTATATGATTCTTCTTGCCTTTGCCTAGTAATGTTATTAGTTTATTCCTCTCATGTGACTGATCATTGCTGTATCAATTCATCCACTTTGTGAGGTATTGTTGTGAATCTGAATTTAGCAACATCGGGTCAATGTTGCAGCGTTTTAATAACAGACTCTTATTTCTCTACTAGGCTCTGCCTCTTTCTGACAGGCAGATATTGATTTGTTCCTGTATCTTCAGGTAAGTAGTTCACAAGGCAAGAGGAAGCGGTGTGAATCGTATTTAATAAATACATTCAGTAATTAGTAGGATTCTCAGTGTAATTCTCCCCGTGTTTAATAGCATGGGGTGTCCGTTCTCATCCAACATTATCTGCTTGTTCCAGTATGATCTCTGGAAGTTATGCCTTTGTCAAGGTTCTGATTTGTTGATATCAATTTGGTTTTAAATTTTATATCAGAATGACATTATCCTTCTCTAGCTCATGCTATCATGGCTTTAATTCCTATCTGACTCTCTATATTTATTCAGGATATTTCAGATATTGAATGCCAGGAGGTTGCTGACCTTGCAGCCTCTAGGGAAAATTATCTTGTCTGAGCAGATTTTATGACAATTTCCTATTGATTCTTGTTTGGCTTTGTAAAGTCTAAGATTTATACAGCTCAATAATGGTTTTATAGCTATTAGCCGTTTTTTGAACTCTGTCCCTCCCTCTATATATACTGCTTGGGTATTCCCCATGAGTAAATGCTGCCATGAATAATAGTCAGGAAAGTGGAAAATTGTTTCATACTTACCGTAATTTTCTTTTCCTGATAATTATTCATGGCAGCATTACGTTCCCACCCATATACTATAGGAGTTGTGAAGCTAGTTACAAAGACTGCCTGATAGGAAGGGGGAGGATCTATTTATACCAGTTTCAAAGTTCTATTTCCTGTCCTTTCTGCTGTAAGTGGAGGAGATAACCCATGAGTAAATGCTGCCATGAATAATGGTCAGGAAAATAAAATTACGGTAAGTATGAAACACTTTTCCACTATATGCATTACATATGTATAATATATTATAAAATGATTTAATTATAATGTGTGTGTGTGTGTTTTTCTCTTAGTGGCTACTACAAAAGACTGGATATACCCCATTTGGAATACCCTGGGTTGTCTACATTCGAAAAATGTATGCCATGATGGGGTTATTTCACATTCCTAGGCTACCATATGTTCTCAAAAGGCAACACAGACCCAGCAAACCAATCTGGCAAAATGAATCAGGCAAGCCCTATATTGACCCTGTGACTTTCCAAAACACCATAGAACCTGTGCATGGGGGGTATTGTTATACTCAGGAGACTTAGCTGAACACAAATATGAGTGTTTAAAAAACAGTAAAACTTATCACAACAATGAAATCACCAGTAAAAGTGCAGTTTTTGTGTAACTTTGGACAGCGTTTGGGACTAAGTGGTGGCTACAAAAGACTGGACATACCCCATTTTGAATACCGTGGGTAGTCTACTTTTACAAATGGTAAGCCATAATGGGGTTAATTTTCATTCCTGGGCTGCTATACAGTCTCAAAGGCAACATAGGCCCAGCAAACCAATCATTATTTCATCATATTTTATAAAAATTTTTTACAGTAAATGATATGATGTGATGAAAATAATGGTATCTTTGGAAAGACCATTTAATGACGAGAAAAACTGTATATAATAATATGTGTGGGTACAGTAAATTAGAGAGGAAAATTACAGCTAAACACAAACACCGCAGAAATGTAAAAAGAGCCCTGGTCCTTAACGGTAAGAAAATTGAAAAACGGTCTGGTCACTAAGGGGTTAAGTACAATATAGTGAGAATGGTATTAAGAACAAAAGGCGATTCCCAATTCACTTTTTCACCCCATTACTTAAAGGAAAAGGAAATAAATGGTGAACAATTATTCTGGTCCCAAACTCACCATGTCGGCAAGCGCTATGTACAGAAACATGCCACCTGCCAGGCCAAATATCCAGTTAGAGGAAAAGTGACTGCCAGCAAGAATGCCAAAGGCCAGGCCCAGATAACAGCAGCACGCAGACAGGAAGTTAAAGAACAGAGCCTGAGGAATGTTCATCCCAGCATTAAGCAGAATGACAAAATCACCTGAAATACAAAAACCAAGAACATGCATCAAAAAAATGGAGAACTAACACAGAAAAACACTTGGCTGTATGAAACGGTGGTCTACAGAATGATATGTAGATAGGGATATTTCCAGGTATGGAGGGCAGGCATATGGATTATTCACCATTAAATAATAGTATTAATAACAGCAGCAACAACAACCTAAACAGGGGACATTTGTGTAGGAAGTTTTCCTTTAAATGGCAAATAAAGTGTTCTGACAAGCATACTTAATTTGCATCAAATGCAAAGAAAGTACAATAGCTCCATCGTCTACCAAGGCACGAACTAGTAAACTAGTTTAAACCAATACAACAGTAAATCAATGTCCTTCTTTACTAAACACTAGGCAATGCTCCAATGCTCCTTTTAATTGTGAAGGAAATTAAAAGGAACACTAACAACTGTATTCCTAACAATATAATGTCCCTCTGAAACTGCAGTGCGCCTCCAGAGGCAAATTTTATTTTTATATTTTTCTTTCGTTTCCACCCCCTAATTTCATAAACTGAGCAAAATTCTGAATGCATATAAAGGAAGATATGTTGTATATTGTAACTTTATATGCATTTAAGCTGGCCACACTTCCCATTAAAAATGTATACGGTGTAGGTAAGGTGATTTTGCAATGCACAAGGTAGATTTGTTTTCTAATTAAACCGGATCTACTTAGCATTATTTATGGAAAGATATTCCCTATTTTGAGTTGTAGAATTCTGTAAGGCCTGTGATGAAACATTTGTTCAGATTTAATGCATACAATCTGTATATGAGTATGCCTGCATTAAAAGGTTTAACTGAAGTTTAGAAAGTCAATGTGGGTAAGTATCTACACCATAGGTAGTCTTAAAGAGCAACTGTTAGGAAATCAGCAGCCAGCATTCAGAAAGTATGCCCAAGCCGTGCAGTACCTTTAATTAGCTTCTGATTTGCCAACTCAGCCCATCTTTGAATTTATGAAGAGCATAAAGGGCCATAGTAAATCGGGATATTTCATGTACAGTCTTTAAAAAGGAGGGAATATTTTAGAAGCATCAATTCCCTTGATAATAGGAGAAAATCCGTACCAAGCTCGTGAGGGAATTCCTCGCACAGGATGGCTATGGAGGTGCTAATCCCTTGGAAGACAGATACTGTAAACGAGGCTCCAATAGCCAAACCATCTATAAAGTTATGTAGTCCATCACTTAGTGTTATCATCCAGGCTAGTGTGCCAATGTCAGAATAACGGATCCCTTTCAGCCAGTAACAGGAGCTCTGTTGCCCTTGGAGATCCTATGAAGGTGACAGAAGGATAGAATTTTAGGATTACAAAGACATCTTAAAAATGTTCATAAGCTGAAAGATTTCTCACTGTATTTTAAGACAAAGGAATATGTGAGGATTATTGTAAATTTTCCCATAGCATTAATAACTGATTATTTATTTGTGGTAAACCGACTATCATTTTATTATTGTACTTTGCTGAATCCAATAACAGAGGCCTAGCACTTTGATCCATTCTCTTTCATATATAAAGCACTCCTGAACTTGCCTGTACAGCCAAAGGACCCACAACAACCTTGTCATCCACATGGTGTGGACGAAGATCGGATTCACTGCCTAGGGGTGGCGGGATTATGTGATCCAGGTCACCATTCTGCAGCTTTTCTGTCACGCCCTCCTCAGCATCACGTTTACTGGTTTCTGTAGTAAAATGGCTATGGCCATGCTGCAATGAGACAAAGGAGAGGTGACCTAATTTAAAGATCTTTCTGACAGGTAGATAGAACAGGCAAGAGTACAACACAGAGGATATAAAGCTTAAAAGGAAAAGAAAAAAAGAAATTACTTGTTACGCCTTGGGACTGTAATTAGCGCGACTAAGAGTGTAGATATAAGAATATATGAATACTGTATGATGTGCTCCTTGCCTTTTCACTGTACCTGGTCTATTATTCAGATGTATTTCTTTAATGTTTACTATTCAAATTTAACAAAAAAAACAAAACAAAAAAAAACAATAAAAATAATCTAAAAAACAAAAAATAAATAAATATGTATTTCAAGTACTCAAATAATAGAAGTATGCGATCTGCAAAATAAAATGTAGTACAGGTCCTATCAGAGAGCCCAGCAGCACTTTTATGTTAAAGGCGAGATCATCGGCCCACGATGCTCCAGGTGCTAGCTCATGTTCTGTTGTGGCATGCATGCTTGGGAATTACTTCCATAGTGCCATACCCAGGAATGGAACTTTGGTGATTGAATTAAAATTACCCCTCTAGCCAAAAATTTATCCCAGGGTAGCCTTAGTTTCCCAAGCATTACTTTACAATTTATTTTGCCAATATTATCCGAATGAAAATACACACACACTCTCTCTCTCTTCCCCCCCACCATCTCCCCCCCCCCCATTAGAACCCCCTCTCTGATGGTTCTAATGTCATCCCCCAGAAACGGATTAATACGTAGGAGAAGAAATTAAATTTAGTGATTCCCCCAAATGAGTGGCTTACCTCCTTAATATATACATTGTCTTAATTTGACTGAATGCCATTTCAAGGTCTTACACAGATGGTATTTTACCCCAACAAGACTGGCCAAAATGTATGATACACACAACTCTACTTGCTGGAGATGTGGCACGTACCCGGGCACATACATTCATATATGGTGGGCCTGTCCAGTCGTTAAATCGCTTTGGGCGTGGGCATTTAATATCTTCTATACAGTTACACTTAATAAACCCAATAAAAATCCGGCATCAGCCCTTCTACACTTGAATTGGCAATTAAAGTCGCATAAATATATTTGTTTTGCTATACACTGCTTTGTTGCAGTTAAAATTATTATTGCCAGACATTGGAAATCTTCCAACCCATTTCAGAAATCTCTTTTGATCGATCAAATCATATTTCAATTGACAATGGAAAAAGACATCATAAATAATAGCATAGTTTTCTCTAAAAATAAATAAATAAATAAATAATAATAAAAAAAAAGGAAAATAAATAAATAGTACTCCAACTGGCTCCAAAAACTTTCCACCATTTATTGATAATAAATTTCTGGTTTTGCTTTTTCAGTTAAACAGGGTTATGGTTATTAACAATCTTTCATAGGCTCTGTCTCGAACAGTGTAAAAGTATCCAGTAAAAATATTTGTTACAAGTGGGCGATTTTTGTACTGTTTTAATAAGATTTGTATCTAAATGGCTGCTATATATTCTTAGGAAACCCCTCTGCACCGTATAGGTGAAGGGCTATCTTTTTGTCACTATCAAGTAGTGATGATAAACATATATACTAAAGTATTCAATTTAACTTGTTTATACATGATGATTTTCTACATGATGTTGTGTCCCTCATATCAATCGAATATACTTTGTGTTGTTGTATGTCTATTGACTCTCTTGTTATTATGGAAAATTCTCTCAATAAAAAATTAAGAATAAAAATAAATAAATATATAAAAATAAAATTTAATTACCCCTATACAGTAGTTGGTTGGGTTCGCGAGTCATATTTTTTTTTTTAAACTGCAAACTTTACATTCAGGGTTAATTCTACCTCTAGTGGTAGCTCAAAGGAAAAAAATGAATTCAGTGTTTTCCAGTAAGAAGCATTTGAATGTTCATGCGTCACTCACAATGCATTTGCATAGATTTCCAATGCTCTTCTATGAGAAGCATTGGATTGGACACCGGAGAGAGCAGGATGAAACTATGATACAGCTCATTAAGAAGGGGGAAGGCAGGCACATACTAGCCCAGCACCCTAGCTCTATGAAGCACAGAATTGGAAGGAAAAAAAACAAAAAAAAAAAAAAAAAAACACTTTACTGGCGGACTGGTGTTTATGTCCCCAATTATAAAAAAATTGAATTCAACCTTTTTATAAACTATTATACATATGACAGGCTCCAGATATATGCAATACATACTTCAGCAAACTGAACATTTTGTGTATGGAGTGTGCCTTTAAAAGGACAACTGCACAGAAGCAAGGAAAACAATAGAGACTAGCTCAGATGACAATTCTGCTTTAAAAAAAAAAAAAGGGAACAGTTAATTTTAGAAGGACACTCATTGAAGTGGTCTGGGTGTAGTGTCCCTTTTGCACCTAGTGCTGCAATGTTAAACATTGCAGTTCCAGAGAAACTGCAATGTTTACATTGCAGCACTAAATCTGCCTCCAGTAGCTGTCTATCAGACAGCCACTAGAAGTGCTTCCTATATTGAAACGGACCTTGATCCGGTATCTGACGCTGTACGTCCTCGCGCTCTGCATGAGGACACCTAGCATTAGATTTTTCCCTAGAGGAAAGCATTGATTCGATGCTTTTTGCTATGGGGTGGACCAACGCGCACACGGCATTTGCCACGCATGCGCATTAGCGTCCGCTCATTGCCAGACGTCGGATCCGGTAAGTAAATAAAGGGATTTTAACCCTTTACTCGGGCAGAGGGAGCAAAAAAGTGTCAGGAATACAGCCTTGTATTCCTAGCACTATAGTATTCCTTTAATATTATTTATACCGTATCTGGGCTGACCTGGATTGTGATGTTATTTCCTAAATCTTGATATATAAATTTAAAAGAAAACGGAGCATCTCATGAAACAAAAAAAAGTTTCATGCAGGTTACAGGGTATTTTCACTGGTGTCATTTTCATAAGAGACTGTGTCCTTATGTAAGTTTGCTATGGGATAGGGTAATGTTAGCAAACGCCCCTTGTGAACTCTTCACAAGACCAGCAACATTTTTTAAAATTTTCCAGTCTTTAACCCATTTTATTGTAAACACATGCCTAAATCGTTTTATTCCCAATTTATTTATGTTTAAAATAGAGATTTTGTGTCTAACTGGACCCCAGTAAAAGCTTTGCATTCTGTGCTCCTACACTGCATAACCTAAATTTGAATACCTTAATGGCATTTGTGTGCCATTATTCTTATAAGCAGAGAGAATTCAAACTGTACTCTTTATAAGCGGAGATTTTTCTCCTACAGAGTCAAGTCCTGTAGAGCCATAGGTAGAAATTAATTTATTTTTTTATTTACTAAAGATAAAATTATCAGGAATGTATAATGAATTCACAGTAGATAAGACCAAATAGCCTAACTTGAAAATCTCAGTCAGTTATGGTCCAGATCACCTGCTTTGACCTTGAAGGTCCACTATAGTCACCTAGACCACTTCAGCTCAATGAGGTGGTCTGGGTGCCAGGTCCCCCAAGTTTTAACCCTGCAGCTGAAAACATAGCAGTTTCAGAGAAACTGCTATGTTTACTTGGCAGGGTTAATTCAGCCTCTAGTGGCTGTCTCCCTGACAGCCACTAGAGGCTGTTTCCGCTATTCTCAGTGTGAAAATTGCATTGAACTCACGTTGGACGTCCATAGGAAAGCATTGTGTAATGCTTTCCTATGGGCGATTTGAATGCACGCACGGCAGTGGAGGCAATTTATGAGAAATAAAGGAGGGGATATGAAAGCATCACTGACACTTTTACCTACTACTCTGTGCAAAATTTCAGTGCAATTTATTAAATAAATTTGTTCAAAAGTTCATTTACCGCATTCTATTTTTTTAATTAAAATATGAATGATGAAAAGTACAAATCATGTCCAGTAAACATGCAGTGATGAAGTGTTATGGTCCAATTTTCCACACAAGTTATTGTTTTAACAAAACAGGAATGTACTTTTAAATAAATAAATAATTGCCCTGACTCAATCCTTTCTGCAACATCACAATAAGTAACAGCATGTTGGAATCACCTACAAACATCTACCACAAAAAAAAAATAAAAAAAAAATAAAAAAAAAACAAAAAAAAAAACACAACAAGTGACTGAAAGTCTACCTCATGCTTCTGTTTCAATATCATCTTCAAAACCTTCTCTGTGAAGAAAAAGAGATAGAAGCCACCAAATAATACTGCTGATGTGGAAACGTAGGAGTCCTCCAATGGATTAAAACCAAATGCCTGTGATGGAGAAGGTACAAAGTATAAGATTTCTCTAATTTGAGAAACAAGGCTCCCAAACACATAAAGCAGACATCCAGTTATAAACTTAAGTGAAAAGTGTAGGGTCAGTGTATGATATTCTAGTTACAAAAATAGATTAAAAATGAGAGTCCACCTTATATATTGATCAGGGCCTCATAAAAAAATAAAAATAAAAAAAATCCATCCATATATATAATTCAAACAAGTAATGAATTTATTTATACATCATGCACACCAAGCTCTCCAACACATGTCCATCCATGCAGCACAGTGTCTCTACTCTGTTACATGTGGTACCCAATGTACCCCATACCTCGGGGATGAGCTGAAAGAGAGCGTTGGAATATAGGGTCCCAATGGCGAGAGCAATGAAGAAGAGGAGGAGACGCTTGTAACAGGCTTTCTTCATGAAGGGGACCACGCCAGCTCCCAGGAGGGAGCACAGAGAGATAACTGTGACACATAGAAATCCATAGCCCCACACTGAGGAAGCCATGGACACATAGACAAAGGCATGAGGAATGGATGTGACAGACATGCCACAGATAGAAGAGATGGAAGGACATCATGATGAAAACCAAAAAAAATAAAAATAAAAATTTAAAAAATGAGGGGGTGGCAGTCATTCAAAACATACAAAAAGAAAAAAAAAAAAGACAATTAAATAATGCGTGGCAAAGAAAAAAAGGATGACAGACATGTAAGGTAGCAACAGTAAGAGAGGAACCATAAGAGCGAAGGAGAACAGGAAAAATAATTAACAAAACATGTATGGGATGTGGGAAGGGGGAACAGATACATGAAGAATGTTTCATAATGAGGAAAGAGTATGGGGGCGGGGGTGAGGAACACAAAAATAGAAGGAAATGTATAGCGGTTATAAAGATAGAAATTGAGTTGAGAAATATCAAAGAAAGCAAAAGATAAGCGTGAAGAAAGAAAGAAAGAAAGTAAAAGAGGATGAAAATTTAAAAAATAAAATAAAAATAAAGAATCCGATTAGGGAAGTGAATTAGAATATGAAGAAGTGGAAGGAATTAGGAGTGAGATTTGATTCAGAGACCAGGACAGTATTGATAACATAGTAAAAAGGTAGTGAGGGGGCCAAAACCACAAATAAGTAATAAATAGAAAAAATTCAAAAATCACACAGACAGACACACAGAAGTATAATGTGAAAAGAAAACAAATGGTTTAATGAATGGGGGAGATGAAATCCATACCAAAGAAAGAAGAGGGAAAGAAACGAGAGAACCAATTAGTGATTAAATCCCAATAGTTGTCCATCAATAAATTTCAACAGATTAGGAGAGAGAGGAGAATCTGTTACACTGAAACGGATTGCAACTCTAAAACATAGCCAGCATGGACTTTTATTGGCTACCAGCACTCACAAAGGCAGTAACCAACTAGTCTATTACATAGAGCAGAGGGCATTTAACTGTACATTACTGGACTACAACTCTCACAAGCCATTCCCAGCTGAGCCAGGAAGATAATGGCGGTAACTGATCTCCATCAAAACCTGTGTGCATGCAGTTTGACAACCCTGGTATCATGGCAATACTCTGCATGGATAAAAAAGATCCACAGACAGTGGTTAAAGTGACCCCAGAGTTTAGTAGTCTACCCCAGAGTGTAGACTTTGCTCTTACTCATTATTAACTCTATGAAATGTAAATGTTTTACCTTTGCAACCAAGAAAATCGGTTACAACATATAAATTGCCTTCAAATAAATAGTTATTCGGAGAATGTTTACACTAAGTAAAGCTTTCTGAGATATGTAATCAACATTGTGTAACTCGCTGACTGAAGAGGACTTTCATCCCTGCTGGTTAGTTTCAGTTGGCAAAGCAGTTTGAATGTAAAACAACTCCTCTTTGTATCCCCCAACTCTGTGTCTGATGTATCTGTACCACGGACACACAATCAGGGGGTAACTACATGAAATGGATTAAAATAATAATAGTTTTCTCCAGAATTTCAGCCCAATCCCAAGTCTAACAAAATCCACAGAGAAGAGGCTGCTTATTCAGATGCAGATGATCCCAACCGAGCTTACCATCCCAATGTAAAGGCCAACATCTGCAGCTAAAAACTACAGCCATTAATTACAAGCTTAAAATAACAACAATGTCAATTAAAATGCAAGATTAAAAAATTGTCATATGAAGAACAAAACATTGCTAATGCACAGCTTGCAGAATACAGAGAGCAATGCACAGAGTATACATATACAGTCATGCTGACCATAAATCTATATGCTGCAGTATGTCCAATAGAGAGTAAAGGCAGCGACATATCAAATTAGAAATTTAAGTCAAACCAATACAATCCAGGGAGAGCAAAGGAAGAGAGATTGAAGGAAAGAACAGACAGATGCACCAATTATGATCAGCGAGATGCTATCACTGCAGGTGGTGGAATGTTGAGAGTTTATGAGTGTCTGCAAAAGCACCAAGAAATAGATACACCTCACCACCTGAGATCACCAGAATCTACATGAAATGATTATATAGAGTGTGGCCTCCTCTAGTGGAGACAAACATTATTGCACTGAAAAAAAAAAACCATTGTCCTTTCAAACCTAAACCTGTGTTTATGTGAGGGAAATCAATGTGATAATTTTATTTATTTATGCGTGTAGTCGTGTGGGTAATTACTGCACCTCAGGGATCAACTGCAGGAGTGCATTAGACAGCAGGGTACCGATGGACAAGGCGATGAAATAGATGAGTAGCCGACGGAACAAGGGCTTCTCTACGCAGGGGGCAAAGAAGACACCCATGAGAGAGGACAGGCTGATCAGGGTGACGGCCAGGAGCCCAAAGCCCCAGACTGTGGGACAAGAACACAATGTGAGGGAAGCATGGAAGGATGAAATGAAGCAAAAGGATTTTTGTGAAGTGGAAAAAGCACTGACTATTAACATAGAGCATGATACAGGCTAGCAGGGCTGTCCAGGTATTTGCAATAGGCTATAGATCTTTGATCTTTTGCTTTTATATATAAGATATTTATAAACTTTAATAAAGCTGGTCAGTGCACCAGAGTCACAACAGACTGGTTTCCAGCTAGGTAGTCCTTGTCTTTAAAAGTCTGGACCCTTCAGAAGGCTTCAGATCCCCCGGCCCGATTCACATCAATTACCATATATTGCATAGGGCCAGACCATTTGTCTATATACATGAATGAGGTACGGTCCTCCAAAAATGACACGGGACATCTCTGGCCTAGTGCACAGTTTCTTAGCGTCAGCATTCCCAACAAGTATTGCATTCAGTATCATCTCACATGAGAGCAGAAAGATTAATCTGCATTTCCATTTTCATGGCACAGCCTGCCTCAAGTGAGGAGATCCTGAGGACAGAAACTGTGTGCAGGAAAGATCCAGTGCACTGATGGATGCAAAAGATAAAGAAAAAGCAAAGAAAGGCAATAAACATTGTTAAAAGCTATAGGGACCACTTTTTCAAATCAACCGTTGCCAGTTAGATGATGAAACTTGTAGTTAGACTGCACCTGAAGGAGAATAAGCCAAGCATCACTAGCAATATATATATAAAAATATATAAAAATATATAAATGAAAACTCAAAGTTACATTACCTCCTTATGGCATGAAATGAATACTGCCTGTACAGTAAATAGACATATTAAATGGAATCTGTTCTGAATAAGTAAAATTCTTCCCCAAGTGCCTTGTGACTGAAAAGAATGTGATGGTCTATGTAGTCTTACCCTCTGCTGGGCTGGGTCTCCCTTCCTCGGCAGTCTCATTTTGAGAGACCGCGTTCCCACGGCAAGCTCCAGTTTCAAGTTGCTGCAGAATGGTGGGGCAGAAGCTTTGTAGACCTTCAGCATCTACCACAGACTCCGATGACAAATTGTGGGCATGGAACAGAGCAGTGGAACTGAGACACTAGGGGGAGACAATTACTCTCTTATTCACATATTTAAAAAAAACAAACAAAAAAAACACACACCTCTAGAGCTAGCACGTACACGTTTCCTGCCCAATTTTCCAGGTTATAATACATGATCCCATACTCCAACAGATTAGCAAAAGGCGACTAAGCCTTGTAAAGTATCTTCTGTTCCTGTGAGATATTCCAAGTATTTTGTTAATCGCTAAAACATGCAATAAACCTATACATACTATTAACCCCATTAAAGACCAAGTACTTTTTAACCCAATATACAAAAACTAAAATACATGCTTATTCAACTGTAATTTCCCTTTTCTATATTAAGGACACTCGCACAAATTTTATATAAATTTTTTATAGGATAGAAAGTTTTTTTTTTAACCTGATATATGCATAACTAATCATCTAGTAAGAATAAAATACACAAAATTGTGGAAAAAAAAAAAAACAAAAAAGTGAAATATTTCATATAATATTTTTAAAACTAGTGGAGCTACAAAAAAAATAAACTGTAAATGTATCAGATTCAGGTAGATTTCTTTTTTTGTTCTGATTTTGGAAGTATACCCATTGTACAGCGCTACGGAATCGGACGCCGCTATATAAATAATAATCCTACGTTTTTCATTTATTTTTGGCATTAAAGGACCCACCCTGCTTGCACCAAGGCTGAAGGACCTTTCATACCACCCAAAGGGGCTTTAAAGAGAGAGTCTAAGCACCAAAATCAGTTTGCCTTAAATTAAGTGATTTTTGGAGGATAACTGCAGCCCCACACAGCTTGAAAAATGAAGACAGTAAAACAGGACTTAATATATTTGGAAATTGCCATACCTACTAGTTGCTGTCAATAAGACAACCACTAAGGACGTCAGACTGAAGTAGATTCAATCATTTAATGTCCCGCATCAGCATGTACACTGTGTACGTCCACCGCTTCTCTAGGAGATTTTATCCTAAAATTAACAATTCCCTTCTCATTCTAGCCAGTTCCAGAGTTTGTGACCGAGGAAACCATGACTATATCAAATAGTGGATTTCTGACTGAAATGGGGCTTTGGGTCAGGAGAACACACTCCATGCCTTTATTTCAACATTCTAAGTACATTTTAAAAAACACACTTTTAATGCTTAGCAGCTCAAGTAGTGGGGAACAATTATACGCTTTGGACTTTCAACAAGCCATAAAGAAAGCAAGGATTCCACATAAACCATGCAAGTCTGCCAATAACTTTATGACAAGTAATTACTACATTGTACTCAATAAACCAATATGGTTTGGTTTAGTGATAGTTTACAATTAAAGTAGAGCATTTGCTTATTAGAAGTTTAAAGCAGAATGATCACTGCTCAGGAAGTGAACGTTCATTGGACCCCAATAACAGTAAAGGCTACAGCAGTATTAGGTGCAAATGAAGCTGTAGAGTAAGCATGTCAAACTCACGGCTCGCTGGGCTCCAAATATGTTCATTGTGGGCCGCATTCGGCCCGCGAGTTTGACATGAATGCTGTAGAGGGAAGTTAAAATTTTTAAATAAAATAAAGTACTTACATGCACTGCACTTCCACACAGTGTGCGATTCAGCTGAGCCCTGTAAGCCTAGGGCATGCTCACGCATCTACACAGAAGCATGGTACCAGCCCATAAGAGCTCTACACTACAGCCTTCTTTTAGCGGTGCTGTGCATAAACACATGTACTCTGTGGACGGCATTTTATAAGATAATCTAATAAACATGCCATGTCCAGATAATCTAATAAACATGCCATGTCCAGCATGAATGGCATGAAAAGGGGGAGTATAAGAATGCATTATTATTGTTTGTAATGAAAAGGAAAATAAATAATAGCCAACTTTTTGTTTTTGCTAAGTGCAAGAATCTCATGTGTGACAGTTCTGTTTTCAAGTGCCACTAAACATATCTGGCATTTGCAAACAAAATATGCAATGTTTGTTCCTGAAGTTTCCCTTTAACTTTACTTCTAGAAGAAAAAGGTTAAATGTTTAGTTTACCTGGAATTGACAAATTTTTTTATAAAATATATATTTATTTTAATGCTATGGATTTATTTTTGAAGATGCGCCCCATCTTCTACTCTTCCAGAAACTCACTTAGTCATTTCACTTTTTCAGTAGTATAAAAGCCTCTTGTATGTAATCGAGCAAATCTGTATTAAGTTCCCATTCTTTGACTACACCTAAATCAGCAGGGGTCTATTGACATGAAGGAATGTGAACCATGGAAGCAGTTCAAAAAAGTAGAGCAATCAACAGGAACAGTCTGGTGATTTCCATGTGGATTGCTCCACTTTTAGAACTTTCCCCCAGAACTGGTTTTAAAAGAAACAAAAAAGATGTATGCAAATATAAAATGCCATTAACTCTAGGTTTAAAACGACATATTTAAAATCAGTTTTAACAATACATTAGTAGCCTAATTAAACAAAATATTACTGTCTCTGCATTAAGAGATAAGAAAAGAAAAATTGCATTAGGGTGTGCACCCATAGAAAATGACAATGTGTCGAACACACCTTTGGTCCTTGTGAATAGCCCGATTAAAGCATATATGACTTTCAGGATTTTCAACTAATGTCTGAACTGTCAGGAATGCAAAGTGAATTTCATGTTTCAGACTCAGGTAGCCAAACTGGAAAAATTCTCAGAGCCAGCTATTTTGGCCTAATATGTAAAACTCAAGACAAGTCATACTATAATAAATGCCCCCGCATGTACCTGCTCTTACATTCTTCTGCTCCAACATACCATGTAAAAAAGAAAACATGCATGTTTGCTGTTAAAGCCAACTTGTCAGCTATGGGTTGAAACATTAACCTTATACTACAAGCTGGGTAAAGATATACGATGCTAGAGAGAATAGTAAAAAAAAACAAACAAAAAAAACAAACAACTATTCCACCGATTGCAGAACAAGTGTTGGAATTAGAACACTGCTCTTCAGTTAGGGTTCAATGAATATTCATTTCCACTACCTACAAGCTAAAGAATTTTAATAAACAAAAAGCAATTCTGTATCTGAAAGTGCTGCAATAATTTAAATATAAATTACAAACTAGCATCAATCCCCATAACGTTGCTTTAAAACAATTATGTTCAGAAGGCATGTTAATCATGTGAATGTCTGGTGTTGTGTATTTCACTCAAGAGCTTATGGACTGATGTTCTGACAGATCATAGTGGGTCTCACCTGAGACACATTTTTAGGGCTGTCCCCTCCTTTTCCTAACTCCAGTTTCTCCAAAAGAGACTGCAGCTGCAGCAAGGAGAGGGTCTCATTTTCACCGTATTTGTGAAGAATATCCTGCAGAAAGGAAGCGGCACTCAGTGCGTGGCCTGAGTTGGCAAGGGCATCTTCTGCCAAAGAAAAAGAAAGGAGGGCCATAGGCAAGAGCAAAAATCGAAGGAGTGTCCATAGCAGCGTCATGTCCATATCTAAAAAGACAAAAATAGATAGAAAGCAGTGTAAGTTCCAAGAATGGTATGCCAGTGATTAGTCTACTAGCAGACTCTCAAAGTACATAAAAGGGAGGAAAATAGTATTACAGTCATATTAATGCAGGGTATATATTATTGAATAGACACAATAAAAGCTACCAGGGGATTAACAGATTAGGGATTTAAGCATAGCAGGAGACACCCGAGTCGGTTATTTGGGGTAGACAAGCGATTTGAGCAATTAGAAAGAAAAGTAGTCACCCTTTAGGAACCTACAGCTTTCCACCATGCCATAGAATGTCTGGATGTATAATATATAATTACAATTTAAGAGATAACGATCAGGCTTATAGAATTATAGAGAATGAACATATAATAGCAGTACCTAGATTTAGTAGTTATGTTTAGTCACAGAGTCAGATTATAGAACATACAGTCCCCATGCACAGCGAGATACAGCAGAGGAGAAGATAACAGGGTACACGGATTAACAAATATTTTGGATACAGCAAGGACGCAGACAGTCCTCACCGTTAGGACATTGGTACAATATCCAGCTGGTATTTAGAAGTGGGTTGCAGACATTTGACACAACACGCGCACAGTTTACTAAAACAAAATCAGGCAGTCGTCACCATTACAAAAAAGGGAACAGGTAAGCAGACAGTGGGATACAACAGGGGCACATACAGTCATCACTGTTACCAACAGAAAGAACAGGCATGCAGAGAGTTAACACAAGAGCATTTTGCAGATGGAGTGAGGCAAAAGAGTCAGACATTCCTTATCTTCCTATAGGAGAAAACAGATACGCAGGTAGTGGTTACAGCAGGGGAAACAGACATGCGTCAGTTCCTAAATGGTAGAGGCTACATCTACACATTGAAAACACACAGCTACTGTACAAAAAGGTATACAGAAAGGTACAGCAAAGCTGCAGATAACATCAACATTACCAAAACAGACACAACAAGGTGTATACCATAGAAACGGACTGCCCACACATGTAGCACAGGGATTCAGACAGGAAAATTATAGATAAAAGCAGATATCACAAATACTAAAAAGCGGGCATTTTTTTTCCAGTTATTAGATCAGCGTTTAATTTAAAGAAGTCTGAGTAATGAAGAAGTGCCCGTCCATTTTAATATTTTACAGTAAAATGACAACATGAAACCACATTTTGTAACCCGACTCTAAAAATGTTACCTTTCGTATTTCAATAAAGCACTTTGTGTTGGTACACTGAGACCTCGGTGGTCAGGATGCAGAATCACAATCATCAGGACATACGGACTGAAATACAAGGACACCTCTATAATTGGGACATACAGACAGCATTATGGACACACTATTATCAGGAAAGACAGACAGTAACATGGAGACACTGTGATCAGGACAGACACTAACATAGACACACATGCAATGATCAGGACACACAGACAGTCATATCGACACACAGTGATCAGGACATAAAGACAGTAATATGGACACACAGACAGTGATCACGACATACAAACAGTAATATGGACTCGGTGATCAGGACACACAGACAGTCATATCGACACACAGTGATCACGACATACAAACAGTAATATGGACTCGGTGATCAGGACACACAGACATTAATATAGGCACACTCACTCTACCAGCTGGCTGTCTCCTCTCCCCTAGCAGGCCCCGCTGGATGTGCAGCAGTTCATTCTCACGGCCGCTCTATATCTACCAGCAACGTGGAGATCCAGAGATGGTTCTTTAAGCAATGACGTCAGGACACCTACAAGCCCGCCTAGTTTCCGTGACGCCTGGTGGAGGCGTGATTATGTGCAGTTATACAGTGAATGTAACCGGCCTGGGTGCCCGCCCTCTCAGCCCAAATGGACAAATAAAGTCATGTGACCTGCCCATATCCACTGGTTATAGTTCATTGATCTGTTGGGAATGCACTTGTTTTGCATTACACTGTGTTCCATTGTAGTTCTGATGGAACCTTCTGTCTCGTGAGTGACTCAGTATTTACAAGGTAGATTGGATTTATGTATTCAGCGTTTAGTAAATAAACACCAAAACTGTAGCGAACCTAACAGCGTTATATACTGAAGAGCATTCAAGGTTAATTTTAAACTTAAGGCCAAAGTAGCCAAACTGTTATAATAGCTCCCTTAGAAAAGACATTGCAGTGTGTGTCCTTACATTTGAAATACACTGAATTTAAACCAGTTCTCACTAGCCAATGAAAACATCATTTCAACATTTTAGCCCAAATAGAAAGATTGTCTAAATTGATTAAAAAAAAAAAATATATATATATATATTGTGGTCTAATTATCTAGGTCTTGCAATTTGGTTCTATTTGTAGGACTTCTTGTCATGCACCTCCTTCTCCCCAAGATATGTAGCACTTGCGACTTTCACATATACATTTTTGGTAGCATTCTCTTTGGTAAATTGCCCTTACATTGCCCAAATCAGTTGTCATTTTAAAACATTCAGTTAATTTATTACTTCTATATCTTACTTATATCTATAGTTATTGTCATTTATTTGGCTGTATTTGTCTTCTTTTGTGGCCTACCCTAGTCATTTGAATCCATGCTTAGCTAGAAATAAGGGAAAATGCTTTCATACTTCTCTTAAAAGGGACAATTTAGTTTTAACAAAGCGGTGTGGGTGCTATCTCTCCCATGTTTTAACAGTGTGGACGCAAATATTGGCATTCTGCAAAACGGGGCTTAAAGGACCACTATAGGCACCCAGACCACTTCAGCTCAATGAAGTGGTCTGGGTGCCAGGTGCATCTAGGGTTAACCCTGAAGCTGTAAACATTGCAGTTTCAGAGAAACTGCAATGTTTTTCAACTGGGTTAATCCAGCCTCTAGTGGCTGTCTCATTGACAGCCGCTAGAGGCGCTTCCACGCTTCTCACTGTGATTGAATGCACATGCGCATTCGTTGAAAGAGGGAGGAGAGTCCACAGCGCCAACGGAGCCCGGCGCTGGAGAAAGGTAAGCGTTTAACCCCTTCCTCCCCCTAGAGCCCGGCGGGAGGGGGGCCATGAAGGTGGGGGGGACCTATTAACACTATAGTGGTCCTTTAATTGCCTCTAGTGCACTAGCTTACCTATGGAAATTTTAATGATCTCAGTCAAGGAGGCAGAACGTCTCTGTGGAGACCGTGCTGCAAGGGAGAAAAGGTATGCAAAAGACCTTAGCTTTCTTCTTGCAGAAGGCAGTCGGTAACCTGGATTCCTAAAGCTATAGTACCCTAATTCATTGATGGATCCTCTCACCCATATGCGAGCAAAATATATTTTAAAAACATATGTTTTTTTCCAGTGCTGAGGCTTCCTGACCTCCCACTCTTGCTACGCCATCACGAGGAGTCCTTTCCTCTTCAATGGTCCAATCCAATGTTCTTCATAGGGGACTGATGCGCATGCGCAGCAAGTGCTGTGAGCATTAACTGTTTTCATAGAGTATTGAATCCACTGCTTTCCTATGAGTGGTAACGTCACATGACCGAGTTTTACTCCGCCTTTGCAGCAGAAGTGCCTTTAGTGGTTGTCAGAAGACTGCCAGTAGAAGTGTATTTTTTTTTTTTTTTTTTGTGAATATGTTTTTATTGAACATTTTTTTTTTCTTTCCAACATGGAAAAGAAAAACGTGGACTCACAGGTCCCTTTGGTTATTCGTATATGCTTATACATTGTAAGGTACGGTCTGTCAGACCTGTATTGGCGACTCGTAGATCACTTTCTTGAATAAATGGCGTGTGTATGGTGGACTCGCAGGTCCGGTAGTACATAGTTATGAATAGTACTCTTTTATGTTTAAAGTGTGTACCATTTCTACGTTGGGTAGGTTTCTAGCTCCTGCAGGTTTTCGTCTATTCCCCCGTGCCCACCCTGTAGCCACTAGGCAGTAGTGAGACATGTGGGCCTTCTAATGTGTAGGGTCTCATCAGGACACGCAGACCCCTTGTGTCTAGAATCCTGAATGGCGGTATAGTGGGGTGTTGACCCCCTACTTTGGTACGATTCGACTCTGCCCAGCGCTACATATGGTGTTGATGGGGATAACCTAAGGGGCATCCTGCATTTCCGTCTAAACTAATAAACTTTGTAGCTCACGAAACTAGTGCGCTTCCACCCCCTGCACCCTCGAGGCCGTAGACCGTTTTGGATATTGCAAGCGGCCACACCCTGACAGGTGTCATAGCCCCCCCAGTATGCCCCCGTGGGGCCGGCCTCCGCGCCGCCCCCCAGGCACCCTGAAGCCACGCTCTGCCCGGACCTGACAAGGGATAGGGGGGGTGGGGTAGGGTACAGGAGTGAGGTACTGTGCTTTGGGGGCAGGTGTGGGTTGTCCTGTTAGTCTCCTGGTGTCTCCTCCTGGGGATTGTTAGTTCCTCCCCCCCATGGTCAGATACACAGTCCGAAATGCCTCCGTACCCACTCCTGCCAGCCAGGGTGTCCATGTGTCTAAGTATGTCTGCGCTCGGTCTTGGGCTGTATACCAGATCTCCTCTGTAACTCGTAACTCCTCCATTCTAGTAAACCACAGGGAAAGCGTTGGGGTTGTGTCTTTTTTCGAGTACAAAGGTATTAGGTGTTTTGCAAAATTAAGAATTCGGATGGTCAGGGAGCGTTTGTATCGTGGTTTGGGGGTTGTCGTGTGGTGCAGGAGGTACTATGAGTGGGCATTCCCACCATATGTGGAGGAAGGATCCTACCCCTCTCTTGCACCTCCAGCAGAGGCCGTCCATGTCTAAGTGCATTCTTTGTAAGCGTTCTGGTGTCAGGTACCATTGCATGAGGACCTTGTAGACCGTTTCCTGAGTTTTGCTAGCGATTGCGCAATGGTGCACTAGGTCGCAGATCTTGTGCCACTGGGTCTCGAGTGTTTCCCCTACGGCGGTCTCCCATTTGGACATGAAGGGCGGTGGGGGGTGTCCCTGTTGTCGTTGTAGCATAGAGTAGAGGTAGGAAATGCTATGGGGCATGGGCTCCGGGTCCTGGCACAACTGTTCGAATGGCGTAAGGTCCCTGTACACGTCGGGGTGTTGTGGTATGGTGGTAATGTAGTGCTTAATTTGGGTGTATCTAAATGTCGTCATGAAGGGGTGGGTGGGTGTGCCCATGGGCATCCGTAGGGGCAAGATTTTCCCATTGGCAGTCATGTCTCGGAGTCTGGGTATGTTTTGTGGGAGGACGCAGCGGAGATTTCCTGGTCTTATCCCCGGTTCAAAGTCCGGATAGTAGAAGTGTATTTAACCCTTCAAGGTCAACGTTGCCGTTTCTACAGATGTAGGTGGAGTGGTCTGGGTGCCTTTAGTAATCCTTTAATTATTGTGATACATCTCATGTCCAGATTAATAGAAGGGCCACTCCAGTTCACTCTGCTTGAATGATCGACCAAGTGGAAGTGAGAACTTCTATAGGGATGTCAGATGACGTACTATCAGTGTTGTAGTCTCCTTGACTACTGTAATCCGCTTTGCAGTGGTCTTATGCACTCTCAACTTGCGCCGTTACAGTCCATAATGAATGCGGCAGTGAGGCTCATCTTCCTGTCCGCTTGCACCGCCCACACCTCACCCTCTGTCATTCCCTACATTGGCTTCCTGCAAGATATTCTGGTTCTTGCTTTCAAAACTCTACATAATGCTGGTCCCACCTATCTATCCTCCTTAACACACAAGTATGTCCCTTCTAGGACCTTACACTCTGCTGAAGACTTATGTCTATTTTCTGTCCGTACTCCCACCTCTGATGCTCGCCTTCAAGACTTCTCGAGGGCTGCACCGTTCCTGTGGAATTAATTTCCCTCCTCCGTTAGATGCTCACCCAGTCTCCACTCCTTCAAAAAAATCATTAAAAACCCACTTCTTCATAAAAGCATTTCAATTGAACTGTAAATAGCTTCCGACTGATTCCTCTCTTGCAACTGTCATTAGTCTAATACTACCCTTACCTTTTGTGTCACTTTACCCCACTCCCTGTGGCATGTAAGCTCATTGAGCAGGGCCCTCAACCTCTCTGTTCCTGTGTCCAACATGTCTGGTTACAACTACATGTCTGTTCGTCCACCCACTGTAAAGCACTGCGGAATTTGTTAGCGCTATATAAATAACATAATAATAATAGTCTGATCTATAGTATTTGATCGTATTCCATATTTCTCTGTCTAGCAGAGATTTTTGGTATAACAAGCTTGTCCTTGTCCTACTCATCACATAAATTGAGTGGAACTGCTGTATAAACGGAAACCCAGGTACAACCGACAGAGCCACGGACTCCAGAAGTGTGTTGCTGCAAGCAGGAGAGAGATCAGGCACATGCACAATGTGTGCATGTCTGATTGACAGCTCTGGGGAGATGTCTTATATACAAATCACTGCAGTTGCAGAGCATCCATAGAGTAAGAATTAAAGGACCACTATAGTGCCAGGAAAACATACTCATTTTCCTGGCACTATAGTGCCCTGAGGGTGCCCCATCCTCAGGGTCCCACTCCCGCCGGGCTCTGGGGAAAGGAAAGGGTTAAACTTTCCTCTTTCTCCAGCGCTGGGAGGGGAGCTCTCCTCCCTCTTCTTCTCCTCTTCATTAAGCTGAAGTGGTCTGGGTGCCTATAGTGGTCCTTTAAGTGTAACAATGCAAATTTGCTAGGGTAGAAAATTGTAATTGAAGTATACATATATTGTATTTTATTATAACCTATGTGAATATAGATTGATCGTCATACAACTGCTAGACTCATGTATCATCTGCTGGGGTCTGTGGGTATTGATGACTTTACTGACACGAAGTGCTACTTATCTGTCATGTGTTGCATACTTGTGTGCCCACAGGCAGGTGTGACAACCATTCCTTCTCTGATTTATGCCCTCATTTCTTGCCTGCTTCCACGTTTTAGTACAGTTTCTCATCTATTCCTAGCTGTGGTAGCACTGTCACGTGTCCTGTGCCCTGTCCTACTCATTTAAAGCCAAAGCTAAGTAGAAATAAGGGAAATGTATTCGTACATCATTCATTTGCCACTTGATATTATCCATGGTAC